TAATTTAGGGAATATATCTGCAAGGGCTACCAAAACCGTAACACATTAACCAACAGTGCATATAAACATAATATATGCTCATTTTGAATCATAAAAATGCATTAGAATTGATCAAATCAGGGGGGGGACCTCGTTCCATCCTCGCCATGTTAAATATAAAGGTGAGAATAATTTAGGGAAAATATCTGCAAGGGCTACCAAAACCGTAACACAATGACCAACAGTGCATATAAACATAATATTTGCTCATTTTGAATCATAAATATGCATTAGAATTGACTAAAACCAGGAGGGGCCTCGTACCATCCTCGCAATGTTAAATATAAAGGTGAGAATAATTTAGGGAAAATATCTGCAAGGGCTACCAAAACCGTAACACAATGACCAACAGTGCATATAAACATAATATTTGCTCATTTTGAATCATAAAAATGCATTAGAATTGACTAAAACCAGGAGGGGCCTCGTACCATCCTCGTCATGTTAAATATAAAGGTGACAATAATTTAGGGAAAATATCTGCAAGGGCTACCAAATCCGTAACACAATGACCAACAGTGCATATAAACATAATATTTGCTCATTTTGAATCATAAAAATGCATTAGAATTGACTAAAACCAGGAGGGGGCTCGTACCATCCTCGCCATGTTAAATATAAAGGTGACAATAATTTAGGGAAAATATCTGCAAGGGCTACCAAAACCGTAACACATTGACCAACAGTGCATATAAACATAATATTTGCTCATTTTGAATCATAAAAATGCATAAGAATTGATTAAAACCAGGAGGGGCCTCGTACCATCCTCGCCATGTTAAATATAAAGGTGACAATAATTTAGGGAATATATCTGCAAGGGCTACCGAAACCGTAACACATTGACCAACAGTGCATATAAACATAATATTTGCTCATTTTGAATTATAAATATGCATAAGAATTTATTTAAACCAGGAGGGGCCTCGTACCATCCTCTGCCATTGTGAATATAAAGGTGACAATAATTTAGGGAATATATCTGCAAGGGCTACCAAAACCGTAACACATTGACCAACAGTGCATATAAACATAATATTTGCTCATTTTGAATCATAAATATGCATAAGAATTGATTAAAACCAGGAGGGGCCTCGTACCATCCTCGCCATGTTAAATATAAAGGTGACAATAATTTAGGGAATATATCTGCAAGGGCTACCAAAACCGTAACACATTGACCAACAGTGCATATGAACATAATATTTGCTCATTTTGAATCATAAAAATGCATAAGAATTGATTAAAACCAAGAGGGGCCTCGTGCCATCCTCACCATGTAATGGCATGTAATGTAATGTTTTGTTGTGTCTGCACGTTTTAGTGAAAACTGCAGTTTGGTTCGACTCTATTTTCTTGCATACGAGGGTCATAAACACTAGCGCTTGTATATTGCGGGAATTGCTTTCCTGGCATGTCTACCCAACCAAATTCACACAAATGATAAATTAATTTCTTTGCTTCAACTATAAAGTATTTAATCTTACCTTAGGCATGTAAGACGCTTGGTAATTGAAGAAATATAAGCATGCTGCTAAATTTTAAAATTTTCTCATTTTGCCTACCAAGGTCACTTCCGGGTTAATCTGATAGTCTAGATGTAAAACTATATCAAACGAAATCATAAGTTTTTGTTACACAAATATTCAGTTGAAAGGGAAGCAGTGTCGTTGAGAAGGGAAGTTATTTGGAAAAGTTATTGTTTCAAAATGAGAAAAGTAATAAGTGGCAGAGAACAGCTTTGGAATCGGTCTCTGTGTAATAAATAATTATGATTCCGTTTCGATACATGTTATACATTTAGACTACCGGAAACAACATTCAGCAACATGGCGGGCGATAATGAAAATATAATTCAATTGATTATATTTCGTCAATTATCAAGCGTTTTACATGTCTAAGGTAAGATTTAACACTTTGATGTTGGAGCTAAATAATTACGTGATAATTTGTGTGACTTTGGTTAGTATGGTAACTATATTTACCAAGACAGGCCAGAAAAGCGTTTACCGCAATTTGTTCCATATAATATCTACGACCGTGTATGCAAAGAAAATGATAAAAAATAAATATCCAAATAAGAACAAGGAATATCGAAGAACAGCATACAACGGTCGGATTTATATGACTAATATATCAGGCCTGTCAACTGTCCCGCAATTTGCGTATTTGTCACGCATTTGCTGAAGAATTTGAAGTCACGCCAGTTATTTTTGCGTGACAGAAAATGTCACGCAAATACGCATTTTACCTGGTAATTGTCAAGCCAAAATATTTCTGTAGAAAACTTTCTGAAAAGATCGTCTACACAGCAAAAATACGAACGACGGGAAAAAAACGTACGCATTTCGTTCGGACTTTTCACGCGAATTACGGATATGTCAAGCATTCCGTTCGAAAATTTTCTGGGTCTCTGAGGATCGTGTTGGCCCCAGGGGTGCATAACGTGCAATGTAAATTTATCAAATTTAAGAAATGCTGAAAAGTCCGGATCTGATGTTTTTGACTTTTCTCCCAAGATCTTACCTCAATCTTGAAAATTCTTTCACCACTGGATAGCGGGACCAAAAATCTTCAAAATGAACCCATAAATGCCTCGCTTTATTACAGTAATTATGTGTAATCGTTGCAGATAAGACGAAATTACATTTCCGACCGGTCTTCTTGACATTTTCGCTGACCTAATTTCAAGTGCGCATGCGTTGCATAAATCAGTGTGATGATCACGTGACGTGACGTAATTTGATGATCACGTGTTGTAATGTTTTCCAATAACCAGTTGGTAAAACTGCTATAGTGGATTCTTGATTCAATATGTTTGTTATCACTTGTAACTGTTCTGGCTTCAAATCAAATCCAAACTTTGGTTTTATGTTATGCGAATAGAGATCATTGATTTCTTCCATCGAATACATGATGGTGGAATGAATGATATAAACTCTGTATAGTTAAATAGATGGCAGCAATATTCAATGGCTACTCTCGTCAAATCTCGTGAGAATAGAAGCCGCCATAAAGATTTTGTGAACAGAAGCGACAAACGGCGATTTTGCTACAAAATTAGCACAATTCGACCTTCTACAACCACAAAGCTATGGTAATTTTTTGTATAAATCATCAATGTATCCATTTTGTTTATATTTCTCTGTAAATGACGCAGAGATTCTAAGCAGAAGATTAAAATAAAGTGAACCGTCAAAAATAATCAAGAAAAACTTAGATTGGCATGAATTTACAAGGATAAACACCGCCTCTAATGCAAGTCCTTACGACAATTCAACGCATTAGAGGCGGTGTTCACCGTCTAGACTAGACTAGCCTAGATCTAAGCTAAAGATAAAACACTTATTCGATAGATAAGTTCATATGGTTAAACGAAATAATGAAATGTTACCGTGTGTCTACTGAGCAGTTCGTTCTATGTCATCCCTCCTGCTAGGTTACATTGTGGACCGCAGCCAAACACGACAACGAAGGCAACAACATGTCGATATTGATCTTAGCAGATTTTTTGGAAAATTAGATCGTCCATTTTGCAAGCTCACGTTACTGATCGCGTAACACATGTCTGATCATGTGACACGTGTCTGATCATGTGACTAGTTACTGTATCGATATTGACGTGTCACCCAACCATGTCTTCAAGGAAAGCGGTAGTAAATATTTTGGAAAATGTTTTGCAAGCATTTGCTACTGATTATAGAAGAGGGCACGCCGAGATAGCAATGTCAAACATTGTAGGGAGGGCTGCTAAAGTCACTGGGTAATCCAAATCAGTTTTTTCAAAGGAAACTGCTAAATTGTAATTTTAGTCTGTGTATTGATCTATTGATTCATAAAGACCTGAAATGATGCATTCAAATAAGACCGCCTCCTGAAAGAAAACACTACACATAAAGTGGTGAAAAAACAATGAACTAAAGTTGAAAGATCGCAACGTTCGCTACTTTGTTCAATTCTGGAAATCCCCAAGGGGCTGCAAATGGGAAATTTTAAGATAAAGATTTTATAACCTCAGAATACTGCCTTCAGCGTTGTGTTTGCCTGAGTTCCACAATGTAACCTAGCAGGAGGGATGACATAGAACAAACTGCTAAGTAGACACACGGTAACATTTCATTATTTCGTTATTTTAACCATATGAACTTATCTATTGAATAAGTGTTTTATCTTTAGTCTAGTTTACATACGATAAGACTGAATATCTTGAGAAATCCAGTCTATTGATCCCTCCTGTCACTGAAACTGGAGCCAGATCCAGCCCCTATTGGAAGTAGGCTCAGTGAATAGATATGAAGATCACACACAAGCCAAAAATAGTACATCCAAAAAATGTTTACCCAAAAATATGACCCTCATACTGACCTTTATCATCTCTCAATCATTGAGTGATGACAATATTTACCCTGTAATGTCTTCTTCATGTATTAGTTTGAATGGGTACACAATTATTGATGCTGTAAATCGAGTTTTCCCGGGATCAAGCGTTTCTGATAATTTTTTCTGTGCTCGTACGGGAATATGAACGAATATATCGTTTGAAAGATTGGTGTGAAAATCCCCATGTTAAACCTATGGGGGAAAACAAGGAAGTATAAATTTGTTCCTCCTTGAACTGCATCATGGGAAATATTTTGACCTTATAAAGAAAGATTTTCGTGTCTCCTCTTTTGAAGAGTGAACAACGATCTGCTCAATTAACATTGAAATATGTGACAATACATATCATAAAATTAGAAATTTGTAAAAACAGTAGTGTAAAAATAGTACCTGGTATATAGCTAGACTGTTTAGGCTATGAAATAAGCATTTAAAATTTAAGATGTAAATCCTCCTTGAAATTGGTTGAAGATTTGTGGAATATTTAAGAATAGAAAGTGACTGATATATTTATATGGTTCTGTTGCAGGGAGACTAGGATAAATTTAAAGTAGAGCTCTACTCTGAGTGTGAAATTTCAGGAGTATGCCACCCAAGAAGAAGGTTGAGGAGGAGAAGCCAGCGATAATTGGTCGTGTTGGGACCAATCTGAAAGTTGGAATTGTTGGATTGCCTAATGTAGGGTAAGCAATAGTAATTTTTAGTCTAGTATGCTACATGCAGCTTGAAGTATTTGGTAAGGTAATCATTCATATAGGCTACTTTGCTTTCTCATTCAAATAGGAAAAAAAACATTTACTTCTTTGTATTCAAGAATTTATACATTCCTTATCCTTATTTGCTCTCTGCAAATAAGATGTACAGTATTTAGAATATTAGTATGAAATAAGCATGAAGTTGAATGATCCTATTTCAAAATATTTTCAACAATATTCTACATTAATATAGTTTCTCGACATGATTGTATTTTCAGGAAATCCACATTCTTCAATGTGTTGACTAAAAGTCAGGCTTCAGCTGAAAACTTTCCATTCTGCACTATAGAACCAAATGAAAGTAAGTTTTAGCATCTCCCTTTAACCAACCTTGCCTTGGCTTTAATTATTTCATTGATCAATAATTTATGAAAGTCCCTTTGATTTAAATGGACCTTTGATTTTGAATATGCACCTCATACATAGGTTATTGCATGAATATTCTTTCTTTCTTTGTTCTTGTCTTCTCAAACATTGTTATTCCTGTGTGTTTTAATTCATTCATAAAAAACTTTACATGAAATAGCTCATTCAACAACTTTTAAGAAGAGAAGAATTTCTTTCAATTCCTCAATCGAAGGATAAAGCAAATATGAAATACCGTTTGAAATGGTTGTTCAATGAATCTGAATCATTCATTCTTGTCTTGCAGGCAGAGTGCCAGTACCAGATGCCAGATTTGATTGGCTCTGCAACTTTCACAAACCATTAAGGTATGGAAACTCATTTTCAAATTTATCTGTAATTTCATTCTCCTAATGCCAGTCAGTGAAATATCATGTACCAGGTGTCCCAAAAATTGTAACCAAATGAAAGAGGAATACAGACACACCAAGTGCCATGTTTTCACGTTTTTTATCACGTTTTATCTATCAATTTTTAGCTTATCACGATTCATGTTTTGGTAATCGAGAATCACGGTAAAATAGGCACTTTCACCCATTTCAACCTCTGCTTGAAAAAATTATTTCTGACTGATTTTCTGTCACTGTTTTCACCATCATTTTTATGTGGATGTGGTTAGATTTTATAAAAAGATGTATATTTTGAAATAATCAGAGTCAAGATCTGAACTTGGCAAAGAGATTTTAAATGCTTCTCTATGATTTTCAATTGACTTACTCACTTCTTAAAAAGAACAATATCACTTTTTTCTCGACTTGTAAAATTACTTCCAGTTTATACTGAAAAATATCTAATGAAAAAGTCCCTCAGTCTAAACATAGCTTTTTAAAGATTCAAACATCAACTTTGAATGGACCTTCATCCATATTTCGAAAATAGATTCACCAGTAAAATGTTATTTTCAACCATTTTATCCTCTATATGTTGCAGTGTCACTTTAATTGTGACCAAATTTCAAATATCATCACTCACCGAGTTATTCTGTTTTGTCTCGGGTACAATTTATTTTTAGACAAATGCAAATAATGTACCATGTACATGAATATTATGTTTTTGTTGCAGCAAAGTACCAGCCTTTCTTCATGTGACTGACATAGCTGGTCTTGTGAAGGGAGCAGCAGAGGGTGAAGGTCTAGGCAATGCTTTCTTATCTCACATCAGTGCTTGCGATGCCATCTTCCACATGACCAGTAAGATTCTTACTAATCAATATATTGTAGCACATATACAAAACACACATGTTATCTCATGATGTCTCAAATCTGTTTCCATTGTTTTGCAAAGGTGCGGTTAAGATTTTAAGAATATTTCATATATATAAACTTTAACTTGCAACTACATTGAATAATTAAAACAAATATAGCTCTATATTGTGCTATCAAGCAAAATCATTATAATAGTTAAACCCAATAGTGCAGATTTACTGCATGTAGTTTCTTTGTTTCATTTTATGCAGTGTTTTTCCTAAGCAAATATAAATCACAGGACCAATGGACTGGCAATATCAAAATTTCAACCAGTCCAGGCTAAGCATCATCAGTCATCTGGACCTGTAACTTCTGCTACATCACAGGTCCAAGTGAAAACCAACCAGTCCTTAAAATATTAAAGTTACTTCGAATTCAGAACTATATGTATTGGCACTTACCTTGTCAAAAGTTCAAAAAGAAATTTAAAAAATTAATACAGGAACCGGAAATTACTTTTGCTACACTGGACGAAAACAAATGTAGTTTGTATCTTCACCCGGGATTGTTTAACCTCCATTTATCCTACTTGATCAATTTATGAATCCCCATATAATTTCTCGTTATAATTATATTTATTAAATAGTTAGTGGACAGTAATGAAGTCCCCGTGTTGGAATTCCCGGTTAATTTGCTTCCATAATCAGAAATTTTACATCAAACGAAATACCATATGGTCACTACCCACAATTCATTTCGACCAATCAGAAAACAGTTTTTCGAAGTTATTGATAGATTATGCTACGCAATTTATCCTCGTTTGCAGACCTGAAACTCAACAAATATTTCAAAAAATCCTGTCTGTTTTAAAGATTTTCGATGTGATAATGAGTAAAATCTTGAGTAAATGAAGTTCAACGATCGGACTGATGTTTGAGGTAAGACTTTGGTGCATATCTTAGCCATCGGACTACTTGGACGGTCTTGTGGACTGGTTGGTTGGAATAAATCGTCAGTCAACATCATCGGAGATGTCCCATGGTCCAACGCTTAGGAAAAACACTGTTTTTATGACAAATTTGATTTTTGACGGGCACAAAAATTCTTAAGATAAATGATCAACACTAAATCCTTTCTGGCCCTACCTGATCTGTTATAATTAGTATTATCTGGTTCTCTTTTGTGTACTATTTTAGAAATCTTTTTTTCAAGGGGCCTTTGAGGATGATGATGTCACACATGTAGTGGGTAATGTGGACCCTGTTCGTGATATGGAAATTATACATGAAGAATTGCGACTCAAAGATGAGGAGTATATTAAGAAACAATTAGTTAGTTTAGAGAAAGTCTGTGGCCGAGGCAATGACAAATCTAAAAAGCATGAATGGGTGTGTGGTAAATTTCTCTATTTTAATGCTGCAATTTAATGTCATTTTTGAATTGTGACTTCACTCAAGATAATGTAGATTCCAGTGTGCAGGTTGTATAATGAACAGTTATTCATCTGTTGAGAATTAGAGAATGGCTAAGTTGCAATCTGATTGGATGAGAGACTCAAATATAGCATGGTTCTATTTGAATATTATGTATTAAACCTAGACTGAAATGAATTTACACTTTCTTATTCAATTTTCACAATATGGTGCAACTGTTTTGTTGTAGGATACAATGAAAAAAATTGATAAATTAGTGTGTGATGAAAAGAAACGGGTTCGAAATGGGACATGGGATGGCAAAGAAGTAGAAGTGCTGAATCAACATCTATTTTTAACCTGTAAACCCATGGTATACTTGGTAAACCTATCAGAAAAAGATTACATTAGGAAGAAAAATAAATGGTAAGTTCATGTATAACAACTTTTGCGACACTTTAAAGAAAACATATGGTTTTAATAAAAACCACTGTATTTGTACCCAGAAAATACTCATGGTGAAAGATTTGACTGTCTAAAATCACTTGCCATACTGCACATGGACCATTCACATTTATAAAAATATTTATATAAATTATACCTGGATTGGACTTGTAAGTACATGTAGTGTATTGATCCATTTGAACTTTTTCAATATGATCAGGTTGGTAAAGATAAAGCAGTGGATAGATGAGAATGACTCAGGATCTGTTCTGATACCATTCAGTGGTGTGCTAGAGTTGAAGCTCTTGAATATGGAGCCTGAAGAGAGAGAGGCTTACCTCAAGGAAAAGGGAATCACAAGGTGTGTACTTCTACAACATGTCAATTATTTGTTGCTCTTGTTTTCATCAAATTATCCTTGATGTTCAAATGATGAGATCTAATGTAAATAACTTTAATAGCTTTGTAATGATTTCATCATTTTTTCTAATTAAATCTTGCTATCTTTGTTTTGTATAAACTGAAGTGTTCTTAATGTAGTTTTCACAAGTGTGAATTTAAGTAAGATTATTGGCTCACACAGTGAGCCTATGGGATCGACCAGGCGTCCGTCCGTTGGTCCGTCTGTCCGTCCGTCCGTCCGTTGGTCCGTCTGTCCGTCCGTCCGTCGGTCCGTCAACATTGGCCGCACAAATTAAAACTGCTATTCGGATTGAGTCATATCCACAGTCATTTTATGCATATCCATAATGCCTATTGCACCTATCATCGCCATTTCCCAAGTTCGCCCGGTTTCTGAGAAATTGCTGATTTTGACGTCAAAAAGTCAAATTTTCTGTAAATACTAGACACTTTGTTTAAGTAGAACTTTCAAATAACTTGAAGTAGTTGCTGTATATGCAACTTATGTCCTCTGAAGATTTCAAGGCTCTTGGAATTAGTTTTTGGTGCTTGCTCTAGAAAATTTGACAAAAAGTAGGACTTAGTCATTTTCAGGAAACTTTCTTATGTATAAAGTCAATGGCAGGTTTTGTGATTGACAAGTTTCTCAAAGTTTGCCTTATACTTGATCATTTCTTGCAATGAATTACATCATAACTAGATTTAAGCATTCCCTACATATTGCTCAATATATGTCAGCATCAAATTTTTACCGTTTTTGAGATATTTGACGTAACAAAAACAGTAAAAATAAGTTATTTTTCAACTTGCTTCAATTTGACTAAATTTTTTTGAAAATCATCTACAAGTTACCAGGAGTTCAAATCTGACATTAGTTTTAGGATTTGACCTTTACTTGACCTTCAGTGACCTTTGAAAGGTCAAAAAGGTTGATTTTTCAAATTGATTTTTGGATGTAAATTTTGGTCAGCTTAATCACAAAAGACCTTACTGAGCTCTAAATAAGTAAAATTTTCAAGGTCAAAGGTCATCAAACTAGGTCCCACAACTGTGCTGTCTAAGTTTCTCAAAGTTCGAGACTACAAATCCAAATCAATATTTTTGTTTGAAAGTCAGGATATACATTCCTCTGAAGGTTCCAAACTGTGTGAGCACAGGACCGTGGGTCCTATTTTTTATGCTTTATTCATGGATTACATTTGTCTTGGTTCCTCTGTACTGCTGTACTGCTATAACATTGCTCTAGTTTTAACAGTACAATTTACATTTCAATGTACATGTACTTGCAGTGGGCTGGAGAAGATCATCCTGAATGGCTACAAGGCTTTGGGACTCATGTATTTCTTCACATGTGGCGAGGATGAGGTGAAAGCCTGGACCATTCAGGTAACACTAACACTTCTACTCAAGTATATTGTTACTACAGGGTGTCAAATACATATAGATGTCTCAAAGATAAGTTAGGGAGAGGGGATATACTATATTTGACACCGTTTTTGATAATCAAACTTTATCCAACACACATATTTATCGCACCCTTAATATGAATGGGTACATCAAGAAGATCGGTCTGGATGCAATGTTATCCCGTCTTTTTAATGTAATAGTATATTAGAAACCATGAATAGATCCTCTATTAATATCTGTTGTTTAAATGAACAACTTCTATTTGTAGCCTGGCGTTTCTTTAATTTGATGTACACTGTACATATAATTTAGATAATTTCTTAATATGTAAAAGTAGTTTGAGAAAGAGATGAGATCCAGTGCTTTTAAAAGATAAATTCAGATATATTTTTATTGCATGGTCACATACACACACTACTTAGACAAATTCAGTCTGCAATTCTGTTTACTAATTTCAGAAAAATACGAAAGCCCCTCAGGCAGCTGGCAAGATCCATACAGACTTTGAGAAGGGTTTCGTCATGGCTGAGGTGATGGCCTATGAGCATTTTAAGGAAGAGGGATCAGAAGCTGCAGTGAAGGTGAGATTAGCACTTTAACCTCATGAACATTTTTCAACCAGACTAATGAAAAGTTAATACTTTGATTTTCATTAATTCACAAGTCATAGGTCATGCTTCACTTGCATGTTATTGAACATTTCATGTTGCATGTAAGATAAATATAGTAACAAAGCACTAGTTATTCAGAATATATTATATAAAATTTATTATCACTTACCCACTTGAACATTGCAGTATGCCCTATAGAAAATGACCACAATTTATTTATGATAGATATTAATGAGCTTGTTTCTGATCTTCCAGGCTGCAGGTAAATATAAGCAGAAAGGGCGGACTTACATTGTGGAAGATGGTGACATTATTTTCTTTAAGTTCAATGCAGGAGCTGGACTTGGAGGGAAGAAAAAATAGGACAATTTGAATTTTTCTTAATATTTAAGCAATTGTTTTATTTTATGATGTGTGGGAAGCTGTGTAATGAAGTGAGTGATATTAACTGGAACATTCTCGGAAATATATCACTTGGTAAAATTTGAGTGCAAAGATAGAAGCATGGCTTGATGGCTTGAAAAACTTGAAATTGAATTAAGATCCAACATACAGCAGCTGTATGCCATTTTGTTAACTCCAATCCTTTTAAGACATTGGTCAACAAAAACAACATTTTATTTAAATTAATTCTCCCTTCTACTGTAAGACTTGGAATAAAATCAATGGTTTAGTATTCCTAGAGTAAGATGACTGGATAGTATGGGCATAAGTGATAAATTCTGCATGTATCCAACTATGAAGTTATTTGAACTTTTCTATGAAACTAGTTTTTGACACCTCCCAGATCACCAAGAAGTGTTGACATATATTGTAAGCCACCTTTAAAGATCACCATTAACACCAAAACTTGCATGAATTAGATGTGCCAACTCTCTGCCATCAGTGATCTTATCAGTGTTCCTTTGACGATGTACGGTATTGTATATTCTCCGCATGTTCATCGCAATAACATGATAATCAAGAATTGGTCCATACTACCATTATGTTGCCGTTAATTATACAATTATTCGAACCAAATGTGTCATGTTAACAGTTGATACTGTGTATAGTACAATAAACATGTGAATTTCCTAATATTTTCTGTTTATTAAATACATTCCTAAAGTTTAGTGTTCTGTTCAAAAGAGAAAGTAAATCCTCGAAAAAATATCCTTCCAGGTTAACTAAAAGTCCCACCATACTAATATTTCCTAAATATCTAATTCAAGATTGAAAAAGCAAAAATTGCTTCTCTTTATTTAACTTTTGAGTGTGAGTGATACCCTGGGCATTTTTGAGTCACAAAGGTCTGTTGCACATATAAAGCAAAAAATTTCCAACATATGTACATTGCAGCATGTTATCATGCATCATGGGTATTTATATTAAATGAAAATCTTGTAAGAATCAAAAAGGGTTAGCCTACACAAGTATCCAAACATTAAGTTCAATGACATGCCAATGTAATGTGGTTGTATGAATGTATGATTATGGGTAATGGTTATGTAGAATGATAATGGAAAAGATGTAAAACATTAACAAAAAGTGCCACCAGCTAATCTTCACACTCATTAAATTAAATGGTTAAATAAGCTGTACCAAAAAAAAACTTTATTTAATGGATATTGTATTTCTATACAACCTGGCAAAAACCAGCTTTAAAATGATATATGGCACATACTATGACGACACAGGTATATGTCTGCCTAGGGGGGCCCCATACTTTTGGGACACCCTGTATATGACATATTGAGGAATTATACTAGAATAGTATCCCAAAACTGCAAAAGTTCTATTATTTTTTGAAGTTTAGTTAATATGTGTATGTTATATTTTCTGATTTTCCATCTTCGATTTTCCATTATAAATAGTTTGTCAGAACTTGTTGTAGACTAGGCACCACATTCCACTTTCTGGCATTTGTCGTACCACGTAGCATTGCAGCCTTTACAGAAACTAGACCTGTGAATCGCAATCAGAACAGGAATTGTTCAAATGAAGTGTGATGAACATTTAACTAGTCCCAAATCCAAGGAATTAATTAATATTAATGTGATGTTATTAACTTTATATAACCAACTTTATTACATTCAGAATTGAGCTTAAAGCTGACTGAATATTTGTTTGTAACATTTTTTTGAAAAAAGTAACTGTAAACTTACACACAGATGGCTTCTGGATATCCACTGCATCCCTTCTCTCTGGCAATCTCACAGGGGTCTACAAAGCAATGGACGACATCCTCTGGGGCACAATCTGTAGAAAAATACAAATGCTGTATGTAGAGTGCAAACCAAATAAAGAATTAAAGTCTGAACTTCTACAGCTTGTAAGCATAGGAAGTATATCTTATAATAACAAACCTGGTATCCCGCAGTCTGTCACTCTAGAGCCATCTGATTGGTAAAAGATGGCGTTGCAGCCCCTACAGTAGTTAGGTCTGGAACAAGACAAATAGAACAGGATGCAAGAATTCTCATGGGCTGTGTCTGAAGCTCTATGATGATTCACGTGTTCACAATACACTAAGGTCCATCCGAAAATTTGTTCGAGACCCACGACCTACTGGGAAGGGGCTACCTTGGATTTGCATTCATAACATGATTCATAAGTACCTAAGTACATACTCTAGGGGTGAAGTACTATGTTACGAGATCTATCCCCCTAGCTGGGACAGTATCGCGTCCAAGTTTCTCGATCCCCGCCTAGTGAGAGTCTCACTCAAACCTTTGAATTATGCATTACCTACAAGTTGCTCCTGGGCAGGCAGGGCAACCTTGTGATAGATCACATGGATTACGTTCACATTGTACGATGTCCTCAGGTGGACAGCTTTCCTGTCCAATACCTGTAAATACCATTAATCTTCATAATGTGATGGTGGTACAATATTATCAAAACACAATTATATGCTTAGTAATACCTTTTTCAACCATGTTGTAATACAAAATTCAGTGTTAGTGTCCCCGGGTCAGTGTCCAAATGCTTCGAAATAAAAATGTGGATATTCACACATTTGGAAAATGAATGTCAAAATCTTCAGTTTTCCTGTAATGATGTTTGAGGACTTGAAAAAATAAATATGAACTAGTAAACCACGAACTATATATTAAAAACAATGTCGCGCGTAAAAACGTTGCGTGTAAAATACGTTAACCGTTGACCAGCGCGAGAAAATAGTTGAAAATTGTCGCATAATGGCAGCCGATACTGCGTCATATGATTTGAGCCTGGCCACAGTGAAAGGGGTCTTATCACAGATTTTTTCAATATTCTGAGTTTTTGTTTATCTTAAAAAGCACAAAGACCTTTCAAATGAGCCATGGCTTGTGTCTTAACATTTTCATCCAAACAAAGCAAAGTCTCTACTTTCCCCATCTCAAGTGAAGTTAAAGAAAGACTCTGTTAAATCAGAATGCAGTTACATGTACCCATTCGATTCCATTCCAAACGTAACGAAATGGTACTTACATTGGCCAATAGCGATAATGAAGACAATCAGCCACGTCATTTTGGGCACTTGCATGTTCCAACAGAGTATGCAACTGCAATACTTTATTTTGTAGAAGGCAATCGTTAACCATGCCTTACATATTTTATCTCAGCATTTTATAGATAACATATCGATTGTATTTCATTTTTGAAATTGGGCTACTTATACTTGTACATTATGAAATGCATGTATAAATGTAAGCTTACTATGTTTGGTGAAATGTTATGTAATGTTAAGTTCGCATAACGGGGTATTCTCAGTCTCTGGGCTATAACAACACAGAATAGCCATTCTACATTTTACAATAAATACATGGTTATAAAGGAAGAGCGCCGATCGTGTGTGAAAAATATAATTAGGAACATAATGATACGCCAAGTAGATCAACCTTGCAAAATAAAACCTTTGCAAAGATTTTTTCTGGTTGAATTTCAAATGTAGGTTGCCAAAATCTTTTCCGAATGCGAATAAGACATTATGATTCTTATAGAACGTAAATTTAAATTCCATTTACTGGATAGATGCTATCATAAGTTTTACGAATAATTTTCGTTCTAAAGGAACTAAAGGACTTGACAGCACGTTTTTCATTGAACCTTACATTCAATATGATTTACGAACATTTCTGTTTGTGGTCTACACGTTTCTAACTCAATGGGTTGATTCAAAGGGCATTGTATATGATATGATATGATTTGCATTAGTGCATGTAGTAAAGCGGCAAATTTAAAATGCTATGGTATTTAAGAGCTCCAATAGTTGTATCTATCATATACCATGTTAATGGTATTAACATTTTCAATGTATGTGCCACTGTTTTAAAAGTGATTCCAATAAATAAATAAAAGAAAAGAAATGCCCCATATGTATTCATTGGCTTATTTATGGTCATATGATATGAAATAGATGAACTTAAGTCCGAAATCCCTGCTGAAGAGGGAAGATGAAAAGTACTAATCAGTAATCACCAATTCGGTCATGTGACCAGTCATTTGTACCTATTACCTTCCCTATAACAGGGATTACAGGAGTTGATAAAATGCCTTAAATGTAATTTAACCCACTTAGGTAGGAACAAAATAGAATGAACCGTTTGTTTTATAAAGAATGTACAGTTGTTACAAAGATGAGTGCATTTTTTTTCTATTATTTTTAAAGAATGGACACTCGGCAAGCTATCCAAAACCAGTGTGGCAAAAAGACGATTGACAGTTTTTGATAGTTTCCATCATTTAAATCAATATGCAAATGTACTACACATGTATAGCCTTTGGCTATTATTTATCCCGAATCCAGCTCCCATATTTTATCCGTAACATAAGAACCTGTGAATTAAATGTTGTTATTAAGATATTTCTTATTTTATATTTGTTTACAGAGTACATATGGGGTGTATAAAAAACAAATAATGAGTGCCACATTTTTGGGAAAAAATATACTATAATAATTTTTTTCCGCTGTGGTGGAGCAGTTTCACAGTTCACATTTGCAATTACTCCGTAACAGTCCCTTATGGGACCTCAAACAGAAGTGAAAGTTACCTGCAAATGATATATTCATTGCATGGAGTAAGTGATTTTCTTTTTTAACGAAACATATGAGTTAAAATTAAATTGTGTGGTTTTCTTAGTGTTTCATGAAAATTAAAATGCTCCGTAACAACGGACAAATCTTTCGATATCAGCCTGTGCAAAAGTGAAAGATAAGGTAAAATAATTGCGATGATAGACAATGAAGTACACAACTATTTACATAATTTCCTTTTTATTAGGTCATCTCCAAATATATGGCCATAAGGCCGACATGCAAAATGTCACCAATCTGCCATTTGTCACCCAAAACGTTGGAGACAAACATTCTGGTGATGACATAATAATTGAATACCCAACACGGCTTGGTTTACATATTCATTTAAAAATGACCATTAAATCCGTATCTCGCTCACATATCCGCACCGAGTGTTATAAGTAAGCACCACCCATCTGCAAAATGTTTAATAATAGCATATGGAATGCTTGATAATTCAATATGGTTTGGACTTGCACCTTTTCAATTTTCAAGGCAAATAATTTACTTTCTATCCTATACACCATCAGTGAAATGTTGTAGTGTCATTTACAATGAGAATAACAGTGCTACCAGATTATAAGATATACAAATACATATATTTACAATAAGCAAACAAGCAAAATGTCTCAAAGTTTTCCGATTGATAATAATTATAACAACGTTGCTACTAAGACTAGAAACGTAACAAAAATCGCACAAGCACCCACTTCATTACTACTAACCGCCCATCTGCCTAGACCATTATCTTTGCTATACCTTAGTATATCAAACGCACCAAGTAAAACTGTCAGGCAGTCACCAATTAAAAATCCTATGTCCCTGGATTTCTTGAATGTTTCATTCCCAATGAATAAGTTGTGCAAGAACTGGTCAGATGCACTGATGAATATATGGGCGGATGCTATGGAGATCATGCAAAGCAAAAGTCTAGTATTGTAGTCTACTCTGCTGTCGCACAGATATAGAGCTATGGATGTAGCTGCCAATTCGGTGATGCTGAAGAACATCTGATGGTTCCACTGAGAATAAAATTCATCATTGAGATAGTTGAACCACATCCACCAGGAATAATAGTGTGGATAGATGGAGCCACCTACAACAATCACCATGGAGATCCTAAGATGGCCATGTAAGATCAGCTGAGTGATGAAACGGACACATTGAAATGTCCACAGCAGGAACAGAAGAGAGATTCCCCAGATGAAGAGCACATTTGAGGTGACATTAAAGTAGATATGCTTGTAGCCAGATCTGTAATTTGGAGACATCCCTTCATAAGAACCTGAAATGGTAAAAAATTATGATCACATGACTCGAAGGAAAAGTCCCTTAGCCAGCAAAAGAACATACATGCAATGTCCAATGGTACATACATAAGGGTTATTTACTGGGAGGTTTTGGATATGGGGTTTATCCAGAGGGAGATATGCATATCTACCTGAGGGACCGTAGGGACCGAAGGTAGATGTGCATATCTCACGAGGGATGAACCCCATATCCAAACCGACCGTACATAACTTCATTATCCTATACCAAGAAGAGTTTTCAGGGGCATATGGCCATTTCAATAGAACAAGGTGTAAAAATAAAAAATCAAGTCATTTTATTGCATTACCGGAAGCGGGAAGATATGCACCGGAAGCGGGAAGATATGCACCGAAGCGGGAGATATGGCGGGAGATATGGAGGTTCTGGATATGGAAACCTCAAAATCAGGATACGGGATATATCTTACCAACTTATCTCCCTAAAACTCTACTTGGCATAGGATAATGCAGAATATAATTATACTCCAGGGGCGTAGCCAGCTTTCGGTTTTCAGTCAGGGGGTGCGAGTGTGGCACAAACAAGCCAAAAAATTAAGATTAATCTTGAATTTTACAAACATTGTAAAATGCAACCTTGAGCTAGAAGCTTCAAATATAAACCATTTTAAAGGTCTTGTTCTATCTCATGGTTATATTTTTAATGGTTATGGGAGGGGGGGGGGGGGTGATCACTCATATCCTTAAAAACAGTAATCCACGTCTGCAAGTCGCATGCTGGCTGCCAGAAATATGTTTTATTAGTCTCATGCATGTGGGTTTTAGAATAATCGCATGCGCATCCATGCACTCCAAAGTCACTTATAAAATTATTACATACAAGGGCCGATCAAAAAGTTTCTTACCGTTGGCTCTCAATTTTATAATAAGAGGAGTTGGAAGCTCAAACTTTAACATGAGACAGGATAGATAGTTTGCTTGAAACTGTACGAGTTTCATATAAATTGGTTTATTGGTAGTGACACAGAGTCAATTCATATTTTCAATGACACAGTAAGGTGGAGCAGTGTTATATATAAAATATCTGCCGAGTTGTGGTTCTGGAAATTTACAGACATCGTTTCAAACCTCTCATACGAAGGCCTTAAACATGTGTTTTTGGATCGAGTGGACAGATATAGAAAGTGCATTGCAACTAGGGTTGAATATTTTGAATGAGAATGAATACTAGCAGAAAAACTAATTAAACATGATTAAACTACAGTTTGTTGACAAATGACACTACTTAGTGTAAGAAATTTCCAAAACTGCAGCTTAGCACAGTTTTTTATAAAAAACGCTGCTCCACCTAATTCAATCATTGAAAATATGTATTAACTCTGTGTCACTACCAATGAACCAATTTGAATGAAACTCAGACGGTCTCAGGCAAACTTATTACCCTGTCTTATGTAAAAGTTTGAGCATCCAACTCCTCTTATTATAAAATCTAGAGCCAACGGTAAGAAACTTTTTGATCGGCCCTTGTACAAGCATCAAACAAAGGCATGCAGTCTATACGTACAAAGTGATGAGACTGCATTGATAAATGGGACTAGCGCCAGTACAGGACGAAGTTTCTGCAATGACAATATGACATCAATTATCGATGAACAAAACGTTTTCGCTATATCACGGCGTCCAACAAATTGTGATTTCTAATTTGTGTGTAAATATTAATAAATATTAACTCGAATATTAAACTCATTTAGTCCATATACTGATATAATATACAGGCTATACATAACATTCTTTTATGTGAGGGGCAATGAAGTACAACAATTTTCTTACCTTTAAATATTGTGTCCCAGCAATCGCAGGTACACTTTCCTTTATCAACTGGAGGTTTTGTCACCCAGATCCTGAAAGAATCACGGGAAATTGCATATTTTTAAATTTGATATTTAAATAAAACTTTTTCCTATTTTCCTTAATATTAAGCCACCAATTTTTGCCAAAATGTCCTTTTGATCAATGCAATCAAAGTATGGTTTCGGGTTTATTTTTGATACTTTCAGCTTTGTAAGTGGATATGAGGGACAGCACCATTCAGCGATGGAATTTTACAGAGACAGTTTGTTCAAATCATCATATAATTGTCTTTCTATTCATATCTCCAGAAAGAGGTAAGTGGAAATGCCCAATGGAGTTTTTACCTTTTTCCATATAATGGGGCATGTCAATTTCCTGCATGAACCGAACGTACTAATTTTCTGAAAGGATCTGGTATGGTATACTGACACAGTACAGAAGAAACTTTTGGTGTCATCGTAAGAAATGTCATATTTTAGGAAAAAATCCCGATATTTTGTAAAATTGAGATGGAGTCCTAAATATATATTTTTTGGAGAGGTGGATTGGGATTTTGATATCCTAATAACTGTACTTGGATGAAATCATATTATTTTAATGTAGTATTTATGATCGGAATACAATCATGGTCAAAGATATGACTGTCTGAAATTATTTGCCATACTTTACCTTGTCTTTTCCAAGAAATGGTACATCATAATTCATCAGCTATGGGGCCAATTATTTGTAAAGAGAAAATAATTAAATATAAATGGCCAGACATTTTAGAAAGAGTTCATGATTGAATGAGAGGTCAGCATGAAAAAATTCTTTACACTTACAATAATTATATAAAATTTGTGTTATTATTTGGGAATTTTGTAATATGGGTTAGGTTTAGTAGAAACATACCTTTGTACTACTCCCATATGTATTGATGGCACGAGGAAAAGGAAAAGGAACCCTACAACAAAAAATGAAATTTAGCGTGGACAATGGACACGTCTCTTATACGAGTTGATAACATTAACAACCATGAAACATAAACAATTCCAAATGAAAATGAATGTCTTGTAACAGTACTGATATTGTCTAATTGAAAGCCCATGATACGGTCCTCCACCAATCCTCACGGTGAGGCCTGAGACAGACAGTTTCCGTATTGGTTTGAAATTCTCGTTTTTTCATGATATTTAAAAAGATTTGCACTTTTAACCTCTAACAACAAACTTTTCTTTCTTTTTGATAGCATATTTGAATTCAGCGAAATGTTTTCTACAACAACTTTGATTTACACTTATGTCATTAATATAATTTTCCATGACTTTAAAAAAAAAAGTTGGCCAAATCTCCATTGATGCAATGCTAAGATTCTTTAAAACTTTGTTTTTTTCATTTGACAATCAACGATTTCATAGTATAGCATTTTAGTTTTAGACATGTTCAATCATCTCTTTTTGATAAATCATGAAAGTAACTATTGCAAGTATCATTAAGTAACTATTGCAAGCTTTTAACACTGAAGTGAATGGCACTGTGGCCCAAGCAAAACAAAGAATGTCATGGGTGACATCTATTATGTCAGCTTTATTCAGCTATTTAGAAATTATACAATTTGCTAAACATCTCTTAGACGCAGGTCCTAACTTCGACCGTTAATTTGAATTTTTGTCCTACCAAATGCTCGAAAATCAAGGATTGCGAGTCTCATACTGCACCGTTTTTCTTCAAACTTATACCATTAAAAGCAAAACAAAATTGCCTTTCTGTCGGTGCATTACTTTATTGTAAAGAGTCCCTCGTTCTAGCAGCGTTTTGGTCCCCAGCTGTTAGAAGGCCATCTAAAAGCTGGGGACCAAAATGCCGCTGGAAGTAGGGACTCTGTTCAAGAGAATAATGTACCAATAGAAAGGGATTTTTGTTATGCTTTGAATGGAACAAGTTTGAAGAAAAATGGTGCAGTACGAGACTCGTAATCCAGATTTTCAAACATCCGGTAGGTCTTTTTTTTCTTTCCATTTTTTTTTTTTTTTTTTTCCCCCTTTATTTCACTATATTTTTTACAGTTACAGTATAAATACATATTCATAATCAGGGATTTGAAAATGGTTAATACTATAAGGGTACAAGTATCTCAAAACAATCACAAATTATATAAAGTATCATTGTTATCCTATGCTGCATTTAGGGTTGCCCTATGTAACTGGAGATCCAGAAACAACTTGGCGGTCATAAATGCCTCAGATAAAAATTCACTGTGCACAATTTGCTAAATACTAATCATTAATGGTAGAAATAAAACGTTAACCCCTTAACCTAAATTAAAGCTGGTCAGAGCAAAGTGTTAAACTTCATGTAATAATTCATTAAAATTCACTTTATCTGTAGAGTTAAATACATTTTTCATTATCATAAAATTTGGAGCTGGTTAATAATATGAGGGTGCAAGTATCTCAAAACAATCACAAATTGTATAAAGTATCATTGTTATCCTATGCTGCATTTAGGGTTGCCCCAAGGGCGTTACAATACCCGGGAATTTATCGGTTCGTGCAGTACTTGTTTGTGATAGCGCCCTCTGTAGGTCACTGTGCTTATAGCCTACAGTAATACGGGGTAGGATATCGGGAATTCGGTCAGTTTCTATCCGTCGATTTCGCTATGAATTGAAGCAAGTGTGACCACTTTATCCACTTAAACAATTTGATAATTGATTAAATCTTTAAACAAAATCGATAAACACGTTATACACTTCCTATCTCCTTAGAAATTCAAATCCAGAAATTACCAGACACTTTCTTTATCAGGGGAGCTGTCAACACATCTGATAAGAAGTGTTCTATGCAGCTCTAGTGAAACTTGATGCTATGTTTTGGCAATACAAGATGCAGCCTACTTGTAAATAAAATACAGTTATCCATGTACGTAATATATGGTTCAACAAAAAAAAACAACTAAAAAACAACAACTAAATATGAGAAACTAATGTGGTATATGCCATGTTTATGTGTCTGATCATATAATCTTGAAATTATCCATCAATTTCTTAAGAAATTGGCGAAATTAAGGAAACCAGAAAACACATTTGATGAAAGGGCGGTGTTTATAGCCTGTATGAAATGCCCCTGCATTAACGCTCATATATATGAGTTTTAAACATTAATTTAGTAGACTAAAGTGTTGATGCGAAATCTCAGTAATAGTACCAGTTAGGAGATAAGGTGATGTCCGATTTAACATTACGATTGCTGGATATGTAGCATGTATTTATGGATTGTGTTTTCGAACAAGGCTCGACCCATACCAATAGGGAAATCCTTATGCTAATTAGTATGACGTCATATTTTCCTGGGGAATCCTAGATTTCAAAGCCTCAGTCTGTTATTGTGTCAAATGTAAACGCTCTTGGGACGCTCTTTTGCAGACAGAAAATTGACAGATTAGCTTTTAACTTTCAGCTTTGATGTTTAAATATTCTGTATTTCTACCGGACTTCTTGCTGAATATCATATAATGTTATAACTTGATTTGGATCATTGCCTGATTGATCATTCTGAAATTTTGATTGTGATTCATGATTGATTGGCAAGAAAAATAATTCATATTGTTTTCCAGCGAAGTCAAAATGTTACAGCATGAGTTATAATGTCGATTTTGCATCATGCTAAATTCTGCTAGTGATTAGAAGTCCATGCATAAGCATACACATAAGAGACAAACACACCCAGGCTCCAGGCCGTGGATGGAAATATAAAACTATTTAAGGCACAAACTGGTATTAATAGACCGATATGTAGTGTCTGCCATGTATTGAAGGTAAACCAATCTGTATTATTAATGTTTCTTCTATCAATACATGGGTTGTGCAATAGAAAAGCAATGGCACAATCAAAAATGTGCATATCAATCGTGAATATCTTTCGGTTCAAAGCTTATTTCCAACAGAATCGTGTCAAAATATGTGTCTGAGTAACAGTTATACATTATAAGATCGCAAACTCTTACCAATTATCAGCCGAATGGCTCATTTTCAACGAAATGTCCTTAAGACAACAGCCCTGGGTCGCGCCTGAGACCAAAAACTACTTCAAATAGCCCTCCCCTAATTATATCAAGGGAAAGAACAATACCCGGTGATTTCAGCGGGAAGTGGCGTTTCGTTCATTGGATGAGCTGCGCGCGCACGCATAAATGTGATTATCCAATATAATTAGGGGAGGGCTATTTGAGGGCTAATTTCTAAGGAGATAGGAAGTGTATAACGTGTTTATCGATTTTGTTTAAAGATTTAATCAATTATCAAATTGTTTAAGTGGATAAAGTGGTCACACTTGCTTCAATTCATAGCGAAATCGACGGATAGAAACTGACCGAATTCCCGATATCCTACCCCGTATTACTGTAGGCTATAAGCACAGTGACCTACAGAGGGCGCTATCACAAACAAGTACTGGACGAACCGATAAATTCCCGGGTATTGTAACGCCCTTGATTATATTGGATAATCACATTTATGCGTGCGCGCGCAGCTCATCCACTGAACGAAACGCCACTTCCCGCTGAAATCACCGGGTATTGTTCTTTCCCTTGGTTGCCCTATGTAACTGGAGATCAGAAACAACTTGGCGGTCATAAATGCCTCAGATAACAATTAACTATACTATGCACAATTTGCTTAATAAAATGTAATTCAGTTAAAGAGTAAATATTGTCATCCTCTTAATTTTAAATCTAGACAGAGTGTTAAAAGTTAAGTTCAAATGTTCAAATATTTAATTGAAATCACTTTATCTGGCTCTGAAAAATAAATAATCTGTGAATCACTGTCATTTGTCACTTAGCCTCATTTCAAATGCATTGTCATTAGATAAGAAAAGGAAAATATTTCATGCTATGTTGAAGAGTCCTCAAGATAGATTAATCCAAATTGTTTAACGAAATCAAAGGATGTTCTTTACTTTTAAACGTTTTTAAAAGTTTTGAATGATATTGTCAGGGTTCAATTGCAACTTGATCATATTGTCAAACTTGGTCAATGATCTCTCTGCAGCAGCTTTGCACATTTCATTAAAATCCTTTGTGCTGGTGTCTTCCTCAGTTTCCAAATCATCCTTCATAACTTGAGTTTGTATATTTCTTCGACTGCACTTAGCCAGTTGAAACGTATCAGTAGCCTTAGTTTTTGTTCGGTAGGTCAAATATTCAAATTAACGGTCGAAGTTAGTACCGCGTGTTAGATACAAGTTTACATTTTAATAAATAGTATCGTTTTTCGGGTACTAATTTAAAACGGGGATTCCAATACACAGAGGTTTTAAAATGTCCCACTATTGTTGACAGACAGATGGACGGATTTCCATATTCACAGTAAATACTGAAAACGACGATGATTTGCCAATATATTTCCTTCAAACACACACTCATGATCGTATGTTGTTATTGCTTGGATAATAAGGGTTTGAGATATGACACGCTAGATAACAGTACTTCCTTTTTTTCAAGTGTGCGTTCAAGTGACACTTGTCATTTAAATTTTATTTTACCCATTACTATTTTAAGGTGTGATGTTAACTTATATAGACAATGCTATCCTGGATATGTAGGAATCCAATAAATACGTTTTCAGAGAGTCCGGCCCTGTCTTTAAGATGCCCCAAACTTTTAAATTCCATAACTTTAACAACTATTTTCCTTACCTTTATACTCAATACTCACTGATATAGGGGAAGCGGGACAAGAAGGGACACTAAGACTTCTCTCGTCATATTTATTAATCATTTAGGCACAGGTATTTTCCCCAAAAATGACCCTCGTTGATCCATCTTTGTAACTCCGTGTTAAAATCTATGATTATTTAAAGTAGTTTTCTGTAGAACGGCCATTCCTTCTCCCCACGGGACCCTTCTTGTCCCATGACTAAGGTGATGTAAAACCTACTGTGTAACAGCATGTTACAGTGAGAGGCATTACATGCGCATCGGGAAAATACCATTGTATTTCAGAGAAGTTATGTCTTTTAGAATGGACAAAGGTTATTAATAACCCGTAAATGTTATAATGGAATATAACCCGTAAATGTCTTCAAGAATCGTCAAAATTGACTATGGCACCGCTGTCCCCTAACCAACTCCATTTTCTAAATATTTCTTTTTTAAATCAAACAAAGTGGAGATGAATAAATTTGAAAGATCGCAAATGTTTTAATCGGTATTGACAAATCGGCGGGTGTTTAATAACAACCCCTTGTAATAACCCCTTATAATAATATTGTAAAAGTACAGAAAAACATATTTCGGAATAAGAGTGTATGACGTCTGGGCCGTTCTCGTCGTATTTGGACGTCGTATTTGGACAACAAAATTCCGGCAAAAGAAGAATGACGATTGATTAAGTGTTTGTACAGTGTGGCTTAATTATGACTGAGATAAAGCAGCTTTAGAAGTTACAAATAAATTGTGTGAATAATTCTTGATATGTCTTGGCTCTTACGAAAATCAAGGACGTCTTTGCGAAAATAAAACGCTCCGGATCAAAGATTATTCTATTTTTTTACAGAAAAGGTCACTGCAAGTTATAGTTATCTTTTTTCTATTTTGGATCTTGTATATTTCATGATCAGAAGTAGGCTATTCAAAAGTATTTTAGAATAGAAAGCTGCTTTATTATTAGCGTGTCTCGGGTTTCACTGATGATGTTTTTGGATTAGCCTTGCCCAAGTCGGTCTCTTCTACTTATCCTGATTTCTATTATAATATTAATTCAAGATCAGACTAGAGCAAGGCTAATTTAGGATCTATAGACGACAATTTCATTCATAAATGAATTTCATATGTCTTGATAAACTAGTATCAATTTTTATGTGAAGCTCAAAATTCACTTTGAACTTTTTTGTTTACTATATGTAGTACTATGTAGTACTTACCACAAAGATTAGAGAGAATAAATGACAGATGGGATTTTCCCTCGGCCCCCCTCCATGATTTTTTACTGGATATCATCGGCCCGATTTACACGTGGTCCGTGAAGACGAAGCTCTCTTTTAAGAAGTGAAGTCAAACGAATGTAAAGGGTATCTACAAGCTCAAATGTTCTTTCTCCCCAAGAGTATCGAAAAGTACCTGCAAATAATAACAACGTCTAATCTAAAATGTCGCGATGCCTACTCATAAGGATAAAGGTTAAGTTTTAACGAATATGTCAGAATAACGCGGGGAGAGTTGGATGACTTTTGGACTCGTAAATGCACTTACAGGGTTAGCCAAAAAATGTGAACATTTTTCTATTTATTCAATCGTCTTTATTATTGCGGTTCAATCATGGAGTTAGAAGTCCATGGTTCAATCCACAAAAATCCAGATAATGGTAAAATGATTATTTGTAAAAATGTTAAAGATAAAAAAATGTATATAATTATTTTTGGCTTGCCATGGTCATGATCTGTGGTCTCAATACAACCTCCATAAATTAAAACACGTAAGTTATCTCTAGAAGAAGCAAGATATGTTGCAAAGACATGTTGCAAAGAAATGTTGAGCTTGTATATTCATATTTCGATTAAGCAGTTGACAATGAATTGTTTTTCAATTTACATATTAGTATTGAAGAATACATACAATGGATGGAAAACTCCAATAGCTCAAAAAATGTCCCTATTTTTCACTCTTCAGAGTTGTAACATCCAGTTGTTACAATACTACGTGTAGTTCATACACCTCGCGGTAATGAATGTCTTCAACCTTAAAGACATAATTACTCCCCTCCATTCAATTTTGATTACTTTCGATAAATTTTTATCTAACGCATGGAAACGTATTAAAAAAACAACAATGATAAAAACGTCATTCATAAGTATTTATTACGGGTCGGGTAGACCATTGTTGCTTGATTTGTAACATCACTATTATTATTAAATCATTATTATATGCATCAATCAATACTTTATGGACTTCAAATAAAAGATATAACAGATTTAGATGATAAGTTTGCAAAAGTACCAGATAAGGCAAATCATTTTTGACCATTGTGACCTCAAATTTGCCGGTCCAGTGATCTTGATTTACAAGTGGGTCCACCACTGTGCTAAAATGAAAAAACGAAGCTGCCGTCGTTGAGTGCACCTGCACTATTTACACGATTACCAAATTGTTTAACTCCAGCCAAAAAAAACCGAATTGTACAACTCCAAGTGAAATAGAATCTAGTGAAAATGGTGATGGAAGTTTTGATCAAATGTGCCAATTTTGCTGCTATTAAACACAAAGATCAGAGAAGGAAAGATACAGATAAGACACCATACATCAATCATCCTATAGGTACTATTCAAACATACATGAAGTGAAACAATTCACCGCTCAAGGCAAAGTAGTCCAAATCACTTTCTCATCTCGGGTTACATTTTTTTAGCCATCTTTTACTATCTTCTTCTTCTATTGCCTCTTGAGGATAATTCGTACTATGTCACACGACCTTTTGTGATTAGACTGAAAGTATTCCAAAGTTTGAAATTGGTCCCAAGTTTAAATATTGGAATTACTCTAATATATACCACTTATCTTTTGTTTATTCTCTTAGTTACGAGTACAGCATTACTGGTTTGAATAGTGCATAAGTTAGCATGTTCATAAGTATTAAAAAACTTCTCCAGATGTACTGTATATATTAACTCATGTAAGTACACTTGCTCTTCCAGGTGTCGCTTATATTTTAACTGAAGAGGGAGGAATAGCAGATCCTGAGGTAATACAGGTGAGTCACACAAACGTGCTACACAAATGTATATGTAGAGTCCATTTCACTGTTTAACTGCGTCAGTAAAAGCTAAAAAATAAGAAATCAAAATATCATTTTGCAATAATATATGGAAAAATATATTCCTATTGTACATGAATGACATTTGTATATCTTGGATTGCTTCTAGTTTGGCTTATAAAGTGTGTGGCCTCTTATATTTGGATGTTTCTCTGCCATGTTATTTTAAATAAGATTAACATGGCCGAAATTCTTCAAATTACAAGACGGCACAGGCTTATTGCACAAAAAACTAAAAAATCTGAAATATACAAATGTCATTCATGTACATTATGAATATACTTTTCCATATATTATTGCACAATGGTCTCCCAATTTCTTATTATCCCATCGAACAAAGTTCGGAGGGATATAGGGAACGCCTCCGTCCGTCCGTCCGTCCGTACGTACGTCCGTCCGTCCGTACGTACGTCCGTCCGTCCGTCCGGGCAATAACTCAAATACCGTTGGCCCGATTTTGTTCATATTTTGTACACATATACCCTATGGGGGTAGAAGTTCTGCTCGAAAGCCGATTTTCAAAATGGCCGCTCATTTCAAAATGGCGGCCATTTTAGTGCCGAATTTACAGTAATTTAGGTGCAATATGTAAAACTGTAATAGCAATATGTTTTAGATGTAAAAAAATTATAAAGGACATTAATAAAGCTAGAAATGTAGATATTAAAGAAGCACATGGCAGCCATCTTGAAAAATGGCGGCCTTTACTCGTTATTTTACGATTTTTGCTGTAACTCGAAAAGTAGTGGAGAGATTTTGTTCATATTTGGTATGTGAATACTATAAACATTGCACACTGTCTAAAGACACTTTTGGTAGAAAGTGGCCATTTTAAAAAATGGCCGCCATTTTGAAAAATGGCCGCCATTTTAACCTATTTTACTATAACTCGAAAAGTAGTGAAGCGATTTTGTTCATATTTGGTATGTGAATACTATAAGGATGGCACACTGTCTAATGACACTTTTGGTAGAAGGCGGCCATTTTTCAAAATGGCCGCCATTTTAACATATTTTACTATAATTCGAAAAGTAGTGAAGCAATTTTGTTCATATTTGGTATGTGAATACTGTAAGCATGGCACACTGTCTAATGACACTTTTGGTAGAAGGCGGCCATTTTTCAAAATGGCCGTCATTTTAACGTATTTTACTATAAATCGAAAAGTAGTGGAGCGATTTTGTTCATATTTGGTATGTGAATACTATAAGTATGGCAAATGGTCTAATGACACTTTTGGTAGAAGGTGGCCATTTTGAAAAATGCCTGCCATTTTTGCTATATACTTTGTTTGTAAAAATGCCATCCATGGCTGTTCGATGGGATTCGCTACGCTTTGGCGTTGCCGTTGTTCTGGTTTTTGCCGTTCTACTGACGAAATGAAGCAGTGAAATGGACTCTATGTGCTACATTTCTTGGACAGATAGCTGATACAAATAATGGCATTTTTAGCTATCTGTCTGGAAATATCAGGCCTGTCAACTGTCCCGCAATTTGCGTATTTGTCACGCATTTGCTGATTTGAAAAATTTGAAGTCACGCCAGTTTTTTTTGCGTAACATTTTACCTGGTGATTGTCAAGCAAAAATATTTCTGTAGAAAAATTTTCAAAATATGTTTACGATACGGTAAAAATACGAACGTCGGAAAAAAAACCGAACGCAATTTGTTCGGATTTGTCACGCGAATCCCGTATATGTCACGCATGCTAATTGGAAACTTTCGTACCTACCCCCACCCCCAAATGACAAATTGTTTGATGTTATATGCTATGCCTTGGCATGATACTGTTGTCTTTGTATTTTTGATTATCATTCCAAGTTGCCACTGAAGATGTTTCTTTGTGCACCAATCAAATGAAAACAGTCATTGGAAAACAAATTCCTTGACCATTGTACCAACTAAAGCTAAAGCTTGGCATGGTGAGTCATCAACTACTTGAGTCTGTATGTCAATTTTGAACTATTATGTGTATTATGCAAGTGGTGTAACTGTAACCTTCTGAGGTATAAAATTGACAAACTTACGAATGGATTCTTCATACCAACTAACATACAATAATTGAGTAAAAGATGCCTTACTCACAGCCTGTTTCATTCAGTTGATTTAGATCTTCATTTACACATATTTGATGTCTTCCAGGCAGCGCTGTTACACGACACTGTAGAAGACACTGAATGCACACTAGATGAAATAAAGGAACATTTTGGAGACCATGTTGCAGGTGTGTATTAGCCTCATACCTATGTGTATTATGGATGGGCTGTGATATCTCTGTTGAGCAACATGGAGAACTCTTGTACTCAATCAACGGCTACATCACATAGAACTCTCATTAAAACTTGCATAAGTATATCACTTGTTGAACATGACTTAAGGAAGATGACTTGAGATAGATAGGCTAGGATTTATTCAGTATTTAAAGGCCTCTGAACAATCTTAGGAGTAAAGCTATTTGTTTTGGTCCATTACTGTATTATGAATGATTACTTTTATAGATTTTATAGGATAATAACTACTTGATTTAGAATAATATTATGAACAAAATTTTATAAATAAAGATCACTTGATTAAGTTGTACAATCGTAATGACTTTTCAGGAATTGTGGATGAAGTGTCTGATGACAAGACATTACCAAAGATGGAGAGAAAGCGGCTGCAAATTGAACATGCATCAAGCTGCAGCCCACAAGCCAAATTGGTTAAATTAGCTGACAAATTGTACAACCTGAGAGACTTGAACTGTTGTACCCCTGAAGGCTGGTCCGAAGAGAGGGTCACTGAATATTTTGAATGGGCAGCTAAGGTTGTTAAGGGACTAAGGGGAACCAACAAAACCTTGGAGAATGAACTTGATAAGTTATTTAGAAAAAGAAACATAAGATTCGCAGAGGAGGATGAAAATGGTGTTTGCTGAACATAATTGAAGTCATCAAGTGCTTTGGTCTGTTCATTGGCTTTCAACTATAATTGAAAGCCCATGGGCTGTTCATTAAGAAATAAACCAGAAATAATAGAATACTACCTTTTCAAATGCGACAAACTCCAAGAACTATGGGAGAAATTACTTCACTATGCAGACCGTTTTTTACTTGAGTGTGAAGACATGTTTACGCTAGACTTGAAATCAACAGGAAGCTGAATGATGTATTCAGAACCTTTGTCATAAAAGGCAAAATATTTTAAGTGCATAATTATACAAACATTAGATAAATTAAAGTAAAACATAAAAAAGAGACTTCTACAAATAATCAGGGTAGAACTCACAAGTGGTAGTACAAAGTGAAAACCGGCACCAGAGACTAGATAAAGGTGGCATTGGATATATGGATATATGGATTGGATATAAACAAACAATTAGTATTTGAAGAAACACATACTCAGTTGGGATATGGAGAAAACTTGTCTTACCTGTAAGAAATCTCACATGTAATATTTGACATTTTTTGTTGTGACTCAAAATGTAATTCAGCATTTTTGTTAATTCTGTACATGTAAATTAATAGAATGTAACATAGTACGTACATGTAACATGTATCTTTTGATGGTTTGCTTGATATAACAGCCATTTAAAAAGTTAATGTATGGAATTATTCAATATATTATTTCCCTTAAAGATGCATTATACCCTAGGTTTCTCGCCGGGACAATCAATGATGTCCCTTTTTATTGCTTAATATGATCTCTCATATACCATGGATATATCTTGCCGAATATTATTGCCGAAATATTGAAATAATCAACAGAACAACCAACCTCCAGAATTAAACACAATCGATTCCTCGGCTAGCGAGGGGAATCCCCGTTGAGTCACACAAGCGCCCAAACGCGCCTTGAACCAAGCAACCAATCAGGTTCATGATGAACAAATTCAACGACCAACGATCAGATAAGGGGGATTTTCCCGGTATATTTAAACTTCAGATTGAATTAATTTCCGTGAAAATAATTAGATCGGTCAGCACAATCGCAAAATTAACACTGAAAGCGGGGGATTTGAGACTTCTTCTTTGGTAAGTAGATGGGTGAATATGTAGTGAAGCTCAATATGCAAAAATGTCCAGGGGGTCTTGATTGTGCTATCCTATGGTATAGAGCCTCTTTAAGGGGCCGCCATTTTTCGTAAAAAAGTAACCGTTGTCAAATACCAGTGAATTCAAAATGGCCGCCCTTTGGTTCAAATTTAATAAGTTGATGCTTAGGGATACAGCTTTCATGAATTAGGCCTCAGGAGCCCAGCTCGGGAAGTTTGAAGCTTACAACTGAAATTCAAAATGGCCGCCATTTTTGTAAACTAATGCTATCTTTGAAAACTCAAATGCGGCATGCCAGTCGACGTATTTGGCTCAAATTTTATATGCTGATGCGTAGGGACAGAGGAGCCGGGAGAGGAGCTCAGCCACCATTTTTCATAGAAAACGTAATCTTTGAAAACTCAAATACGAGTGGACGGATTTTATTAAAAAAGACTACGCTGATGCTCGGACTAAAGATGCTCTGCTCAAGAAGGGATTTTCAACATGGCCAATATTCAGTTATCAAAATGGCTGACATTTGTCGTTGAAAACATAATCTTTGATAGCCAAATTATACCAATTGACAGATTTGGTTCACCATATGCTGATTCCGGGAGACAAAGCTCTGAAAATCCAAAATGGCCAGCATTTGAAAAAACAATCTTTTGTAACTCAAATACCAGGACGGATTTGGTTCAAATTATATATATTAGTATGCTAATACCCAAGGACAACGGAACTCGGTTCAAGAAATTTTCAATATGTGGATTATCAAAAGATATTTTGTTCGATGGGATATGCTACTCCATGTAGTTGCTGCTCTTTAGTTTTTTACCAGAACAGAATAACAAAGTAACCAAATGGGCAAAGCAATTTTTTCAAAAACGTTATCTTGAACTATCACCTTAACGGTTACTTCGGTTATCATTCTCTTTTCTAAAATAACCCAGATGTTTCAAGACGCTGCAGATTACAAAGTAAAACTTCCAAGTATTCCTTTAATCCTTTATGATATCGTACCTTTGCATTCGTTCGACTTTGCTTCTAAAAGAGAGCTTCGTCTTATACATGTAACTAGACTATGCGCGCAGGGTATGCTGTCCTCTACTAACCTTGATAAGGTTGAATATTAACTCTGGTCGAAACTAATACAAACATACTGATAAAAAAACATTTTTTATGTTTTACAGACCGGTAGTGAGAGACAGATTTGTGATTCAGTAGACCAGTAGGATGACCAGGTTAGTGATTTTCTTTTGCTTATGGCAGAGAGGTTGTGGGTATACCTTTCTTTCTGTTCATAATGTAGTTCTTCCTGCATTTGTAAAGCAAAACGCCCACGTCTAAATGCCAAAGTGGAAAGACCAAAGAGTAAGTATAAAACAACGAGAAAGAAACATCTAGGAGAGAAAGCCTCATTCTTCAAGATCAGACTTCACTACTATAGCAACAATGCTATAGAAAGTATTGGAATACCCTCGGACCAGAGACATACATGTCTCTGCTTGGACCAAGAATAGCCAGTCCTAGGCAAAGAAACCCCCCGATGCCCCAGACATCACCCCACCATTTTACAATCACTATCACAGTCTAAAACGACAAGACTGGGGCATTTCACTCATAGTGAAGTCATTAAAATACATGTTGAAGAATAAATTAATAAAATTCGTAGTCATACCTGCTTTAAATGAGTGCAGATGCTATATATTTACAGTCTTATATTTACATGTAGTTTTGTTCATACGAGTCTATGTCCAGATAAAGTGTCCTGATTATCAGATTCAATAGTTTTTTTTATCAATTTTAACTTCATCAAACCATGCACTAAAATGAAAAGATGCTTGGGACTAATTTTTTGTTTTCAGAAAAATATTAGTTTATTCGAAACAAGATTTACAATAAAAAATTAAAAAAGTTGCATGCAACAGATCTTGATCACATCAAGCAAACTACTATTTATCTGTAAACAAAATAGATATGACTTCCCATTGGGTCTTGAACAAACAAAAACCCATAGGAAAGTATTCCATTACATGGATCAAACATCTCATGATTTCATTGTACGTTTTAGGATTCCAAAGCTGCGACTACGCTCTATCTTCAAGTATATTCTAAAGTGTTCGAGTTCTAAAAATCTTATAGCTCTATAATCACCCTAGCACAGACCCTATTGTGGATTTCCACGACGCTGTCTATTTTAACATGAGTTCATTGGATGTTTTATCTTCAAGTATTCTATTCTGTTTAATTCTATTCTAAAGTATTCCATTGCTCAAACATCTAGATAATTACCCTAGCATAGACCCTATTGTACATATTCACGATGCTGTCTATTTTAACATGATTTCATTGTACGTTTTCAGGATTCCAAGGCTGCGACTTGGCTCTATCTTCAAGTCAAGGACATTCAAGAGAGACTTTGCAACATGTCCCCTTATAAGAAGGAAACAGAAACACTATGAACATATTTTACCTACCGTTCGTCATACAATACTGAATAATGACAACGGTGGTCCAGTGGTGGTCAACGATTTTATGAAAGAGCGAAATCTTGCTAGGGCATACGAGCTCGTGTCGGAGTCAGTTGAGAAGGAACATATAGGAGAAGACGAGATTCCTTCATATAAATACTTCGAAGAACACATAAGGAAAGATAGCACGATTCCATTTGCATTATTGGAAGCTGATTCTGAAACTCTGTTAGGATTCTGGACTATAACCCCGAGTTTGTATTGCCGAGGGGTAAATCCTATTAATTGCGAAGGAAATGCTATATTCAATGACAAAATCAAACATCTTGGTGTCTTCCCTACACTATCTCGGCTGTTTTATACATATGCAACTGCGCTTGGCTATGAGGGCGCATTGGTGGGAATTCCACAAGGTCGTCACTCTCTCTTGGAAACACTTCAGAAAGAAGGGATGGACGAGATCGGTACACTTCCTAAAATGACCAGACTAAAGTACAAGGGATGGGTGGATGGAGTTCTGCTGTATAATAGATTTAATGACTCCGGTTTGGTAAGTTTCAACACCTTTCAAACTTTGGTCAAACCAAGGGGGATTGTCTTGATCATTAACATTTTATTTTTGCTAATTTGCCGTTGCCATTTGTATACCATGCCTTTCTGTTACTCTCACGTATGATCAGATAATATAAAAACATCAGTTATGTCAGATGCTTAATGGAATATAAGCTAGGGTGAATGAGATTGAACCAATCAGGCAATATCTATTTCCCAGGCCACATATATGTTATGGGAATTCACAGGTATAATAGACTGCACCTCATTAGGTACGTGTTTAGAACGCATTACAAATAAATGTCATTGATAATAATCCTAATCATTAGTGCCAATTCATACGAGCCATTGATTCTTATATTACTAAATACTCAGCCTGTTACCATTATTGAGATGTCATCAATACACCCATAGCAGTATCGATACCCTGGGTGAAAACAGCAGAGAATAGAATACAATGTTGGAAGGAATGCTTTCAAAAACAATGGAGAGGTTAAGCAAATACGGTTTTTCAAAACGTATACGTAAACGCAAAGTACATTGAATCAACATAGGATTGTATCGCTTTAGTCTATTTCAGATACCCGTTCAACTTCAAAGTTGCGTGTTTAGAACGGGAGATTTTAAATTTCACGTTGCTATCAACGGGAATCATTATACTCACGTCTGTTGAATACTATCCTTGCAATTTTGATTTCGATGCAGAGTATAATTCTTTCTGAAGATGATGATGTATGTTACGCATGTTTTAACTCCAATAATCTTACGAAACGAGCTCGTTTAAAATATGTATTAGAAAACCAGCTATTGAACTTCATCAATGGCATACTATGTTATCATTACAAGCTATGGTGTAGTCTAAACAAACACTAGAGCTGAACGGCTATTTATGTGTGAACTCTACATGTATTTGTATAGGGGCGATTGATACGTTTAAGTTGCGTTTTGGATTTTATACGGTAGCTTAACCTCTCCAATATCATTTTTTCCCCCTTACTATCCTTATTTGTAATACATCAGTATTCAGTTATTATAGCTATATGACGTGAATTATGTCTAATAGGGATATTTGTCAATATAGGCCGATATTGGGCAACCTCCAAAAAATACCACTCTATATCAAGACAATACCCCTAAACAACACGACAATATCCCTCAACACTGATGAATACCCCCCAATGCATACTCCTGGGCATCTTTGAAAACACACCTTTCAGATCAAAACCATGGTATACCCATAAACACCATGGCAGTAGGCTAACCCCCAACGTTATGTACCATGAATCGAAGGTAGCCTCGGCACAAGCCAATTTAAACGGGTAATTGTGGAATAATGGTTAACTATTTTCAGGGTAGAGACACGTTTCGGCAGCCTAAGACTGTGGTTCAAACCCCAACAGAAGTTGACATGAAGATAAATCAACACCATAAGAAAGTACAAGATCTTCCAAGGGCATGCATTATGAGAGACGGGACTGAGGTTTTAATCGATTATGCAAGAGATGATCAAATTGTTGACATATACCAAATCTTCAAAGATGAGATCGATGAAGGGAACGGTTACGCAGTTGATGAGTACCCAACATTGGACCATTTCCTCAGCAAAGTTGGCAATGTTGGACATGTGTTTGCGTTAACCTTGAACACCGGGGAATTAGTTGGTTCACAATGTGTTATCCCGGGTCGCTTTGGAAGGACTACAAAGCCGTGTCTAGCGGGTTTTCCCATCGTGTTGGACAAACGCTTTCGAGGGAAAGGCAATTTCATTCAGTTCATGATGATGCATGGCTTATTCTGCTACGAACTAGGATTTGCTGGGTCAATAGGGGACACATTTGTTGGTAACACGTCAGTTCTTATGAAGGCAGGTGGGTTGGACGGTACCACAAGCAATACCATCACGGCAACCATTCCATACACAGCTTTCGTTAATGGGAAAGGATGGCAGGACAGTAGTCTGATGTATGCAGATATTGAAGGATTAATATGACTTATCCAATGTTATTGTCACTTGTACTACGTTGTTATTTTGTTTGACATAAATACTTACAAACATACTAGTATATAAAAAAAGATAAAAGATAGTTATAGAATGTACAAACTGTATTTTGTTGGGAGTCCTATACAAAAACTCGAAAACACTAGTTTTTTGTAAATCTGATGTAAATATGATGGTACCTGTTTGAAAACGCAAGTACCACTCTTTAAATGGACGCATCTAGAATAAAAGCATTTATCGGTCAACGAAGCTATTTCTGATACGATTTGAATATATTTATGGCATCAACTTCAGAAAGGTTATCCCGTTCCCGGACTATAGTCCTGCACTGATCGCATTCATTTGCCTGTACGATTACAACTTGGGAGAATTATCTACGCCCCTTACACTTAAGATACCTACCTCAATGCATTATAGAACTCAAGATGTAACTTCTAATATATTGGAACCGCCGATTGTCTGGGTATATCGGCAGAACGGGAACATTTTCTCTTTTTCATCGAGAGAGATTCCATCACTTTTCAAAATGGTAGGGGAATCCCCCGTTTGGCTGTCCCGGATGTAGCCCGGAAGTACCAATATGGAGGAATTTGACGGTTGAAATAAGTTAAATGTTACACGCAAATATTGCGATCAAAAACGAAAATGTCTTCGTTCTGCCGATAAACCCAGACAATTGTGGATTCAACTACAGGAAAAGAATGCTAAATTACCAAGGAATCTATTGAAGTAGGTATCGGAAGTGTAAGATCAGTAAAACATTCTCCCATGTTGTAATCGCACAGGCAAAAGATTGAGATGTTCACAGGACCATAGTCCGGGAACGGGATAACAGAAAGGTGTTTATTTGTCGCATATTTGAAAACCTCAAATGCACTGAGTGCCATTCGAAACTAATCACACATTTGAAAGGACATTGACAGAATATGCAATTTCTTATAACTTTTGGCGGGCTTGATTGGATGGTTTCGAATGTATTCTATAGCTAATAAATTTGTAATGTAGACAAAACCTCTTAAATCAAAAAGACGTCTTTCACTTTCTTAGGTTTATTGATAATGAAAATGGGATACTACGTTCGAGTCTTATTGAATCTTAGCTTGGAAGGTACACATCGCCATGGCAACTGAAATAATCTATTAGCTTCTAGATACTTAAACGCCAGAAAATTAACCATAGCTAATACGTTGATGAATTTAATTAGATTAATCAATTGATAAAGAGAGGAGCGTGACTTGTATCGTTATTTACTACAGCAGGTATCTATACCTTGTTATCCAAGCACATGGCCGAATTAGCAAGAAAACCTTTTAGGTAATAGTCCAGCTCCATTAGTTTTGACTGAAACGGATGTATTCTTCGTGTGTATTTCATAAAAGAGGCCCGGGTGGTCACAAAAGACAGTACATAAATTGTTTAAAGCTAGACAGCTGAAGACAGACTCAAGTCTATAGGGGTTACAAAAGTACAAACAACATGCATCAATTTTATATTTTGAATAAATATTCCACCATTGTCGTAGAGTTGACATATTAAGAAAACAAATTCATCAGCCCGTTGGAGTACTAATAATGTAAAAAAGCCATGATATTGTTTCAATGCTTGTGTAAAGTATATTCAATCTTCAATGTTTAATCAGGGAACTGATGAATTCGTTGCTAGACAATTAGCTTGACCATCGCCTGAAATAAATCCGTTCAGACTACTCTCCTGTTCACTAGTGATCCACTCGATTACGCTGGTTACCGAAACGGTAAATGTCGGAATGTCGAAGCTACGATTTTTCTTTTTTCCTTATTTCAAACGTTGTAGGCAGAATTCTCACGACATTTTTAATACAAACGTATATCAGTATCATATGTTTTAGAAAATGTACACATTTGCGAACAAAGAGTTCAGAAGACAACAGAATCATCGATTTAATTCCTCACTTAAGTTACAGAAACGGTATTTCGAAAAACAGTTCAGATCTGCACTTTTAACCCAATCGGGTTCTTGATTTGAAATATGTTAAAGGGACATTTCAGATCTAGATATCTGCAGGTTTATGCTGTTCACCATTGAGAATGATGCATTCATTGAAAAAGAAACTGAACCCAAACGTTAATGCAATCCCCGGGAATGCACTGAACGAAACGTTATTTACAGCGGTTGGCACATTTTGGGCTATAATGGTCTTCATAATGATTTTTGTAGTGAAAATCTTTCGGTAAATTATGCTTATGGAAGTTCCAAAAACTTATCATCTGCTTACATGTAACGTATTTTTGCAAAGACGTATAAAATGGAAAAGGTACGCTGAACAAAGAGAAAACTCTTTAGCTGTTATCTTTTCATTGTCTATCAATTGATCTTAATGCGTAATTCTCAGAAAACTCTTACGCATGTGTTATCAGTGTATTGGTAATCACATAAAATCTTATCAATCCATTTGTGATATATAGAAATGACTAATTCACTGCTTTGAGTTCAATGGTATAACCATGTCGATTTTCACGCATGTCGATTGTCACAGTTTCACACCATATTCGCTCATAGATGGGGTCGTGCTGGTCATTTCGTAAAATGTTTTCGTTAAAACAGAGTGGATATATTGTTTTCTTGAATAGTGTCCGTCTTTACACTAGAATGCTGGCCATGTGTGAATTACATCTTGGAGAATTTTCAGAAATTTTCAGATAATGTTCATTATAATTCAATCACAATTATTATCACGATTTGGAACATGCTGGTCTGATAAACTGAATCAAGGACTTGCTAACCACATATAACTTATTTTTCTCGGATTCCCCTAATGCCGTGTGGGTGTGTTTAAACGACCATGTCGATTTTCACAGAATAAATTTTACATTTACTTTATTTGGTCTATATACTCGGTAATAGGTTGAGATCAAATACAGTGCTCTCATCACACTCTGAATGAATGTTCTCTATGCCAGCATAACCAAAATTAAAAGATGCGACCATTTATTATTGAGATATGACATGTTTTCAAAAGCGTGTTGTCCTGTTACATTGACAATTTCACGAAATTCACAATTTTGAAGCCAGATATCAAAGCTACTTACAATCGGAACGATCAAAAAAGTATGCTGACGTAGTTCATATAAAGGCATTATATTTTAGAATACATAAAATGATGAGCAAAAATAGGTTAAGTTTCAGCTATGTTCAATTACATGAAAAATGTCAATTTTTAACACTTATTTGTATTTAGATACAGTAGTCAATAGGGTTGTAACCAGTTTTATGTCTCCACAACTTTTTTGTGGATGGGGTTCGGGGTTCGGCGTCTGTGACACGGCGTCTTTAACAAATGACGGCGTCTGTAACAAATGGCAGATGGTGACATGTTGGATGTTAATGCCTAGTTTAATCTCACGCCTCACTTCACTTCAATTTCAACAGGAAGGCATGTATATAACATATAGTATTTATGCTTACGTCTGACATACTACTGTTGTATAATGAATATATTCATACAATACATGCCAGAAGATCACGGTACATAATTTAATCAATGCCGCCCTTATAATGGGATGGGATGTGCACAATAATATAACGACAGTCTGGTAATTCCCTGGTTGTGTTTTTGTCATATTGCCTCGCTAACTACTAACATTTTTCATTAACAATAATAAAGTAATTCGAGATTGTTACTAATATAACGTATCGAACAATTTTTATACATTCTCGTTGTTAGGCATGTATTCCAAGCCTTAAGTCTCTGACTACCCTTTTACTGTCGATTTACATGTATCTGTAGATCTTAGAAAGCTAAAAGACATCGGAAATTGCAGATAGTGCCGCAAGTCTTACAAATTAACAGTGCAGTAGTAACATTGCTTGCCGTCGATAATAGTAATAGATCAGACTGACTATTGGTGAATTTTTCCTCCAAGCCAGTGACCATGATGAAGGAGGTTGGAATATATGAACAGATTAGTGGGAACACACCTACTTTATGACAAGGATCAGCTGATATTGACACTACTTATATTGTTAAACATTGCGAGCAATTAATTGCTGTATACGTATTACATTATGTATACATTCCCTTGATCATGGATATGTTACAATCATGAAAGAACCCTAGCTGATGTTTATTGGTAATCTCTAATCAACAATTAGACATTTTGGTGTGAGGGATCGAAGCCAAGAACAATTGCCACATTCATGGTCACCGGCATTGGACATATAAAATATTACTAAATGTATATTACGCGGCAATGAAATAGATTGGATCAAACGACGAATGTTAGGAAACATCGGACCTTTGACTTTGTGTTTTTATTGCTTTTTCGGTAAATAGATAGTATCCCAGGAGACCAAGGATCAGATACTAATACCGCTTACCGTATATATATGCGAATATAATACGAATGAACGAGGTGATGTTAGAGTAACAAAGTGACAGTCGATCGGTAAACTGATGCAGCCCGAAGAAGTTTTGGAGATGTGCAAAGGTTTTTGGCAGGCGAAATAGAAGCACAACCAAGTTTCACAATCAACAAATACCTGCCATAATGTCAGAAGATTATAACAACAAAGTTCTTAAGTTTTTATTTCGGTACATTATGGGAGATCTCCCTGCATTAACCGACTGGTTAAAAACTAAACCATGGGTCCTGGCAGTACCAAGTTGGATCCTACGTGCCATAGGAGCACCGATCTTTCTCAACAACCCCATCAGTGGTCTTTTGATATTGATTGGTATGTTCATCGCAAATCCTTGGGTGGCAATATGTGGTATAACGGGGCTTATATCAGCCATCGCGACTGCCTTTCTCCTTGGCCAGGACCACGGAGCTATTTCAAACGGTGGATGTACGTTCCATGGAATGCTTGTAGGGATCGTAGTTTCAGCGTCGATTGATAAGCCAGACTGGTACCCCTGGACTGTGTTTCCCGTGGTTTTCCTCGCCATGCTCAGGTAAACAGAAGCAAATAACCAGAACGTGACTATTTTCACAGATTTGGATAGAAGTTGAACGATCGGTCGGTACAATGTATTTCAGCACAAAGTAAAAGTTGAAACTGTTTTTGATGTCTAATTGAAAAGGTTGCTTTTATCAGGACGTCTATATATAGACGTCCATTCTGATACTCGTAGCATCTTTCTGTTTCACCTGAAACATCTTAGGGCTGAGAAGAAATGAGATGTCATAGTTTCTCATGATGACAGACGTCCTTGATTTTTATAAATTAATAACTTCAAAACTAATTCATTGCTTTTTATTGACTAATTGCGAATAGTCGGAACTAAAAATTATACATGAACGGCTCCATGAATATAAAAGTGCCCATTCTACAATAACCCAGATGATATCATCATTTAAAACAATGAAAACCAAGAGGGACAAGGGATAAACGGGTTCAATATTCCGTTGGATTTCCGTGTTCACTGCCACTTGCTTCAGCGAGAAAACAATATTCTTTCTTATCTTGTTTGACATTACATGACTGATACTAATGATTAAGCTATCAGCCATGTGCTTTTTCGCGAGTCGCATTTTGTCAGATTTCCAGAATATAATGCGGACATTTGATCAAATCGAATTCTCTAATTATCATACATGTTATCATTCTTGTTGCTTTCAGATTCGATACAGTTCATTTAAACTTTTTTTAGCGTTTATGTGAATAGTGGTTTAGGGGGAATATTTTCTTCGTGGAACATCCCCGCCTTCAACCTCCCGTTCTGTTTGGTAGCGTTCGTGTTTCTCGCCGCCCTCCCACCGAACAATCCAAACTTTCCCCCACGGATAAAAGCAGCTCCGAATGAGACATTTGCTCAAGCCAGTATAGACTGGGGCCAGGTAAGCCATGTTTGATTTTATTACAAGCTGTTTTGGACAAGGGACGCTATCTCTGGACCAAGGCCGTTCAAGTGTATACATTTTCCAATGGAAACTTGGTCAGTTGTGATTTCATAACAGTGGGGCTTTATCGTTTCACAAACTATTAATTTTATAGTATCGGTTTTTATTACAAAAAGTCTTTCTTTCCCATGTACAGTAATTGGTCGGTTGGAAAATTGTGTTTTTTACACATTTCCTCTGATCGTTTTCTCTCGTCGTCTAAGAGTACCGAATATTTTTATGAGAATATGTTTCTCTAACTACTACGCAATTTAAGACTGTTGAAGGTTTTATAAATATATCTATATATATCTGGAAAGTGCTGAAGTTCAAAGGTTCTAGGTTAAATAAAATTGAAGTAATACTGTTATTGTTCAGTTTCGATTTGAAATGATGAATGATTTAATTTGTATTTTCTGTAAAACTAACGTGCTTGTTTTGTTTTGGCGTATGCTTTCAATGTTTATTTTTATAATTGTTTAAACGGGGGCGGCATAAAGACAGTATTCAACGTTTATAATAGTGGGGTCAGTTAGCTGTTCAACTGCACTTGCTATATATAAAGCAACATTTTCCTGAAATAAGTATCATTAATACATATATTTTTGATATCTAACGAAGTGGTGTTGAAAAGTGGCCCCAGTTGAAAATAGCAGGCCTCGAAAATTTTGCTCATTTACATTGAGCGCTATGTTAATTAATCAATCTTCAAAAGACCCCCTGCAGAACAGTTTTTGAAAAATAATGCCCATTCTCCTAGTATGTTACAATAACATGATTATCTACAAAATAAGAAGGGTTAAATTTTTTTTTTTACCTAGTTCCAAAGATATTGACGTTTGAATTTTGGAAATTCCCCATTGGCTGCCATTATAAACGGCTATCAATATGGCTTTGCTAAAATGTCCTTTTCTCAAAAAGTCCACGGTGAATTTTTTTAATATTGCAGATTTCTATAGTTGATATATTGATTTTAAAAAAATCAATCAGGTACATTTCTGAAAATTTCTTATTTTTGATATATTTAGCCGTTAAAAACTATAAAAACCTATATTGAGCCCCATGTTAATTTATCAATCTTCAAAAGACCCCTTGCAGAACAGTTTTAGAGGAATAATGCTCATTCTCCTAGTATGTTACAATAACATGATTATCTTCAAAATAAGAGGGGTTAATTTTTTTCTTTTACCTAATTCCAAAGATATTGAGGTTTTAATTTTTGGAAATTCCCCATTGGCTGCCATTATAAACGGCTATCAATATGGCATTGCTAAAGTGTCCTTTTCTCAAAAAGCCCAATGTGAAATTTTCTAATATTGCAGATTTCTATAGTTGATATATCGATTTTAAAATAATCAAACAGGTACATTTCTGAAAATTTCTTATTTTTGATATATTTAGCCGTTAAAAACTATAAAAACCTATATTGAGCCCCATGTTAATTTATCAATCTTCAAAAGACCCCTTGCAGAACAGTTTTAGAGGAATAATGCTCATTCTCCTAGTATGTTACAATAACATGATTATCTTCAAAATAAGAGGGGTTAGTTTTTTTCTTTTACCTAATTCCAAAGATATTGACGTTTGGATTTTGGAAATTCCCCATTGGCTGCCATTATAAACGGCTATCAATATGGCTTTGCTAAAGTGTCCTTTTCTCAAAAAGTCCACTGTGAAATTTTATAATATTGCAGATTTCTATAGTTGATATATTGATTTAAAAAAAATCAAACAGGCACATTTCTAAAAATTTCTTATTTTTGATATATTTAGCCGTTAAAAACTGTAAGAACCTATATTGAGCCGCATGTTAATTTATCAATCTTCAAAAGACTCCCTGCAGAACACTTTTAGAGTAATAATGCTCATTCTCCTAGTATATTACAATAACATGACTATCTTCAAAATAAGAAGGGTTAAATTTTTTCTTTTACCTAATTCCAAAGATATTGAGGTTTTAATTTTTGGAAATTCCCCATTGGCTGCCATTATAAACGGCTATCAATATGGCATTGCTAAAGTGTCCTTTTCTCAAAAAGTCCAATGTGAAATTTTCTAATATTGCAGATTTTTATAGTGTACGACGGTGTGTTTTGTCACTGTACGTTGTCGATGGTTAGGCGTGATTTAAAAACATATCTCCGCGTGGACAAGTGAATCAAAATGAAATGTAAAATCTATTGGTTGGATTGGTTTGGAAAAGTGAATACTTGTATCAAAGGTATCCTATAATGTCTATATTTAGAGCTGAAATAAGTGGGGTCGGGGATTTTCGATGGCTTTAATGTATTATCATACTCTAGGTATAAGCTCGAAAAATGTCTTGTATTAAAAATCCGCACAGATTGCGGTATTAAAGGCAGAATCAGATCTATAGGGAGTGACAAAATTCACGCGCAAGCAACATGTACAGCTGACTTACCAATATATTCCTTACAATCTCAAGTGTAATATCTGCCAAAAGATCCGGGATATATTATTAATTGACCCTTTTCCATATAAATGGAAAATAGATGGCATCATGGGTATTGACATGTAGATTGTGATTTCACATTAGATTTGTGATTCTTAATAGTAAAAGTTAATGAACTTTTAAAGCTTTTTCAGCATTGTGTCAATGGGGATTTAGCCCGACCAACTAGAAAATCATTAGAATTTGAATAAAGGTAAATAATGGTGCAAATCAAAGCTGTTTTGATAGAAAATTACACACAGAATTCAAATATGCCATCAAATAGAAGAAAATGTTAGTCTTTAATGGTTAAAAATGCAGATCTCTTAAAATCTTATTAACATGAGATTTTAACAAGATTTCAAAGCTATTGGACCATTGGTAGAGTTATTAAGGAATCAAAGTGCGAAAATGGGGGAATGTTTAAATGTTAGCAATTAAAATGTAGCAAGCTAGGACAAAATAAAACTTAGAACAATGCTGAAAATGTGATATGAGTAGCTGCATTTGAAAAAACACAAACTCAATCACTTAATGTAACAGTGTATGTCTTTTACTCCCCCAGATGAAGAATTAATTCAGGGAATAGAGAAATACTTATGGTTACATCCCCACTGACATCCCTTCCCATTTCTTCTTGAGGTGATCTGCTATTAGTATAGTATGTAGCCTAATTCACCGAGCGTTCTGGTGCAACAGAGGCATTATATCATTTGATTATTGCTGTATATAGGCAACTAACTATACAGGTCTAATAACTAAAAACAATTATATTATCTCTCACTAAAATGTTATACATAATTCAGGATTCTTCGAAGGCATTTGTCTCTTTGGCATAACATCATTCATCCAAGCACCATTAGTTGGTTACGAGTATAAATATCAAGTCGGGGTGACCTGATAATATTGTGTATCAGATTCGATTCCACCATTTACGTATGATCTCTGACTTTTTTCGAATCTTTTACCTGAAGAAGAATGAATGGTGTGAATATCGAAATATAATTGAATATCAACATGGTCAATGCAATTAATGGCAAATGCACATTTACAGCATCTGTAATTCTGTATACAACCTTGGAAGGAGTTATTAATCTTGAATTCAATTAATTTGGTTTCTGAAATTATAAAAGAAATGTCAGTATATGTTTTTCATAATTATAAACCCATCGGGTTGTCGTTTTATCCAAAGGCCAAAAATAGATATCAGGGTGTTCACTAAAGAGAGGTTTTACTCTGTAGCTTACTGCAGTGCATGAACAGCATTAGAAAATAATAACTTCAATTATTCAAGATCCAAATATTTTTCATGATTGAAAAAGTACTTGGTCTATTCAATTTCAAATATAGACAAAATTTGATTAACAACATTTAGAAATCTTTAGCAGAAGTTCCACATGTCACTGAGTTGTTTTCCACGAGGCCTTTATGTACGGATCGATACAATGATACAACAGTACAATGCACATCTGTTTTTGAATTGTCAAATTGCCACTTTGAGTTGGCATTATATTGAATTGCCTACTTCGAAGCTCATTGTTATCAGTCGTATACACTTCTCAAATCTCGGAATATTGCTGAAACATCAAATTACTCTATTGTTCATTACTCGCTTGTATTTTTGATTCAATTTTTGACGTGTTTGGGTCAAATTGTGCTCATTCTTGTACTATCCAAGTACAAATTCTTCGAATATGCATTGTGTTATTATTAACAAATGGGGTGACTCGAGCTCATACATCTTATGTCACAAGAGCGGAACAAATTACAAAAATGCTTAAAAATTTGTTATCTAGTTTTCCCCATTTTACTATTCAGTATTTTCTTGGAGCCCTGGTATTGATCTCAGAATCGTTTGCTATTTCGGCACTAGTGTTCGGGTTATTGAGTTTTCAGCCATGAATTGGTTATGTTCAGTATTAAAGAAGGTTGTGTATTTCAGATTTTCCTTGCGATACCGTGTAGCTGTGCCCAGATCTATGGATCAAATCAAGCGATAGTGGGGGTGTTGATATTATTAGGCCTACTTATAGGATCCCCAATCCTCTTTCTACATGCAATATTGGGACCATTTATGAGCGTATTTACAGGTAAGCAGTAAGGCATAATGTTGAAATGCATTTTCTTTAATTTAAACCACTGATTTTATTTTAAACTGGAAGACCGGGTAACAGGAAGTTAGCCATTTTGGATGTTCTGTTCCAAACTGTTGTCCAAACGTGTTCCAAGCAAAAGATATTTTCACTGTCCCAAACCTCACCGACTACCTGATTACGCACTTCGTCATTTTTTCAGCTTTTGTTCATTTGTATGTTCAGTTTAAATGGAATGATGGTTAATGATATAGCGTTCCAAATCTTGTCCGAGTTGACCCATCTTAAAATCTACCTGCATTTGAGCATAATAAATTTTACGCAAGAATATTTATAATCATTTCTCTCATTACCTACAGCTTTATGTGTGGCTGCCCCTCCAGAGCAAATCTACACTGGTGAATGGAGTTACAACGCTATGCTGGCAGCGACATCTCTCGGAGGTTTCTTCTGGGTTCTTTCAATACAAACTCATATTCTTGCCCTATCAGCAGGTAAAACATAAGTACATTCTAGTTCTGTCAGCAGGTACCACGTTGATTAGATACAACATTATTGAGAATAATTTGACCGATGCGCCCATGGGCATACAACTGAACAAATTTTGAATAAACATATAAAAATATGATATTAAATAACTAATCAGATCTATCATTAAGCGCATTGTGCCATTCTGAGACTGATAGCATCTCTCTCCATGTTGCACCTCTCCAGAAGGACAGTGATGGAGAGGGCGTGGGCGTGGCCTACCACGACGCATTGTACTCAATTTGAGAATTTTGTCATTTCAGCCATATTTTCTACCATCGTTTATGGAGCCATGTTTAACACATTCTCAAACAATAATGTAAGTAATACTGTTTCACGCTTTCAAAATTATCATTTGCCCGATGTTGCTTTTTAAATTTATTCACGACAAATACCCCTTTCTTAGACTGGCTAGTATTAACGTAAGAGATGTGTCTAGCTAACAACGCTACAAATATATCTGGCTATAAACACAACGTAACAGATATATCTGGCTATAAGCACAACGTAACAGATATATCTGGCTATTAGCACAACGCAACAGATATATCTGGCTATCTAATATAAGCACAACGTAGCATATATATCTGGCTATAAGCACAACGTAACAGATATTTCTGGCTATAAGCACGACATAACAGATATATCTGGCTATTAGCACAGGCAACATATGCATCTGGCTCTTAGCACAACGCAACATATATATCTGGCTATTAGCACAACGCAACATATCTATCTGTCTATAAGCACAACGTAACAGATACTATATAAATGGTATTTAATCATAGTGGTTAATGTGCCGAATGGTCAAATTATATAATTTTCCTAATTTCAATTTTCCTAATGACAAGAAACTTCCCATCGGGTAACTTTATGTAGATAAGATTTTCGACACTTAATTTTCCGAACCAGGTGTAAAAGGGTAGGAGGTCCTATCAAATTATGGTCCTACTCTCCATTGATTTATATGGTGACCTAGATACAACTCTTTCCCTCATTATCTTATACACAATCAGGGCCAGTAAGGGCCGTTAAGAAAGGGGACCATAATCCCTGGGGGACCATCATTTCTTTCACACCGGCTAAAATGTGGCAATGGGCAAATTAAATGATTAGGCAAAATTACCACTTATACAGTATCAGAGTATATCTGGCTATTTGCACAACGCAACAAATATATCTGGCTATTAGCACAACGCAACACATATATCTGGCTATTAGCACAACGTAACAGATATATCTGGCTATTATGTACAGACATATCTGGCTATTAGCACTATGTAACCGGTGTATCAGGGTATAAGCACAATGTAACAGATATATTTGGCTATTGTACCACAACGCAACGGGTATATCTGGGTATAAGCACGGTGTAACAGATATATCTGGCTATTAGAACAACGTAACATATATATGGGTATAAGTACAACGCAACATATGTGTCTGGCAGAACAACGCAACAGATACAATGTATTACTATATATCATAACAACTACATACGATATCTGTGAATTTTGTACTGTGATTATGTGATTCTAGATTGGTGGGCTTGTGTTAGCGTTTCCGTTCGTGCTGACTGCCAGTATATTCTTGGCGTTCACCAGTGAGAGTAAAGCGATTAAGAGAGTTCCCCTAGATAGAATTTCTTATCCAGAAATGCATTGGAAATTATTCAACAATAAGCAGACAATTACTCCAGATGGTTCCGGGACTTTGACGCAATAAGTTGTTGTCTAAAGTTCAATGACAATACCAACTCTAAAAATTCCTGATATATTTACATGTGAGTTTAGCTACAAGCCTTTGTGACCCCTTCTACTTGACTACACACTTTCTCGCACAAATGTTGGGATGAGTAGGGGGGGGGGGGGGGTTAAGGACTTGTAGCTAGACTAGAAATAAATCAAACGCGTGCAATGTGCATTCAGTTATATGAATCACCAACTAATAATTCTAAAGAAGGATCTAAGACGTGTTTTATGAGTAAACATTTATCATGCAACACTGTAAGACAGGTTGACGCACCTTCGTTCAAAGATAGATACATAATTGTACACATTTATATTGTACGAGGGTTGTCCCAGAAGTAATGCACTATATGCTCTAACTTTCTTTAATATTCTTCAATTCAGCTGAAATTTTGTGTATATAACAATTGAAGTTTCATCTATTATATCCTGAAGTGTCGGCATCAAACAATAATATTAAGTCTTAATATGGTTGCTATAACAACATGGGGGAAGGGGTGGGCGGGGCAGGTACCGATTTTTCTAATTATGAAAAGATCTTAAGTGTTATTTTATTAATATTTCTTTCCTTTAAATGATCAAATGTTTGGGAAATTGTTAAATTTATTCAGCATGATGTTAACCAAGTACAAATAATGACATTTAGCACATTTCAATAGTCACAGATTCAAATAAAGGCACAGTCAATAAATTGCAAAAATGGCTGCAATTCTCACCTGATAACAGAAGGCCTTGCGTTTGGTGGCCTTATTTCATACTTCACTTGGACTCACAGCCACGCAAAACAATGCTACCATGAAGAAAGTATATAAGGAGTATATAGCAGATAGAACTACAATTATGGGGTGGCAGGAGAGATTTAAAGGAGACGATTTGACCCTGGATGACAACTCCAAACATGGGAGGCAAAAACTCCACAAGTCACAGTGGAAGAAATTGCCAAGAGTGTTTGACCTGACAGGCATCAAATGTACATAACATGCAAAAGGCAATATTTTTGAGAAAATGTGAAATGGAACACTGTGCAATATACATCCATTAAATCTATGATGGGCTCAAAGTAATTTAGTATCTTAAAATGCATTTTTTGAGCATACTTCTTATAGCTACACAAATGGTATTTGTTGATTAATTATTTCATATTTTCAATTTTTATTCCTTTTGACGTGACTGTATAACCTGCCCCGCCCTACCCAAACTCACCAACTTTATTTTATTATAACATCAATATAGTTTTATCAGTCAACATGAAATTTTTTAGAATAATCAAAATATCTCTAAGGAACATTTACTGAAAATTTCAAAATTTTAAATTGGTCTTGCTTACTTGATCGTAGAAATTTTCATTTTAAGAGTCTTATGTATAAAGTCGATGCCCTCATTCCATCATATATAACAGACATATTCATTCCTTATAAAAGAGTCAATATTAGAAATACGCGTTTTAACAGAGATTATATCATGCCTATTAATTATCCCAGAAAATCACCAATATACAAGATGGTCGAGATATGGAACAATGTACAACGTGATCAGCCTTATCTGAAGTCCCTTCCCTCATTGGCCTCCTTTAAAAGGAGACTAAAAATCGAAATGTTCCCTGGGATTATATCTACTGTGTCCCTTAATATTCTAAATCGCAGGCAAGAGATGTACCTCAACAAAGCCAGAGTCGACCTTATTTTGAAGACCCAATTGATATCTCACAACTGGAATAATGTTGACTCTCCAAACTGTGTGGGTCCCCTGAGACCTTTAGACATTTATTTTTTAGCTGCCCCATGAGAATGAATAAACTTCATCAATTCAATGAAGCCATTGAGTTAATTGTGGATGATATATCACGTTATAAAACCCAACAGGATAAAATTGATTTATATATCTTTGGTGATCCCGAACTCACCCATGATAAATTAGACAATCTATTTCAGTTGACAGCAACATTTCTTTTAGAAAACTGTTAATGGTTGTGCATGGTTGTACATAATCTGACTACCTTAGACCCCACTTACTCAACCCCTAGGTGTAATTGGTCGCCCCATCTATGTTGCAGCAGGTCCCCGTCAGTACACTTCATTTATAACATGCCACATCTAAACAGTGGGTGTGTTTTATTTTTCTTAGATTTTTCGTATATCTATATGTAACATTGTAATTGAAAGCGGACATAAAATGCCAGAAGGCGATTTGCCGCATGATTGTGTATTATGCCATGAAAAATATATCAATGAAATAAACCTATTGTTTAAAAAAAAATCAATTATTGATAAAGTTAGAGCATATAGTGCATTACTTCTGGGACAACCCTCGTATATCATAGTTATGTAATGTATTTGAATTTGTCGTCAAATTATTGTATGTAAAATAGATATGCAAAATACTGGATTTTATCAAATACATGTCAGAAACAATTTGCGTTGTTAGATCTTTATTGTTGGGCCCAAGCTATAAACCCATTGTCCAAACACATGGAATATTTGTATTTACCATTTATTATATGAAATTGTGAGATAAGCTTTTTCGAAAATATAAAACCAAACATTTTTTCCAATCAACACAATTTTTCATCTTCGATAAATAAATTTTAAACTCTTAAAACGATTTGTAATCTGAAATTTCCGAACGACCACTTTTGAAAACATCTAGACAGAGAACATTTTTGTAATCATTTTTGAATATGCAAGAAGCCCACTTTATAAGCTCTCCCCTCAATGATGGGTCCTGGTGATATTCAGACGGTCGAGACTTGTGCCATGCACCATTATTAATCATGATCACCCAAAGTTACTTGAAATGGAGAATTTCATGAACAAGGAACTAATTAAGTCGAAAATGGTTATAAGACCATGACCTGCACTCACATAGCAGTTGTCTAGATATCTCTGAGTATATCGTGACTGATTATGTGGTTTATTAAAGGTGGATCCATGGGATCATTTCTGAAAACCGACGATCCATCTTCATCATTTCAAGGGATACAAGTGTGTAAACATGAAAACTTAATGCGGATGTCTTGCTCTGATGTATCGCAAAAAGCTCGCGCACGCATTGTTACACATTTTGTGGCGTAATCAAGAGGATCCTCGCTTTTAACATGGTAGAATTAGTATGTGAGGTAGCACCGAAAAATGTACCGGTGTCTGAACAAATTGAAATTACTTGTTTCCTATGTATTTTTATGTGATACTTCAGAAAATTTATGTCTGACGCGCCGTATCCGGGGCGAAAGTGGTCAAAATGGGGTTTTTGACCCTAAAAAGGAAAATTACAGGGGGGTACATTATCATCATTGAATAATTAATTCAGTTGATCTTCAATCATTATAATAATTTTATTGAGAGTTGATGAGATCATTCTGAGGTAGTATGTAAAGTTTCAATGGTCTGACACTCATGGTTGTCATGGAAACCACAATTTTTGATGAGAAGATCCATAATTTTTGTAAAATCTGTACCTTCACCTAATATAGAATGTGGATTATTTTTCAAATCAACAGATATCAAAACATTTTAGCATTCTCAAAATTACCAGGGGAGTTCAAACATTTATTCAAATATAAAGGATATTGCAATTAACATAACTGGTAAGTGTCAAAGACCATACAATTACATTAGGGATCAAAAGTGGGCGTCGCCCTTATAGTAGTAGATGATTGCCAATCTCTATAAATACAGAATTTTAGTTGACTTTTGAGATACATTTATAATGATGTTCTTTGGTTATACTTCATATCAAGCATTTTTGCTAAATAATGTACATCTAAGTGTTATACTTATTGCATGGGGGGAGGGGGTAGATGGGGGGGGGGGTAACAGAATTGAAAGAGGGTAGAGCTAATCACCCTTAAGTACAAATCTCATCTCCATAGTTCTGAATTTCATGGGTTACATCGTCCGGGTCTTCTTCACATTCATCTCAATATATAGGATATTATAATTCTGCATGATTGGTAAGTATAAAGACCATAGAATTACTCAATTGATCAAAAGTGGGCGTCGCCCTTATCAAAGTCAATGATTCATTCTCTATAAATACAGTCTAACTTGACTTTTGAGATACATTTTCATTACAACTTCTTTGATTATACTTAATATCAAGCATTTCTGGTAAGTAATGCACATCTAATTGTAATAGTTCTTGCCTGGGGGAGATTGGGGGAGAGTAGTAACAGAATTGGGAAAGGGCAGAGGTAATCAGCCTTAAGTATAAATCTCATCTGCATAGTTCTGGATTTCATGGGGTACATCGTCTGGGTCTTCTTCATATTCATCTCAATATATGGGATATGACAATTTACATGATTTGTCAAACACCATACAATTACATATTAATAAATGATCAAAAGGGGGGTGTCATCCTAACAATAGTAGATGATTGGTTCTTTGTATAAATACAAAATTGAACTTGACTTTGAGATACATTCATAGTTATACTGAACTGCTGTTATTTTAATTTATGTCAAGCATTTCTGGTAAATACATCTGTGTAAGTATTATAGTTTTTACATTGGGGCAGGGAGGAGGGGTGAGTCGTAACAGAATTAGAATGTGTAGATCTAATCTGCCTTAAGTATAAATCTCATCTTCTTAATTCTGGATTGCATAGAGTACATCTTCTGGGGTTTTCTGATTCCTCTCCTGGTGTTGCTATATCACCAATCTCTTATCTGAGAATATCAGTCAATACCCATTATAAAGATGGAGTCATCTTGTTTCCATTCAAGTCCATCTGGTGGTTCAATATGAGGATTTGCAATATGGGCCATACAGACAATAAGTGCTTTTTATGGATGAGATGGTTACAACAATCAGGCGGTCCTTCATAAGACAAACTTAGGAATATTATCTAGAGATGAGATGAGTGTGACACCCATTATGACCTTGGAAAGGCACAAATATCAAGTACAGAAAAAGACATAGAGTTTCTTGATCCATTTACCATTGAGGATGAAGGTCATCTCTACGGTCTATCATAAGGAGAATCTGTGCCAAATGATGTCGCTGTCATCTAATTTTAGTCAAAAGGAAAATTTGCGATTAGTTGAAAAAAAGAGTTCACGATATAATAAAACATATGAAATTGAAAACTACAGCAGCAAACTACAGCAGCAACAGTGACAGTAAAAAAGTACTCAGAACAAGCTTATAAGATGGTTCAAATTCATTCTGATTCTGAATGAAACATCTTTGAACAGCTTCGATCTTGCTTAGGAACATAAAATTAGCCTAGAATGTCTCCTGCAGTTCCTATTGAGCCCTGTGCCTTGGGCTCTAGGTACACTGACTGGACTTCTTGCAAGAACAGAGAAACCCATTCCTATGCATGAATAGGAAGATTCTACAATTGCAGATTGATTAGTTTTTGTATGTGATAATTACATCAAAAATTCTATAAAGGAACCTGAAAGAGGGGAGGGACACCTTGCCCTATTTAAGGTTGAAAAACAAGAGTCCCTAAAGATTGGAATGAGTTCTTGTATGATGATGAAAACAAGAAGCAAAATACAGCAAAGTGTGCTGCTGGATACTTGAGTTGGAAACAAATGAAGACTGATGTCAGTGGTATTTCCTCCAATATAGACCCTGACATATATGCAGCCTTCCTAGCACTTTATACATTCACAGATGAAGTGTCATGCAGAAAGGGCAATAGCAAGAGCACCTTTTTAAAAGGCAAAAGTGGGGCGCCATATAGACACATTCAACTGAATGATTCTCAAGTCTGCAAGTGTAGTGGTATATTCTTCCATATGAAAATGATCAGACTATGATATTAATACTTAAGACTGACTGGCCATTGGCTCTGCCCCCTCCCATTTCTGCTACTACCCCCCTTGCCTCCCCCCCAGGGAATACCTATTACAATATTAAGTGTAATCAAAGAAGTTTTAATGTAAAAAATATATCTTAAAGTAAAGTTAAACTCCATATTCATAGAGAATGAATTATCTACTATTGTGAGGGCAACACCCACTTACGTAATTGAATGGTCTTTGACACTTACCAATCATGTAAATTGGAATATCCCATATATTGAGAAGACGTGAAGAAGACCCAGAAGATGTACCCAATGAAATCCAGAACTAAGTAAATTAGATTTATATTTAAGGCTTATTAGCTCTGCCCATTTCCAATTCTGTTACTCTCCCCCCCCCCCCCTCCCCCAGGCAATAACTATTACAATTAGATGTATATAACTTACCAGAAATGCTTGACATTAAGTATAAATCAAAGATGTTTTTAAGTAAATATACTTCAAAAGTCAAGTTAAACTCTGTATTTAAAGAGAATGAACCATATACTATGATTAGGGCGACACCCACTTTTGATCACATGTTTTATTCTATGGTCTTTGACACTTACCAACCATGTAAATTCTAATATCTTCTATATTAAGATGAATATAATAAGACCAAGAAGATGTACCCTATGAAATCTAGAACCATGAAGATGAGATTTATACTTAAGACTGATAAGCTCTGCCCCCTCCCAATTCTGTTACTACCCCCCCCCCCCTCCCCCTCTTCCCCCCTGTATCCCCATGCAATAACTATAACACTTAGATGTTAAAATGCTTGATATCAAGTATAACCAAAGAAGTTCAATATAAATGTATCTCAAAAGTCAACTAAAATTCTGTATTTATCGAGAATGGCAATCATCTACTACTATAAGGGCGACGCCCACTTTTGATCCCTAATGTAATTGTATGGTCTTTGACACTTACCAGTTATGTAAATTGCAATATCCTTTATATGTAAATAAATGTTTGAACTGCCCTGGTAATTTTGAGAATGCTAAAATGTTCTGATATCTGTTGATTTGAAAAATAATCCACATTCTATATTAGGTGCAGGTACAGGTTTTACCAAAATTATGGATCTTCTCATCAAAAATTGTGGTTTCCATGACAACCGTGAGTGTCAGACCATTGAAACTTTACATACTACCTCAGACTGATCTCATCAACTCTCAATAAAATTATTATAATAATTGAAGATCAACTGAATTAATTATTCAATGATGATAATGTACCCCCCTGTAATTTTCCTTTTTAGGGTCAAAAACCCCATTTTGACCACTTTCGCCCCGGATACGGCGCGTCAGACATAAATTTTCTGAAGTATCACATAAAAATACATAGGAAACAAGTAATTTCAATTTGTTCAGACACCGGTACATTTTTCGGTGCTACCTCACATACTAAATGTGACGTTTTTGAGAAAAATGTACACAAATGAAAATCCTTTCGTCCTCCACATTTACCTCTCTATCTCAAAACATTTTAGACGAATAACTCTGATATCATATATATATTGTTAATGGGCTAGGAGCATCATAAAACACGAATCAATTGATATTTTAAGTGAAATAAATATACGTGTTGCTGTGCTTCAAAATAGGCGAATGGCGCAAATTAGCCCTATTTTGATGAGTTTTGAAAACCTTTCGTCCTCCACTTTTCCACATACAACAGAAAACACATACTTTTGCGAACAAAATCAACTATTTATTAATAAACTAGAGTTAAGGAGCAAAATAATCATGTATGATTTATTAAAAATTGATCTCATATTTTTTGTTTAATGTACACCTGAAAAGTTGAAGGAACAAAAAAATGAGCAGAAAAGGTCGCTGTCAACAGATTCTATTTTTCAAACTCTATGACGTCACAATATGGGACGCTTACTAAAATTCATCCTTTGAAATAAAACTTCTATCTACCTTTATCAAGACGAAAAATAAGTATAATAGTCATATATTGTTTGAGTTATGAGCGTTTAAAGACGAAAAATAATTCAAAATGTAACGTGTCAACAGGGAATATTTGCCAGATGTTTTGGTAAAAAACTCTTTTTTAAAAAAGAACGCGCAAGAATTGTGAACGGACTGTAGTTGATCTAAAAACTTCATCGAAACAGCTTTAAAATGATATACAACTTTAATTAGAATATTATTTTATAATCCGGGGAATCAAAGTACATTCACGCGATACCCCTAAAAAACAAATGCGCCACCTTTTTGCGACACGTCTCTTCATATTCTTAAACCTCAAGTAGAATCATAATACATCCACTATTGAAGTCAATTTTGACACTTTGTCCAAACATTATATGGTTATGTAGCATGGCGGTTTTATTTGCATTTCTGTTATTCAAATAAAAAAGACTTAGGAGGTTAATTATTAAATTCCTGGGCGTTTTTTTCTCAGTATTTGGTACTTCTGTATTTCTAGAATATTGTGTTTTATTCCCACACATTTAGAATAACTTGAATGTGATCGACGGAGCTAAGTCAGTGAAAAGGTATTTGTATATTTTATACATTTCTTAGATATTTTGGAAGGATAAAACGATTTTTAGGGCAGAAGTTTCATTTAGTTTGGGTCACAATAAACCTGCATTGTTAATAACCAAGAATTGAAAATACAAATTAAAATGTATATGAATTCAATGTAGTCGGTGAATATTGCGCAATATACGTATGTAAATAATGTATCATGCTTTTTAGCTCACAAGGTGAGCTATTGCAATCACTCACTTGTCCGTTTGTATGGCCGTTCGTCTCCCCGTCTGTCCATCTGTCTGTCCGTCTGTCTGTCCGTCTGTCTGTCAACAATTGGCCCGTTTTAAAACCTCTACATTAGGATTCCCGTTTTAAGTTATTTTTGTTTAACATCCATATAGAAAACCTCCCTATGACTCCTGATTCAAAAACTCACCTGTTTTCAAAATGGCCGCCATTTTTGTCTCGCAAAATTCACCTTTGGACCATTTGCTTTAAAGCATCTGTTGATAGGATTCCCATTTTAAGATATTTTTGATCAACATCAATACAGAAAACTCCCCTATGACTCCTGGTTCAAAAGCTCGCCTATTTTCAAAATGGTCGCCATTTTTGTCTCGCAAAATTCACTTTTGGCCTAATTCCTAGCTTTGCAAATAATTTCAGGTGTCCTGCAGAGTAAAAAGCCATGTCACTGTAAAGAGTAGTTGTATGAAATAATTTTGTTACAAAAATCGGCAAAAACTATATCCGTTTTTTTTTTATTTTCTGCCATTTTAGCCATCATTCACTTTTGAGCAACGCCATGTGAGCCCAGTACCCACGGTACTATTTATCATTTTATTGTTTGATGTTTTAGATAAAATGGATATCTACCATCTCTCCAAAATTATACCGTTACTTCTGAACGGTTTATTTTTATGTAAGTACAATACAGTTAATACTTCTAGAAGTACCACCCTTAATTACATGTACATTTTGTAACATAAACATAACACACTCAATCATTGTGGAATCACTATGACAGCTCTGAGCCAACCTTCATTTTGAGTTTCTGTATCAAGGGTTAAGGGGTAAACGTATGGTCTCACCTATACAAATCCTTTTCCCAAATAATGATGTATGCGTGGTATTATTTTGATAAGCTCTGACTTTAGGTGCAGTGGCAACAAATTCAACAACTACAGATGGACTGACAACAAATCCAGTTACTTCAGATGGACCGACAACTAATTCAGTCACTACAGATGGACTTACAATTAATTCAGCCAGTACAGATGGACTAACAACTAATTCAGCCAGTACAGATGGACTGACAACTGATTCAGTAACTACAGGTGGACTTGTAACTAATTCAGTCACTACAGATGGACTAACAACTAATTCAGTCAGTACAGATGGACTGACAGCTGATTCAGTAACTACAGGTGGACTTGCAACTAATTCAGTCACTACAGGTGGACTGACAACTAATTCAGCTACTACAGGTGGAGTGACAACTTATTCAGTTACTTCAGAAGGACTGACTACCAATTCAGTCACTACAGTCGGACTAACAACTAATTCAGCTACTACAGGTGGAGTGACAACTAATTCAGGTACTACAGAAGGACTGACTACCAATTCAGTCACTACAGTCGGACTAACAGCTAATTCAGTTACTACAGGTGGACTGACAACTAATTCAGTTACTACAGATGGACTGACAACTAATTTAGTTACTTCAGATGGACCGACAACTAATTCAGTTACTACAGATGAACTGATAACCAAATCAGTCACTACAGTCGGACTAACAACTAATTCAGCTACTACAGGTGGACTGACAACTATTAATTCAGTTACTACAGATGGACTGGCAACCAATTCAGTCACTACAGATCGGCCAACAACTGATTCAGTTACTACAGATGGAGTGACAACTGATTCAGTAACTACAAATGGACTGACAACAAATTCAGTTACTACAGATGGACTAACATTAAATTCAGTCGCTACAGATGGACCTACAACAAATTCAGTTACTACAGGTGGACTGACAACTAATTCAGTTACTACAGATGAACTGGCTACCAATTCAGCCACTACAGTCGGACTAACAACTAATTCAGCTACAACAACTGATTCAGTAACAGGTGGACTTACAACTAACTCAGTCACTACAGATCGATTGACAACTAATTCAGCTTCTACATCTAAACTGACAACCAAGTCAGTAACTACAGATGGGCCAACAACTATTCCAGTCACTACAGATGGGCCAAAAACCAAGTCAGTAACTACAGATGGACCGACAACTAGTACAGTTACTAATTCAGCGACCAAACCTGGTACAACAGATGGACTGACAACTAATTTAGTAACTACAGGTGGACTGATAACCAATCCAGTTTCTTCGGGCGTAAATACTTCATCTACCGCAATGAGTAAGTAATGCATTATTCATTCCATACATTCAATACTTTAAAAAGTAGAATCAATTCTAGCAAGCAACCAAGTTGCCACAAGGAGGAGTATTTCTTACAAAAAGTGTTTCAATTTTAGAATATTTTGGGCTTATATCTTTCCTTGTCATGCCTATTTTCTGAAAAATTCCCCAGTTGTATGTCGTACAGGTGGCACTTTTGCTAATCATTAATTTGCCAGGTTCGGAAAATTAAATGTCGGAAATATTGTCTTCATAATGTTATCCAATGGGAATGAAGTTTCTTAAAAAATTAAAATTAGGAAAATGATAGGTCTCGGGGGCTAGGCCACCTGTACATTTTACTTGCAATTTTAATTATCACTTGTAGATCTGATTCTGAATTCGGTTAAATAGAACAACTTAGTGCATAAAATACAGGGTGATCCAAAACTCATTCACACTTTTGATAACGTACCACCTTCTATTGACAGGAACATTTTACAATTTGTTTTTATTATAGAACTGTCTTAGAAACTTAAAGTTTTGTGTAGTGTAGGTTTTTCTTTCATATACAACTATTTGGTGTATCCATCCCGATAGTTTGCTTGATTCAAACTGCTTTGTGCTTTATCACTGTGGATATTCACACATTGAAGTTGGTAATTACCCTGCCCAACATGAAATTCTCCTGATCTCTAGCTCCGCTTTAATGTTATTCTTAAGTACATCAATATTTGGGAATCGTTAGCCTCGGCCCTGTCTTATAGGTATCCCCCAAAAAATAAAAATGTAAAGGGAATAGCTTAGAAGAGGTGTTAGAAGTTCATTAACCTGTTAACTGTGAACATGGACAGATGACGGAGCGATACATTGAACTGACGAAAATTCATCCGGGCACTGAGGCAAAAGTGAGGATGCTAATAATTTCATTAATAGACCTAATGCAAAGCTTATTTTTAACGCATTTTCGTATTTCTATTTAACACAAAAGTGTTATACGCTAAAGTGTACATTTTCCCTTATGCAAAGATGCAACATCTGTGGTTTTATGGATACAACATTTTATTTTTATAAGACTACAAAATTCGTAATTAAATAAATTCATAACATTGATAAAATTGAGTAAGCCTATGATATTTCAACCGTACCAGGCAAGAACTGCAATGCGCGTACCTAACACGGGTATGCACATTTTGTAATGTTTCTACCCTACACACTTGTTTTGTTTACTAATAATTGAGAATCCCATAAATTATAGGACTGCACACTTCTCACATACTTTATATGTGAGTTTTATTTGATTTTTATTTTGTTCAAACAATTGTTATCAAGATTGTAGATGAAGGACTTAGCTCTGGGTGTGTCTAACAGGAAGAACTATTCATCACCGACTTATTAGGCAATTGTTATCAATTCAGGTATACGTACATATATATATAATGAATTAGGAAATAGGTTAAGGAACATACGACTTATTTGTTACTTGATGATATAAAGTGTTGGAGTAATCTTGAAATTTTCAGTTGCGTATCACTTGTGTGAACAAATATTGGAGAACAATATAACAAAGTTCAACAATTTATACAATTGCTCAATAACAGCGATAACTTCAATATATGGAAATAGACAAGAACCTGGTGTAACTTAAGTTGTATACCTGCAAAGTTTGGAAACTATAAAATGGATCTGAATGCTCGACGTTACATGTTAGTGCTCGGAATGTGTATGCTGACCCTAGGTAAGTGGAACATTTTGGTACCCCTTGATAAAATTTTGCATTAGTAGTTAAAAATGTGTCTTGGTAATGTAAACCTAAATGCCAGGTTTGGTATTGTAAATGATTTAAAACAGTCATATCTTTGACCATATGTATGACTTTATTGTTGCCATAAACACCACCCTTTTCACAATAATAGTATGTTTTCATCGAAGTAAAGGTGTTAGATGTTAGAAATACAGAACTCTCCAAAACCCCATTGTTTGGGTCTTCATCTCAAAATATTCTACTGCATTGCGTTTGTAATTTTCTGGATGAAGAAACAGCGCTGAAATGCGAAAGTTAAAACACGTCCATTGTAGATATCCATACTAGTTTTTAGCCCAATTTTGGTCATCAAAATTTGAAATTTTCAATATGAGATTTTCAACGCCATTCTACCTCGGAGAAGTTACAGATCGTTTGTTGTTTTATCTACTTATGTAATGAAATTGGGAAGACAATATTCTATTTTAAGAAAATTAGTCCGACATTTTGAAAAATGCATTGAAGTAGGGTCCATTCATTATCATGGGGACATTTCTCAGAGAAAAACATATCATGTTAATGAGGATTGTCGTAATCAACGTGAGAAAATAGTCAAGGTAAAATATGACTGTCTTAAACATTCCCCATACCACGCCTGGCCCCGAAAAGAATATCACATTACATGACAGTAACAGTAAAAATCAATTTCTTTGAAATTTCTTATTATCACCTATATACAGGGTGGGCCAACCCCCCCTAGCCATTATTTCTGATAAATATTTATTTTTTAACATGTACACCTACAATGATATACCATTTTAAAGATAATTTAATTTGCAACAAAATGATATATAATAGAACTATTTTCAACAACCCCATTTAGAAATATAACCAATTATGTGACATGGGGGTCAAAAAACACCTTTCCAATAATTCCATCGATTTTGCGAACAATAGCCTATTTCTACCAAATTTTACTGTTCAGTACAACATTGCAACATTGTCATGAGTCTTTCATAATCGGATATTATATATTGTTTTCATTCAGTTTTTGAACCATGCATGCTCAATAAACATGTGGATGCTTATAAAACAAATTCATTTCTTCCTCAGTCTGTCCAAATATGGCTCAATAGACCCACCACCTGGGCCCATCCTCTGATGGGATTATTCGCTTAATACGCGGAAGCCATTGGTTGATGGCATAATTGATGGATGTATGCGGAAGTACCATTCAACTGCTAGTTATTCTTTCTTTTAGTTCCTCCACATCCCTGATAAGCTGGGTATCTTTAAATAACTGTTCTAGATGCCACCGGGTATGGTAATCAACATTATTGGCATCTGGACTGCCAGAAAGCATTTGTCCGGGCTAGAGATGGTGTAATTTCGAATCTCCAAAAACTCCAGGGTAGCACTGGACCTGTGTGATGAAGCACCTTCCTATCAGATAATGAAATTCCTTTCACATGTTTTTATATCCTTGAGGAGTCCTCTTTAACACCTCATGTCTTTAATATTCAGAGTATATTTTTGCTCCTGGTTCAACAAAACAGGGCCTGTACAGTCTTTCCTTTTTGGGAAACACGGAGTGGACACCACTACCCTTTCAGAAAAATGTCACCTCGATTTGAGTAGCCTTTTATGGCATATGTCCCTATTTTTGCTGACTGATATATAGAGTCTATCCTGTTGATTACATGTATAGTACTTGGGGCATTTAGAACAGTTGGTCTATGAAGATCACTAGCCTATCAGGGATGTATACAAACTAAAAGAATGAATAATTAGGAGTTTGATGGTACTTCCACAGAGATCCATCAATTATACCAATGGTTTTTGCGTCTTTAGCGAATAATTCCGATCAGAGGGTGAGGAGTCCGGGGGTGGGTCTATTGAGCCATATTTGGACAGACTGAAGAAATGAATTTTTTTATAAGCATACACATGTTTGTTGAGCATGCATGGTTCAAAAACTGAATGAAAACATCCAATTATTGAAGACTCATGACAATGTTGCAATTTCTAACTGAACAGTACAATTTGGTAGAAATAGGCTAATGTTCACTAAATTGATGAAAATTGAAAAGGTGTTTTTTGACCCCCATGTCACATAAATGATTATATCTCGAGCCAGGGTTGTTGACAATTGTTCTATTATATATCATTTTGTTGCAAATTAAATTATCTTTAAAATGATATATCATTGTTGGTGTACACGTTAATGAATGAATCTTTATCAAGGATATCGGCTAGGGGGGTGGTTTTTTGGCCCACCCTGCTATACAGATCCTCAAGATTATTTAATTGTACTTCAACTCCTAATGAAAGGTGACTCGATTAGCCTAGGCAATGTAGCATATGGTTTCCGGACAACTCGGACCCTGGACAACTCGGGACCCAAAACATCTCGGACTCAAGACAAGTAACAAATTAATACAAAATATGAAGCCACAATATATAATATATGTATTAATTTTCATAGATGAAAAAATAAAACCACACATAATGATAAAAATCATAATTTTAAAAAGTGGTCCGAGTTGTCTTGAGTCCGAGATGTTTTGGGTCCAAGTTGTCCAGGGTCCGAGTTGTCCGAGTTGTCCAGTTGCCGTACTGCATATAGGTCAATTCTCTCTCTACATATTGTTTAAGTCACATACTTGATCAATTCTTTAATACAGTTCATCCTCGTGATTTTAAAATTATCTACATACAGTTACACCATATTTGATAAAAAATAAAATACATATAAATTGTTGCAGGTGCATCGCAAAGTACAACGGAAAATACAGTTACTACAGATGAAAGTACAACGGAAAATACAGTTACGACAGATGGACTGACAACTAATTCAGCCAGCACAGATGGAATGACAACTAATTCAGCCAGTTCAGATGGAATGACAACTAATTCAGCCAGTACAGATGGAATGACAACTAATTCAGCCAGTTCAGATGGAATGACAACTAATTCAGCCAGTTCAGATGGAATGACAACTAATTCAGCCAGTGCAGATGGAATGACAACTAATTCAGCCAGTTCAGATGGAATGACAACTAATTCAGCCAGTTCAGATGGAATGACAACTAATTCAGCCAGTTCAGATGGAATGACAACTAATTCAGAAAGTTCAGATGGAATGACAAGTTCAGATGGAATGACAACTAATTCAGCCATTACAGATGGAATGACAACTAATTCAGCCAGTTCAGATGGAATGACAACTAATTCAGCCAGTACAGATGGACTTACTAATTCAGTCAATACAGATACAACTAATACAGTTACATCGGGGGATGGAACTACACCATCTAACGCAACGAGTAAGTCACGCGTTACTTATCCCATATATTTTAGTTACAGCCCTTGAGAAAGGTTCGGAAAAGTACTTTCATATTTCTGTGTGGTATCGGTCTTGAACGCAAGGTGTAGCTTTAATGCAAGAATTGCATGTTATATCCCTCTCGTGAGTAGGTATGTAAAATTCTAAAATGAAATTCCGTTTTTATCATTCTATTTCAAAATAAATTATCATTTTATAAACTATATCATATATGTCCTAGCCTGAAATGCTTAAACATAACAGAAGGTGCACCCACATGCAATAACGTACGTAAAAGTCACTAGTTTTTATCAGTTGTATTGAAATTGTAAGTATGTAATGCGTAATTGCCCCATCCTGATAACACGGAGCGCTCAGGCCTCTCGCCGAGTCCCCTTAACTACAACGCTTGAACACGGGGTCCCCTAAACTAACGCTAAACACTGGGTCCCCTATAATCTGCAACACTTAAACACGGGGTCCCCTAAACTACAACGCTTAAATCTGTCAATGGGCAGCGTTTAAACCTTTCATCGGATACCCCAACCTGCAATGCTAAACCCTATATAAGGAATGCACACTGCTCACTTACTTGGTAAATGTGTGCACAGTATATCAGGCCTGTCAACCTTGGAACACCTAAAATGAGTGACTTACCAATATTGAAGACCAATCTCTAAATTGTGAACACCTTGGTCCAAATCTGAACACCTTGGTCCAAATTTTGAACACATTGGCTCAAATTTTCAACAAGGAAAGTCGGAGCAAAGGCGTGACATATACGTAATTTCCTGTGAAAATTTTTAGATGTTCTGCTCCTGAAATATTTTTTCTTGCCATAATCAGAAAAATGCGTATTACGCAAAAAACGGGTGTAACTTGAATTTCTTCAGTAAATGCATGACAAATACCCGAATTGCGGGACAGTTGGACGGCCTAGTATATGTAGAATACATTTTGGGTTACACACATCGCCGATTGTTCTAGCTAAAAATATGCTACTAAACATTTTTTTAAATACATAAGGCTCATAAGTATAATACTGAAAACAGATTTCACGAGGACTTTCAATATATTTAGTCCAATTGCGCTTTAATCGTCCAAATCCACCCCATGCGTACAATTCGCTTAAAATTACAATCGTATGATGCGAGACTCCACATAAGTAGGAAATAAGGATCATTTTGTCACCCATGTGGCAAATTAGTTTTTTTACTGCTTAATAAATAGTGAATGACAGTTTCATTAGGGCGTTTCATTAACTATGAGAATGGCATGATGTTTTGATACCTCGCACATGAGTTTTATGAAGCTGTAGTGTTCCTGGTACATGCGCTCTTTGATAGGCAAAAATAAGGAGAACAAAACTAGAGAGGTTTGTTGTTGGCTATGTAACATAATGACGTTTTATTATAAATTAAATATATTGTACGTTACAATTACATAGTCAGCTATTGGCGGTTGTTAGTCCTATCTGAAAGTATTGTTATATAACATTATGTAATTTATAATAGAACCACGTCGTCATATGTGACCAATGCAAGTGGATTCAATATGTTTGGTCCATTCAAAAATTGGCAAGATGAAGATATGAATAAAACTAGGCAAAAAGTCACTAGTATCTCCGATAATTATTCGACAACCTTTCGATTGTGTTTTAAAACTATTAAGTGGGACTGTAAAATAAAGAAACCTTTTCATTTTTATTGAATTCAGAAAGTATTAAGTTTCATGTTTCACGTTCAGAAGGTTATAATTTTCATGTGTATGAATATATTGTTTTAAACGAAACGCATTTCAAAGCCTTGATCGTGTACGTGAACCTTCCCGTTCACGTTGTGAAAAACAGATGCAGTCCAATAAGGTCTTCATTGTGACAAGGAAGGAGACTGAGGCACAAGGATAACCTCTCAAAACTGCGAAGAGTTAATATGTAACTGGGTGACCTTAAACAACGAGGCTCGAAATGTTGCTATACTTTAACAATACATCAGGAAAAAAACTCACGAGGTTTTAGATTACAATTGTTCAGCATATAGTTAAAATAATATAGTGTGTAAATATAAGATACACGTATAAGGAAATGACCTGAATGAGTAATGGCATTCCAAACTATCACGATAATCATAATTCTAATCTATTTAGTTCTTAACACTACCTTAAAAGCAAACATTGTTCAAGGCTCAATTCAAAAAAGATAACAACGGCAGTTGTAATGTACAGAGTGTCCAGAAAGTATCATAATTCAAAACGTTGCATATACATTAATATATATGTTTCTAATATATGTATCGAATGTTTTTTTATATATACTTACTTATCTTTAAAATATACTAGTACTTACTCTTATTTAAAAGTGATTTTGTTAATGAGCACCGGGTGCATGAATAGCCCCCCTTGGGTATACATTCTATGCAAGATTTATCAACATTCTTTTATTCTTCAACAGTATCTCCGATAATTATTCGACAACCTTTCGATTGTGTTTTAAAAATATTTAGTGGGACTGTAAAATAAGGAAACCTTTTCATTTTTATTGAATTCAGAAAGTATTAAGTTTCATGTTTCACGTTTACAACGTAAATACACATACACGTGGATGACACATTATATTCATGTGGATCTCAAGAAATGACATCTTACAGAGATGATTTCACCGAATCATTGTAAAATATACAACTCGTACGCAGGCTATTTACTAGAGAAGCCAGAAGACAAGGTGTCTACACATTGACGTGTCACCGTGTAGGGCAAGGGTTATGCCAATGATCAAGATATGTTTAGCATACTCAACAAGATGTTGTAAACCATATGAGAAATGACTAGGAGGTTAAAGTTCATATTTTTGTATATTTATTGCTTGAATGTGAGATTCACTTGATATTACGATTTATTATGGCTCGCAAAATGATGGTACTTCTTGGACATGTTTTATTAATGGTGGCCCTAATGGCAAGGTGTCTGGGGGCAAAAAGCACAGATACAACAGTACCAATCACATCAAGTACAACAACAGAATCAATAACAACAATAGCGTCAGAAACAATTGCATCAAATACAACAACAGCTTTAGAATCAATTAATCAAACAGTAGCGTCAGAATCAACTGCATCAAATACATCAACAGCTTCAGAATCAATTACAACAACAGCGTCAGATTCCATTACAACATCGTCAGAATCAAATACAACAAAAGTGTCAGGATCAAATACAACGCAATTAGTATCAACAGTTTTAAGTATTACGAACACTCAATCAATGGGTAAGTTACTCGAACCAAAACACATCACATAAACTATCAAGTGTATGTTGTACTCTAATTGGAAGTTGTCACTAGAGCCATGGCGTTTTTGCAGGGCTGTAGTCCTTTTAAAGCGACATCGATTTTTCAAGCTTGTAGATATTTTTTCTCTTTTCTTTCATTCTGTTTATAGTAACTGCCATGACATGATTCCAGCTTCCAGAAGCATGATAGTAACATTTGACTGCTATTTGATGATTTTTATAGGATCGATTTTCTCTTTTAATATGTCGATCATACTGGTGATCATAAACTATCATAGACACTCTTTAAAATAATGTTGCCGTGCCTTTTATCATTGGACCATGGAGCTAGTAATCTACCCCAAATAAAAGTAACCACCAAAATAAATAGCCAAAATTAGGCTATATATAAGATGAACATATAGTTTTCAATTCAATAACTATAATGAATTATATTTGTATTTTACTTAAGAATAACATACATTAATGTATAACATGTACTACTGTTTTAGAATACATTAACATCGAGATAGCAGGAACTATTGAAGATGTCAAGACTCGTGCGTGTAATTTATCAATTATGATTTATAGTTTATCGCTCAGTTCTATGAATCATAGTTCTACGAGTCATTAACGTAGACAACCACTAGCCCATTATTTATTGAATTATTTGTTTGTTAATTTTGGTTAAAACCATCTAGTGCAATTATTTGTTGATTTGGCCCACACATGTGATCTTCAATACGATACCCTCGTAACTGAATAACTAAATATTTATTACTGATTCATGAAACTTTCCTGTGACTTTGTTTCAGGAAATGAAACAACGGATGAGGCCACTACTCTCACAGTGACAAGCACCACGACACAAACAACAACAACGACCCCTCCGAATTCTACACCGGTTGATATATGTAAGTAGAAATATCAAACCGCTACTCATTATTGTGTTGACAATTTTGATATATGAAGAACGCTGATTCCCATTTGCGATATCATTAACGTATCTAGTGATTTGCATACTTTCCTTATTGCAAAATTTCGAACACATTGTAATGCAAATAATGTACACAACCAAGAAGATGACATGGAGAGAATTGCAGATGCTTTGGGATATGATCAAGATATATTTTATCCTATGCCCTGTAGAGTTTTAGGGAGATAAGTTGGTAAGATATATCCTGTTTCCTGATTTTGAGGTTTCCATGTCCAGAACTTCCATATCTCCCGCCATATCTCCCACTTCGGGTATATCCTTCCATTTCCGGTGCTGAACCAAAAATTGGAACCAAAAATGTGAAAAAATGAAGAAACTTAGAAAACTCTACTGGGTATAGGATAAAGCAGTAATATATGGTCGGTTTGGAAATGGATTTTATCCAAACCCACCCAGAACATAACCCTTATTTATTCCAGCAAATGAGAAAATAGCGATCCCAGTTGTATTTACAAATATAGATAGCTCAGGATGTGCCACAGAAAGAGAATCGTTTCAAAAACAGGTGAGTAAAGAATGAGCAGTAATGTAGGCCTAAAACAACAAAACATATACGTGTATATTCATTCAGATCAGTCCAATTTTAAGGATGAAAGGGTTGATTATCATTGTGAATTGTTAAATGACATTATATTTCGAATTGTACATTTGTATTTCTATATTATAGTTTTTAAAACATACATTGTCTAGAATGGAAGTACGGGAAATTGCATTCGCTGTTTTGAACAGGTGTGATAATCCACGTGTACACATGCTTAATCTGTGTACTGTTGCAATGTAGAAAGAGTACGTGATCGGATAAAACTAAACTGGATATTAATCAAACTAATTGATAACTGTTTTTTCCATTTTTTAGTTAACTGATGGGTTAACATCGACACCAAATGCAACCGTCACTTGCGAGGATTGCTCAGCAAGGTAAGCAACTCATACCTGCCTCCAACAGCTATGTAAACTCACCTATCGTAATATAATTGCTATTTTAATAAATTCAGACTCTGTGTATTGTTCTTCTAAATATCACCATATTATATTATATTATATTATATTATATTATATTATATTAGCTGTTATAGTCAAGTTTATTGCGGACAAAATTTAACCTCTATTCATATTTATCCGATGAGGAATTTTTCCAGATAATATGGAAAAATCACTTATACGAGGGTATATCATAAAGTTCTCATAATGTATCTCTATTTTTTTTATTTTTCAATATATTCTGATGAATTTTTCACAGAATGTGTAGTATAGATTGCTGTATTAATCTATCAAAAAATATTTGGTATAACAGAAATATTATTTAAGAAATGGTTGCCATAGTAACCGGAAATCAAGGCACCCGGGGCAAATAAAAGATCGTGCAGGAATAGTCCAAACCATGTTTAAATGCATAATAAGTTATCAAATAAGCTATGAAACTCATCAAATTGTTAAATACCATGTATTCTTGACTGTTTTAAACTATTATAATGGGCATGTGAATTGTGTGATCTCATAATGGATGATTGTAATGCTTCATTAGAAGTGATGTTAGACACTACAACTGTTTTGTCAAGTTTTCCGAGGAAAGTCGATTTTCCACTTTAGTTCATCTTAAATAAGTAATAGACCCCGCATAGGGTGTAATTATGTTGATATCTTTGCAACATATTTGTTTAAGATTATCTTTAGTATGAGCAAAGGACATCAAGGATTTTTTAAACTAAACTAAACTTTTTATCAGTGTGAATATTATTTTTCTGATGATCCCTGCATCTATGCATTATCTTACTCAGTCATTTCTGATCATTAAGCTTTGATTCTCAGAGCCTGGTATCACATCCAATGAAGCATGTAAGCATCCCCTATGACACCAAACAATCCACATGATCAATTTATTTTATAGTAAAAGCATTTAACAACATATTACAGTTAACATTTTAATGTGTAATTATGAGAGTTTATTATGTATGTAAACAAAGTTAATTAAGCTCATTCTCTCAATTATTTTTATTTGCCCCAGGTGCCTTGATTTCCTGTTACTATGGCAACCATTACTTATCTAATATTTCTGTTATACTAAATATTTTTTGATAGATTAATAAAGTATTCTATACTGCAGATTCTATGAAAATTTCATTAGATTATATTGAAAAATAAAAAAATTTGAGAGATATTATGAGAAGTTTATGATATACCCTCGTATATATTGTGATTTTTGTTTGTTTTAGTACCGATAGTTTAATGTGTAAAGTAGAATACCCAGCTGTAACCTTGATAGAGAATAACAATAGAAATTCGACATTTACCACTGAGTTGGGAAATGTCATCAGAGAAGCTGCAAAGAATGTCACATTTACAAATGGAACAAGTGCAAGTGTTGACGATGACAAACTAAATATTGCTCTAGGAGTTGGTGAGTGAGCATCGAAAAATTAATGAAGCTCTGTTTAATTATACAGCATATAGAATATAACATTCATTATATGAGATTTTTGCGTGAATCTTTGATTTCCGTTCGGTAGCTGTTTATTTCAGACTATAATCGAGCGAACACAAAAATGTCCACTTAAAGCTCACCCGCATCTTGAATTTATCATAAATGTCAGTCAAACCTTTTTGGAACCTCTTGGTTATTTATAAATCAATTTAATGCTTTTTAGCTGGTCAGATCGTAAATGATCCATGTGGAGAATTCTGTAACGCTACTCAAAGATGTCGCTCAAACTCTCTTTATGCCGGATCTGCCTTAGCATGCGAGTCCAAATGTGCTCTATTCCTGGAGGACGACTGTAAAGGGGGACAGGGTACATGTACACTGGACTATGAGAAGAATGAACCGTTTTGCAAGTGAGTATACACCAACACCAAATATTCCATTCTATTGAGGTGAATACATCTTTCCCTCAGTATCAATTAGGCCATTTGGAAATGTGGTAGTAATGACTAATGTGAAGACCAGTTAAAGAAAGGCTGCACATCACGACCTCTGCTTCTAAATGCTCACATAACCACATGCGCTTGTTTGTTTGTACTGTAGATGAGAATTTTTGTTTTCAGATGTAACGCTGATCATATCTACCTTTTTAAGACTTGTGTAAATCAATGGTATATAGTTGGAGGGGTCGCGGGCTTAGTGGTATTGCTCATCATTATTATCATCGTCGTCGCTGTTTGCTGTAGGAGGAGGAGCCCTCCTAAACAATCCGAAGAGGAACGGTCTTTGAGGTAACAGAAATCACATTTTGAATTATAACATAAGGTCATAAAAAGCGTTGGCTATTTGACAGAAAACAAAAATATTATGATGATAACTTTTAACGTCAGACAGGATAAGCTCAAACGTTTTGACGATTGGTTTAACTAAAGTCTATATCATAAGTTTTGTGACTCTCTATTCTTTTGTTTCAAGTGTCTTCCTACATAACATGCATAATAACCATATTTCTCGCATAGGCACGAACGAGATTTGAAGTCATATGATAACAACGGTTATACTAGTCATCCCACAGAGTCGTATGAAATGGAAAAGCCGAACTATGTTCAACCTACATATGATGACGTAAGTCCCTTGTATCTCTATAACAGAGCTATTAAATTTAGGTATTTATTGGCAATTGTATTATTTATCTACTTCTTCTTAATTTGAGATAAGTGATATGAATATAAAAATATATTATTCCATTGTAAACAAACCAAGAAATACCATACTTCCAATCCATCCATTTCCCATTACTGACAGAGACATCTTTCCAACGGTTAATGTCCCCATAAGGTAGAAAAGGTAATCGTACACAAGACTAATCATGAATTAAACATTTTTAAAAACTAAAATATCAATTATACAATGTAGAATTTACCAGCACAAAATGTGAGAAATGAGCGCATGGCAACACCAGCTGACAACACTTATACTGAACTGCAGAACACAGACGCCTACAAGAACTTCTTTCCACAACTGGAACATGTCGATCCAACAGTTGATGTGAGTCGCGTGTGTTATATACTGGGAGGTTTTTGAATATTGGGGTTGGGTTAAGTTCCTGTACTGATGTATCTCATATACTGGAGGGTTTTCATGAGTTTTTCTACAAGATGGGGCGTTCAAGTCCCTAGTTGTTTAGTCTGCTTAGTTGTTACTTGAGCTCGGGCGGGAAATATAGCAAACACCCTAGCCTTGCCGCTTCTAAGATATGATTTGGGGTTATATTATTCAAACCTACACAAGCGTGACAAATTATAACCATTGTCGTCCCTCGGGAGATAAACATTATTCCCTCAGGATAAATCCCGTAGCTAACACATCCAGTCCTAGTACACAATCCTTATACATTTATTTATAAAACTTAATGAAAACAGTATTAGAAAAAGTAGAATTGAATTTAAATTTAGAAATATCTGCTAATATCAAAGAATAGTTTTGAACAGTGTTAGATTATTTTATAAACTCCAACATCGGATAATCTTGCATTTTCCTGATTTGAATAACAATGGATACCATAGTTTCTCACTAATATACCCATGGGCGTTTATTTGAAAAGGGTACATCGAAGAGGAAATCGTGTCTTTTTAAATGCCCTTTTTAGTGCTGTATTTACAAATCTTTGCATAATGATAAATTGTAATTCTAAATAATTATATTAATAATCGTGATTTATTCATATACTGTACTAAAATCATAGTTTCTATTTTGTGTAATTTAAATACATGTATTTTCAGTACTCGATAAAGCGGCCTACGTTTAGGCATAATGATTACCAATACGATAGAAAGTAATAGTTTTCTGGGATTCTACTCTGCAGCTTCTCTACTGTCTACAGGTTTCTATCATTATGGTTTTTAGATTCTATAGACTTTCTCTTTCATCGGGCTTCTCTAGTATAGAGCTATAGCTAGTGGTGTTTTCTAATCGCGCATGTATTAATTTAATATTTATCTCAGTACATCTGCTGAGCTCATTATACTGCTCCTAAAATCACTTTCTTTTTGGGGTGCGGTTCTTCTAGTATTAGTTGTAATATAATGAATGCTCATCCTAAGATAATATTAATTTCAAGTAATACACTCTTATTTTCTAGTACTCGATACAAAGACCCATTCTGCGATATTTCCCACGGTATTATTCATCCAAGCAATACTGAGGATACCGGCGAGATATCACGTGACATTATGGCAACTTTTTGACTGTAGAGTGACTGATCAATGAAACAGTCTGTTTAAGTCATTTCCATGATATGACATCAAGCACGGCGATTGGTTTCGGCCGGAAGACGATTTTTGTGGAGAAGCAGGCCAAGAGTTTTTGAATGGCTGACAAGACATTGCAGATGTTTTCATTATATAGCATAACATTATATTGGAATCACAAACATTTATGTTAAAAAAATGTATTTTGCTTTCCATCTAAGGCACCTTCAGAATAATTTATTAATTTGTGTATTATTTTTGTATATAAAGTTTAAGTTAATCATTTGATTTGATATTTTCGTAATCATTAACATGCTATTGTGATTTATAGTTTGTGATTTATGTATTTTTACATTTTCTACAACGATCAACAAGAAATCAAATTGTTTTGATTTAAAAAAATGTTAAATACATTTTGCATACATGTACTATTTATAATATGTAAATGACAAATAGTTCAGGCCCTATACTACCTATAGCATGAACATGTAAAAAGTTCTAGTGTAAATACTTTATCGATTCATCATGTTGGAGTACGTGTAATCTTGAAGCACTCTCCTGTTGTTCAGGGTGGAGTGGTCATAATGGTTTTGATCGTTTACAAAGTCAAGCAAGTCAAATAAATGTCAGGTATACAATACATTTTATTGTAGTCTAGTCTATACTTTTATCAGACAATTATCAGACCATAATGTTAAAGAGAGAATCAGAGATAGCGAGCAGGCTAAACAAAAAATTGTTTCAATTTTAGAATATTTTTGGCTCATGTCATTCCTTGTCATGTTTATTTTCTAAAAATCACAAAAGTTCATACTTTATTCAAGGAAAACGAAATGTTTTTACAATAATGTATTATTTTTCTATAAGAATGGTTACCATTCTTATTATTTGGGAGAATTTAAACATTTTTTACCCATTTTTGCACTTTGAATCATTAATAACTTCACCAATTTATAATATATAGTGAATCTTTTGGGAGATATTGAATTTGATATTGTAAGGAATAGATTGGTAGGTCAATTATGCACGTTGCTTGTAATTTTGTCACCCCCTATGGATCTGATTCTGCCTTTAAGAATATCAAATGAACATTGTTCACTAGACAAGATAATAAAGACTATAAATTACATTTTTTACCGTTACACAACCCCCTTGGCGTCTAGCAGCTTGTTACATACAGGGCGTTTTTGTAAAAATATTCACCTTTATATTGAACTATTTTCAATATTGCTTATGTATATATTTTGTAAAGGATTTGAATAAATTCAATTGATTGATACATGAAATATTTTCAATTTTTTATTCCTTTTGACGTGACTGTATAAGTTTCGAAACATTTTGATCATTTAAAAGAAAGAAATATTAATTAAAACTTTTGATCTTTTCATAATTACAAAAATTGGTACCTGCCCCGCCAACCCCTACACCCATGTTGCTATAGCAACCATATTAACACTTAATATTGATGCTTGATGCTGAAACTTCAGGATATAATAGATAAAACTTTAATCATTATATACACAAAATTTCAGCCGAATTGAAGAATATTAAAGAAAGTTAGAGCATATAGTGCATTACTTATTTTTACCTAGGATTCATCCTAGTTTTTACCTAAAAAAATCAATTTTATTTAATGTGATGAATGTATATTTTTGGACATGTCATTTAATCCGAAATGTGGCAACCGTTTCACTATATATGTTAGCTCATGTTTGATAAGCAATATTTACCACTGCCAAGAAATCAGTAAACCAGAACTATACCTAGTATGACGTCACTAATCACGTGGGGCCCAATCTGAGTGATCCGTTGGTTTTATAACGTTGGTTGGTAACTGTAAAGAGTAAAGGTCCATGTGCAGTATGGCAAGTGATTTTAGACGGTCATATCTTTCACCATGGGTACTTTCTGTCCATAAACACAGTGGTATTTATAAAAACAATATGTTTTCTTTCAAGTGAAGTTCCCGTGATAGTAAAATATCAATCCAACTCTCTGAAAAATTATGGTTTAGGACCCCATCTGGGCACTTTTTAGAAAATGATAGGCTTATTTTCTAAAAAGAGGATTTTGTTTTTCTCGATTTAACCATATCTAAAGTTTCTTTTACACTATATTTACAACTTCTGAAAAGGTGACTGGTATTGAAATGAAGTTAAAAACCACATATCCCATGTTATTTTCAGCATAATTTTGGTCATCGAAAATTGATATCTTCAAAACTAGACTTTCAATACCATTCTACTTTTAAAGAAGTTTTAGACCCCTTTTTGAATAATCTTTTCATGGAATAAAAATGAGGAAAAGGAGATCCTCTTTTTAGTAAATAGGTTCAACATTTTGAAAAAATTGTTGACATGGGATCCCTATTCATAATTTTTCGAAATGTTATATTGATATTTTTATCATCATGCGTACTTCACTTGAACGAAAACATATTGTTATAATAAAACCACTGTATTAATGCACAGAAAGTACTCATGGTGAAAGATATGACTGTCTAGAATCACTTGCCATACTGCACATGAACCTTTTTATTTATGATGGTTATCGTGAGGATTCTACGTTGGACTTACAATACAGAAAACCTCAGTTTTATAGCTGCAGGTTGAGAAACCTGTTCATACGAGCTTTGAATAAATGAAATGGGGGGGGGGGGATCTTGGCCAAACTCTAAGTAGATGCATTGAAGAAGAAGACATATTTATTCCATTATTAACAGTGTGCACACTTTCAAGATACCTTTATTAGCATAGCTATTACATGTACATCATGGTGTATTATAATTCAAATTACTGGTTACGAATCCAGGCGAGATACGAGGTGACTCTGGCGTACACCCCTGGGTATCCTGGTTGTGCGCATCCTCGACCCCAGGATACAATTCCAACCTGACGCCAAACCCCATTGTCATTATATTGCAGCGGTCCGCCACTATCACCCTGTTCATGGTAGCAAAGCATATTGTTTATACAATAGAGGAGTTTCTAAATGATTTTGAAATCTCGCTAATTCTCGTTTTTCATGAGATTTTAAGAGATTTCGACATTTTACCTCTAATGACTTACTTTTCTTTCTTTTTAATAGCATATGTTCATTGACGGGATCATTTAATAGTATGCCATTCAAGTTTCAGACAGATTTAACTAGCACTCTTTGATAAATCATGAAATTAAGTGACTATTGCAAGCTTTTAGCATAGAACTCAAAGGAAGATTGGCCCAAGATGAACAACGGTGACATCTATTATGTCAGCTTTATTTAGCTATTTAGAAACTATGCTATTGAAGAAAACGAATACATGTTAAGCGTTCCTTTTTAACGTTGAATGAACTTTGGATATCCAGCCCGGGATCCACCCCATGTAAGGAGATGAGACAATCGTCGACCCACGTTGAATGAGGAACCTTTTGCGTGTCAGATTTTGTTATTTTCTTTTAATAACAACGACGGGACTTTTTACGAGCCACAAATTGTACAGATGACATCTTTACTTTTTGTACTTTCATACAGGGTAACAGAAAAATATCCACAAAATGTCGCTTAACTTTTTACTTTTTTGTCTGTCTTTTATTGTCATTTTTGGGATTTTTTCACACAGTCGAAAATATGTAAAAATACTAAATTGTCCATTGCGATACTGAAGAAACGTACCTGGCAAGAGTCGCCTTCGTTATCTAAACCTGCACACAGACTGCTGGGGAAAATATCAGAGTAGCTGTTTTGACATTGACTGTTCGATATTACCGTTTTCTGAACGTGTCGCAATTCTGATGTTACACTGCCCCCTGTAAATATAGAACTAATAAGACAAAAGCTTCCCCAACAATTATAAGAATTAATGAAACCATATACTAGTCTTGCTTCAAGACTATGGAGCCCCATTATCGACTTCTCCAACACAACTGGTGTAAAGTAATTACGGGGGCGGGGGTCTAGGGTCATAAAGTAGATAGGGGGGGGGGTGTTAAGGGTCTTGAGGCAAGATTAAAACCATACGTATTAAAACCATGAAAGAGCATGAAATAAACTTACCGGAAAACTCAGTTCCCCATCCACTCACTGTGACCGTGTTTCCATTGTAGGAGTTGCTAGCAGATGGTTGGCATATGGGCCTGACCCGGCTGGTCCAACCGCTGATGGGAGTTGTTAGCCGCATTAGTGCAATATCATTCTCGCTAGAGTCACTGTCGTATCCCTCGTGCATAATGTAGTCCGCTACAGACACTTGGGTACCTTGATTTCTTCTGTTTGTACCATATTCTATCTGATAATCACTCGCAAATCCGAAGCTAGGTTGCGAAAATATACAATTTGTGTTATTCAATGCTAAATACTGAGTCACTCCCGCAGGACCGGACAAAAAGCGTGGAGAAAATCTGCCATATCTATTTATACTCATTATTTAGGACAATCTATAGCGATAGCGTACTCACTAATTGAGACAGGATTGTTTATACTCACTAATTGAGACAATGCATAACTGTTTGCACTCACTGATTGAGAAAGTGTACCCGGAAAAGTGTATAACTGTTTGTACTCACGCATTTAGACAATGTGCAGCAGTGAGAATCCACTGATTGTTGATAATACTTCCACCGCAAGAATGGTCATACGAGAAAAAGTTATCAACCCTTAAGGACACCTTTAACAACAACAAAACATATTTTTTCGTTTAGATAAGAGACCTATTAAGTAAATTCCTACTATGTTTTGGAATAATGAAAGTCCAACATATTTGTGAAAGAACATTTCATAAAATAAAATCGCAGCAAATATACAGCTTGGTATATACATGTAGAATTAAGTTCACAATCGATTCCTCGGCTAGCGAGGGGAATCCCCATTGAGCCACACAAGCGCCCACAAGCGCCTTGAACCAGGTAGCCAATCAGGTTTATGATAAACAAATTCAACGAACAATCAGACAACAGGAGGACTTTCCCGGTATATTCAAACTTCAGATTGAATTAATTTCTTCGAAAATAATTAGATCGGCCAGCACAATCGCAAAATTAACACTGAAAGAGGGGGATTTGGGACTTCTTCTTTGGTAAGTAGATGGGAATATATGTGGTGAAACTCAATATGCAAAAAAGTCCAGAGGGGTCTTGATTGTGCTATCCTATGGCATAGAGCCTCTTTAAGAGGAAATATTTGGGTTTGCAGCTTCTTTTTGACGCGCGTTACAATGAACATGACCGGCTTTTAGGTATACCTGCCATGGCCACTGTCCATCTCCAGACTCCACGCCATCTACAATTTGTGCCTCTCCCGGGGGACCGCTACCTCCCTGGCCACAATTAGCAGCTAGATAAAAAAGTCCATGCATTTGTTTCACTGCACATTTATAGCATTGATAGTAAGTACCTTTGAATTAAGATGGCTTGCATGATGTCACCATTAACATAAATAACCTATAGTATATATAATACATTGTTAGAAGTGATACTGTTGTTGGTTAGCCAGACGCAGTGCTTTCAATTCCAAATATGATAAAGAAAAGCATAAGCAATCGAATATAGAAAATAGTATTATACTCACTGTCCCACGTCACTTGTAGGGATGGGCCTAAAACAAATAATGTAATTGTGTTTTGTTTTAATATATAGATGTTTTCCATTCTGATACTCAAAGCATCTCTCTCTGTTGCATCGCAGATGCTACCCAGAAGGATAGAGATGGAGAGGGTGTGGCTTACCCATGGGCTTTCTATTGAATGCCCATGGCTTACCACGGTGATGTTTTTCGGATTCACTAGTTACGAGTAATAGGTAGCAGTGCAACATTGATTACAAAGGTTTGAGAAAAGTCAAGTTACGCGCAATTGGGAAAACGTGAACATGTTATATTATGGTCCCCGTGGATTGCTGTCCGTACTGTTGACCAACTCTCAATGGTTTAAACGGAGACCTAAATACAACTATAGTATTTCCCTCACACTTTCATACTGATCAATAGGTCAGAAAAAAGCCAGTGAGGTGAAAATAGTCCTTAGGGGACCATGATTTTACACGTTCACGTACACGTCTTCAAAACGCTACTAACTCAACCTTATTATTTTAGTTTATCGTACTTACCAAAGAGACTTAGGAGTAAAACGAACGACCTCATGGTTCAGTCAGTGTGTGAAAATGGCAGAAGCACATATGTTATATATATTTTGTCAGAATTCTTTATCTTGATTCATCGATAACCTATATTTATAATACAAAGTTGAGGTGTGGTGGAAGACATTGTACTTATTGATACCAACCAAGACATATTTGTTGAGAAAGGAGTGGTATCGATATGGTGAACTTTTTTAACACTTTTGAAACATTCTGAAAATTTTTCACATCGTCAATTTAATGGTCATCTTTTGGATGGTAACATTATAATTTGCTATATACAGTATATATACAGGGTGGTCCAAAAAGTGAACCCCTGCAACAGGCTATATTTTCCTTAATATGTTGTAACTCAAAATTCAAACATTGTACACTTTCTTTGATTCAAAATTACCGCCGATCTCACAAATAGAAGAACTATTACTCACCTTCCTTATAAGGCATAATTTCCGGTCAATACCATAAATGGAATCATTTCCGATTATGATTCATTCTTGTATCAATTCTACTTTCATACGTAAATTACGTCACGCAGCCCCTAGCTAAGAATAGCATCGCTTACGGGTATATAAATGGCAGTTTAGACTTGATTCAGGGAGAACGGAGAACTGGGAACGGATCGAAAGCACGGAACCAACGGGGAACTCGAAACAAACTCGGAACAGGGAACGGACTTGAAATGGGGAATCTTGAGGGGATCTGTGAATGGATTGGAAACATGGAAAGAGGGAGAAAGGGGAAACAAATTTGATACGGGTAATTTTTGCGGCTCTCGGAATAAGGCAATTTGAGAGAAATAGAACGATTAACGAAGCATTTTCAATTAATATTTATTATTCATTATTTGTATGTTTGTATGAGAAGTTCTTGTATTTATAAGCGCGAATATATTATAAGAATTAAATCATTCAACAAGGATCTGCATTTTGACATGAAACATATATTTTCGTAAAATGTAAAAACATACTTTACCAACCAAGATTATTTTATATAATTATCACAGGCCAAGCGAGTTTGAGGAGTTTGAGGAGTTTGAGAAGTTTATGAAGTTGAGAATCTAGAATTGAAAGTTAAGAATTTAAGATTTGAAATGATTGATGTTCACTTAGGAAATATTTATGAAGAGACATACACTTGGTAAAGCATTTGATCCATTGAGATAAATGTACTTATTGCATTAATTAGAGAACTGTAAAGCTTGAAATAAAAATATTTGTTTTAATTATAATTAACAAGTCCGTTACAATTATTTGGGAATCATGGAATACAAGTTAGAATATTGGGGAACATAATGGTCTGTTGTGAGTAATCGATTGCACCACGATCCCCGGGGCAAAATATTATTTCATTCAGGGTGGGGCTGAATCTAAGAAGAAAACCCCATACAACAAATACATGCATGAATTTGCTCATATTATCACATCTTGTAGAGAAAGGTCTAAAACTTTTGTTGACACCATCATTTATTCTCAGTCTTAAATTTCGAACAAATTACAAGACTTAAACAAACATGCCTCAAATTAGATTTTGTGCAAAATTTTACCAATGTGATTGACGGAAATTGTTGATACACATTAGATGATCTTAAAAAAGCTTTCAGTGAGAGATTATAAGTTTAAACCCAACCATATGACAAATGGGACACTATTTGAGAAGAAAACACATTTCACACTTTTATTGACCATTTTGAAGCTGTTTTAACCATTCAACAGTTTAGAGGCATGTTACCTACACAAACGGGTAGAGGGGGGCAAAGTTACCCCTTGTGACCCAAAATCTGAGAAGCCCTTCATATAAAATGTTACAAAAATCAAAAGGAAATCTAATATTCTGTGTTTTGAGCCATATTTCATAACAGTTGGTCCAGATATTGGCATTTTAAGACCATAGGGTTATGTTGCGATTTCACTGGAAGATGTTCTCGTCTTTGGAAACATTGAACACTTCTTTTGATCACAATAACTTGGCAACTGACAGAGGTAGGATGCTAATTTTTACATCATATTGTGTGGGATTCAAAACCAAACAAAGTCAGAAAACATTAGGTTTCCCAGACTCCGGCTTAAAAGATTTCCATGGGAAGATTGTTGAAGGGTTGAAGAATCGCAGATATTGAAGTTCACATTTTACCCATTTTCAGTGATGTCAATACTAAGAAAAATGTATAGTACCAACAAAAATTTTAGACCTTCCTCTACAACATGTGAAACTATGAAAGGATTCCGTGGGTAATAAGGGAAATATAGCCGGTTGCAAGGGTTCACTTTTTTTGGACCACCCTGTATATACTTTTCTCTATTGTTTTAGAAAACACATCAGACACTTCTTTTGTTCTTGGTATCATATGTTTGGATTAAAATGACACATCTATTCGAACCTCATTGGAACAAAACGACATAAACACAACGTGTTTAGGTCTCTCAATATTGTAATTGTACAAAGGAAAGTTTGGTTGATTTAAAAAAAGTAAAAAGTATCTTGTTTATGAAATAAAAGGGTTATCTTAATTTTTATCTATTTTGGGGGTAAAGATTAAAAGGTGGATTGGATCGAGTGGATTGGATTCATGTAAAAGGTGGATTGGATTGGCTATCTTCAAAATATGGATTTTCCTTTAAAAAAATTCTATTGATCTCCCTCTAGGAAGATTGGTGCTCTCTTCACTTGCACAATGTCAAATAATAGATGTAATATTATTTTGCTTGGGTGGGCTAGAAGGATGACCTGGTACCCGCTTTCTGATATACCATCTTATTCATTCCAAGTGTAATTTGAGACATTTCATAAATCATAAGGCAGACTGGTTTGAAGATCCATATCATCCGTTTTCAATCCAAACTGAACGTGCCAGAAATGCTTTGTGAACATTCACACATCAATTTGAATGGCAGGTTTTCTTTTTCTAAAGATCTATGTCTTACAAAAGTTGATTTACAAGGAAAGCAGTTAAATACTTAAGAGTGTCCATGAACTAATTGGAGTATGTATTTGTCATTGCTTTTTTCTGATTTCTCAAAAGGGACCTGTAATACTGTAGAGCGAAATTGTTAAGAGGGAGATCAACAGAATTATTTTTATAAGAAATTCGACATTTTGAAGATTCCCGATCCAATCCACCTTTTACATGAATCCAGTCCACTCGATCCAATCCACCTTTTAATCTCTACCATTTTGGGGGGTTTTGTTTTAAGTTTTTGCATACTTTTTGTTAAATCAACCAAAATGTCCTTTGTATAACTATGATATTGAGAGGTCTAAGAAAATGTTATATATGCTAATTTGTTCCAACAAGGTTCGGAAAGACATTTTATTTCATTCTCAAGAATTGGTAGAAAGGAACAAAAAACAATTGCACTAAAAAACAAAAAATGTTAACAAAAACAGTTATATAATATATATATGAATAATTTTTTGCATTAAATTGTAGCCAATCAGTCAACATTACACAAAGGACTGTTTTTTACAGAATGTTTTCAGTAATTGGTTTAAGAGAAAAACATTGTTGAATTCAGTTCACCATATCGATACCTATCCTTTTAATGGCTTCCCGGCTAATACTTATATATTCTTGAACACATGACTTTTATCATCTGACTTTTATCATCACATCATCAAAACAAAAAGATAAATATTTCAACGTATATAGACTAGTATAAGGCAAATAAGATTTCTCATATCATTTTCTTCGGATCAGATACAGGGAATTAGTGATACAATGTACTAAAATAAGTTCAGTGTGTAACGTCCACCATTCGCCGATCTTTAGGCCTTACATATATACGTATGAGTGAGTGGGCCTACGTGCCGCGAAATCTACTCTATATAGGCCCTAAAGTCCACGCGTAATATCATGCCAACCTAAATTGCCTACCCGGGATTGCCTAATTTGTGTATATAGTATCAGGCAAATAAGATTACTCATATCATTTTCTTCGGATCAGATAGTCCTACCGACTGGGAATTAGTGATAGAATGTACTAAAATAAGTTCAGTGTGTAACGTCCACCATTCGCGCCATGGCGCTGATCTTTAGGCCTTGGAATGAGTGAGTGTGGGCCTACGTGCCGCGAAATCTACTCTAATTAATCCCTATATCCACGCGTAATATCATGCAACCTAAATTGCCTACCGGATTGCCTAATTTGCGAGGAGCAAGGAGAAGCAGATTTTGGATTAATACCCTTTCTTTTCTTTTCATCGGTCATTTTTCCTAAATTTGTTTTACAGAGTTTAAAGCATGCAAAGCCGGGGGGGGGGGGAGGTTACAAGAAACATGGTACATGTAACGCTCGTTTTGAAGTTCGAATTCATGTTTGTTACGCCATGGGATTCAATAGAAAACCCATAGGCCTACGGAAAGGATAAATATAGATCTTTTACCTTATCCTGTCCTGGCACGGGATAATTTTTGCCCATCATTATTTGAAAATAATGAGTCAGTGATGTGGGTAAAATAGATCTATATTAAAAAAAACACCTATTTAATTGCACTGTGTGAGCAAAATATAAACACCCAGACACTTGCCCAGACACTTGCCAGACACTTACCCCCGGGCACTTGTAACCAAGGAGCCTGCCCTGGGGCCAGAGGCACCCTGTTATTTTTCGCTAAAGCTACTTAGAATCTGGATGTAATTATGTTCTTGTGTGGTTAAAGATCACGCATGCGCAGTCGTGCTGTTTCCGATTTCCAAAATAGTGAAAACACAACTCTGGATTCTAAAGGTAAGAAGATAAGGCTTCCTCAGCTCGATCATAATTTGAAAAAGCCATCTCAAACTTTTAATATGTATGTGTTTCAAACTATGGAACCAAATAACGATATATTTTCTATTATATCTTATAAATGTTTGTTAGAAGGCTCTTCCTGTCTAAATTTTTCATTTTTCCACAGGAGCCACAGTGGAAGATCTTAGGCCCACGGATAGTGGGAAGTCCTCCATCTAGGAGGTATATACACAATGCGACTAAAAATTAAAAAAGAAATATGAAAAATATGGTCACCTGTCCTCTAGATTCAATTTTTGAATGAATCGTAGCATAATGTACAGATTATTTGATATCATGCTATTCTTGAAACATTTATACGCAAAAATAACTGGGTCGCTCACCTCTTATGCCTATATGTGTTCAGTAATCATCAATTCTCGTGAGTAAAATTTCTCCAGGCCATTTAAGGTCTCATGGAAGTTAACAGGAAATGACAAAACAGGAAGTGACAATTTTTTGGGCATTTTTAGACATTTTTTGAACAAAGATAACAGAGTTCTGGTTTGACCTCCAGTCAATTTAACTGTTTCCACATATCATCTACATGACCAGGATCACAATGTGCATGGTCAGAATGACCCTAAACATGATGAAATAACCTTTTTAGTCCCTTGAAAGTGTGACTGAAAAAAAGCTAAAAGTAGGAGCTAGGGAAGGTCACTGAACAGAATCTTTTGAATTTTTCAGAAAATGTGCCCAATATAATGCTCTAACTGATACAATCTTTGAAATTTTAGAAAATTGTCGTAAACAAAAATGGCGGTCATAAAAAGGAAAATAGATCGCTTTTCAAATCAGTTTTTTCATTTTTTTTCTCTTTCTATGAATGATATCAAATTTTCAAAGATTGTACCATTTAGAGCAATATGTTGGGCACATTTTCTGAAAAATTCAAAAGATTCTGTTCAGTGACCTTTCCTACCTCCTTCTTTTAGCTATTTTTCAGTCACATTTTCATAGGGCTGAAAAGGTTATTTCATGATATTTAGGGTCATTCTGACCATAAACATTGTGATCCTGGACCTGTAAATGGTATCTGGAACTAGTTGAATTGACTGGAGGTCAAAAGTGAATCTGTTATCTTTGTTCAAAAAATGTCAAAAAATGCCAAAAAAATTGTCACTTCCTGTTTTGTCATTTCCTGTTAACTTCCATGAGACCTGAAAGGTCCGCTCAGTAAATTGACACTGCGCATGTGTCATAAAAACCCCGCGAAAATTTTTGGGAACACTATTGCGTTTTCTACCTTTTTTTCCGGCATTTTTGGCATCATAAAGTAATTCTCGAAAAAGAGTTGTCTTAGCAGTTCCTGCTTGACCTACAATGCAAACATTATGACCAGCGGCAACTAAATCATTGACATTTTCCTGTGGTAACTTCACAAACTGAGCCATGTTTCCGGGTACCATTGTGCGCATGCGCACCTTTGCCTGATTTGCTTTATACTCACGAGATAAGGCGCTCCGTCCCCTTAAATTTTTATTTTGAAGAACCATTATGATTTGGTGCATTATCTGACCAATAAAGCAGATTTGGAGGTATGAATATTTTTTTTATTTTTCTGTTTAGTTTTTTCTACAGGCCCTATGTGTCTCAGGATATTTGTTTAACGAAAACTAGACAAATAATTTATTTTAAAAATACATATTTTTTATTTTGTATGGAAGCTGCGTAACCTGACAAATAATATAAGTAATATATGGAGGAGTTCCCATAACCGTGCTTAGGCCTCCTATCATAGATCCCGGCCAGATTCTTTTGTAGTAGGATCAGTAGCTCAATAAATATTCCTCAAGATGAGACACCTCAGAAAATTTCCAATTTTAAAATGACGATTATGGAGCCATTTCTGAAAAATATGAGACAAATCATACCTCATTCGAAGCATCTCGTTATTCTTTAACTTATTTATCATCAATGACCGTTATTCAAGCAATGCTGCATCAATAAGAGGCCAAAACATTGATATTTTATCGTCGGACTCTTGTCTGTCCAAATCTGAATGGTGCTCCGTGGTTCCAGAAATGTGACGTCATCAGTACAATGATATTTGGACACATAAGAGTCCGGATCTCGTGAAAAATATTTGCCGTATTAAAAGTCAAATAACTGCATCCATAGGTTATTTACTCGAACCAAACAAGTAGAAATAGAAAGATGAAGATCTCAGCTATAAAATAAGTGCAAAATCTGTCATGGGGAAGCAGGTACCATTTTGTATAAGGAACACTTTTAAAAGGTGGTCATATTTTTTTGAAATTTTCCAATTTAGTGTCGTATCTTGTGAATTATTCTTTGAGCATATGAGATCCTACTACAAAACGATCTGGCCAATATCTGTGCCTCCTATTCCTCATTCTTCAATCTTTAGAAAGGGAAACCTAAAGATTTAAGACTAACGAGGACTCTGCCCGATCTTCCATACCCCTGTGCATTTTTCAAGGAATTTTTTTGTTTTCAATTTATTGAATTAGATCTACAGTCTTCCACATGATTTTTCTAGCTTTTCTGACTACATTGATTGTGTAAAATGAGACTTAGCCACTAGGGGCAACCTGCGCAAGGTTCCATCTTAAGGTTCCGTCCTTTTTAGACTATATTACACTACATTGATCGTGTAAAATAAGACTTAAGATTTAAGGTATAGAGGGCTCTGCCCGATCTTCCATACAAACCCCTGTGCATTTTTCAAGGAATTCTTTATTTTCAATTTATTGAGTTAGATCTACCGTCTTCCACATGATTTTTCTTGCTTTTCTGACTATTGATTGTGTAAAATAAGACTTAGCCACTAGGGGCAACCTGCGCGAGGTTCCATCTTAAGGTTCCGTCCATTTTTAGCACAAGCTTATTGAATCCAGCGATTTAATTGGTTCAAATTATTATAACGCATGCACAATCAATAACTGGATTATCATTTTAGATAGATGTCACTTGCGTTCATAATTTCACAGCAGTCCCTACCCACAATGCATATTTAATTGCGGGAATATATTTGTTTTGTATAAAAACAAAAAGCATGTACCGAACAGAAATGTAATAACAGAATATGAACAGACCCCCAATTTGTGGACTCTTGATGTACAAATTCAAACCAAACTGATCCCAGAAAACAAATTTGAATCATGGGAATGAAGTATCTCCGTTAGTGAAAAACCGAACCAAGTAAAAATTGAACCTAGCGCAGATTGCCCCAACTCCACTTAGCTTGATACTGTGACCTACCAGAAGTTAGTAAAACATTCAACCTAACAGAAGATCTACTTACTAGACTATTCCTTCTTCAGGGATACATGTATAAACTGGAAAACTTAATAAGCCTCATCTATCAAAAGTTGTCACAATGACCTAAATTCAAAGTTTTATGTCTCAAACTCTCCCAACCGGTTGATAAAAAAATTCCCATTCACTCTCTTGAAAGCCCATGGTAGCACAATAAATGAATCCAAGACTTTATATATACGAGGGTTGATCATAAAGTTCTCATAATATCTCTCTAATTTCTTTATTTTTCAATATATTCTAATGAAAGTTTCACAGAATGTGCAGCATAGAATGTCTTATTAATTCAGCAAGAAATATCTAGTTTAACAGAAATATTAAATAAGAAATGGTTGCCATAGTAACTGGAAATCCAGGCACCCGGGGCAATTAAAAGTAATTCAGAAAATGGCTCTAATTAACCATGTTAAAATACATAATTACCTCTCATAAATTACCAAACACGTTAAAATGTTAACTTGAATATGTTGTTAAGTGCTTTTACTATTGAAAAAAATGATCAAGTGGATTGTGTGATGTCATAAGGGATGTTAACATGCTTCATTAGATGTGATACCAGACTCCGAGACTCAAAGCTAATGATCAGAAATGACTGAGTAAGAGAATGCAATAGATGCAGAGATCTTCAGAAAAATAAAATTCATACTGATAAAATGTTATGTTAAGTTTGTAAGATCCTTTGGTCAGACTAAACATGATCTAAAACAAATACATGTATATTGCTAACAGAGGTGGCGTTAACGCAATTTTTTACGTTTTTTACTCACATTTTTGCAACTCTGACGCAAATATTCATTGTCTACCGAGTCTTTCTGACGCACGTTTGTTTCACATGCAAAATCCCCGCTTGGTACTTGGTTAAATTGATCCCTATACGTCAAATTTATAATTTTGCTAATTCCGGAAATCTAACATTTCGTTCAGCGCAATCGAGCCTCCTTCCTACCGATCATTTTCTCATTTCGGTATTTCATATAATTTCTAAAGCCCTGTGATTCAGATTCAATGATAAACTTGAAAACATTGATCGATCCCTCGATTTGTTTATCTCGTGAAGCACGTTGCTAGGGGGCGTATCAAAAATGCAATAAAACGAACATAACATTGAACAATAATTTATTGAGTTTATACTCCCTTCTAAGGATTTTAGTGATCGTATATTTATCTAAATTACCGCATAAAATCTTCCCTTGAATGTTCACACGCTAGATTTACGAACCTTTAGTTTCCTTCGCAAGTTCGCAAAATTCCTTCGCTAAGTTAGCAAGTTTCCTTGAGCCGTCCCCTTCATCAGCATGCGCAGATGTAATGCGCAGTAGGTTTATCAATGGTGCTCACAGTGACCGATCTATCGTAAGTTTTCACCAAGTATTTTCAATTAACTCCCTCAAGTTAAGATCTTCGATTCACTAGATCTAAAGCTGATCCTATGAAGATAGATAATGGGCACATGAAAATCCAGTCGATCGCACATTAAGGGGGGTAATGATGATAAATTAGGTATGAAAACAAATCTACTTTCGGTTTCATTTGATCAGCTATAATTACAAGATTCTACCGTATTCAATTTAAATGATGCCCAGTATTGTGGTCGGACTTATATTGCCGTTTTAGACTTTGGAATGATTGCAAAAATGTTTAATTTCAACATGAAACGCTTTGACCCCAATTTGTGTAACTCCACACAGGGAGAAACTCCTCTCCCACTCCATTCACACCCATGACTCGCTGGACCAGATAATCAGATGATTAATAGTTACCATAGGCCAAGGGTAAAGTAATAGTAAGCCGTATATAGAAGAGACAGGTGAACAACTAGGATTTAGGCCACTTGTTAACATGGCGATTTTAACATTATTTGTGTATAATTTTCAAAAAACAATGCAGAGTTGATCCAAAATTGATAGTTCACAATTCTTACCTATGAATCAACCCCATTCAAGTGATATAGAGTGAATAAAGCCGTCTTGAGGTGAGATATTCTGAAAACCTACAATTGTCTGGCAAGTTACCCGGATTTCCGTGTAAATGGAAGTTTGAAACAAGGAATTTGATTGGTTCCTGATAACCGCCGCCAGTGACACCTATCTGGTTCTCTAAAATGTAATTCATATTCTAGAAATAACAATCAATTAAAGTGTACAAAACTATAAAAGGTGTACTTAATAATTATTTATCAAAACATCTGTTTCATATAATATCTTTTTAAACCAAATTTAAATGGTGAAATTAACAGTTTTCTTGGAATTTTAAACTTCTAATTACAACCAATCAAATCAATCGTTACAAGATTCAATCTTTCCATGTATCCGGAAGTTTCAACTTGCCGGGCAATTGCAGGTACGTACAGTTGGTGTTTTTTTATGCAGTCTTATCGAAGAGTTAGGATATAGATTTGAAATATTCAACAATATACGTTTCGAAAACACTTTGGAGAAGATTCTTGGGAGATTTGGTGGTACGACTCGATACCAGTAAGGAGAACTCGTACCAAGACGGCAAGTTTTTGAAAAAATGTTCAATCCTAATTGTTTACCTGTCTCTTCTATATACAGCTTACTATTACTTTTCCCTTGGCCTATGATAGTGACATTTTTCTTGCAATTGCCTAATTAATTAATTGTTAGTTGTTAATGTGCTATAAGAGTACAATAAAAGGTATGCACAAAATCAAAAAATAGATTTTGTATGTGGTTTCTACATTTTGTATGCATTTTTACTCAAGAAAAACACTTTTATAGCTTTGACTCAACTTTTTTTCTTGTGACTCACTTTTTTGAAACTACCTGAGTCATGATGACTCACAAAAATATATGCCTACCGCCACCGCTGGCTAAGATATCAACAAAATTACACCCTGTGTGTGGTTTTACATGTTAAAAATGAACTAAAGGGGCAAAATCAATTTTCCTCAGGATATTTGACAAAACAGTCATGTGGTCTAACAGTCACTTCTAATGAAGCATAACAATCATCCATTATAAGATCACACAATTACATGACCATTATAATAGTTCACAACAGTCAAGAGCACATATTATTTGACAATTTAATGTGTTTGATGGCTTATTTGACAACTTATAATGTATTTAAACATGGTTAATGGGGGCTATTCTAGCTAGTTTTTTTATTTGCCCGGGTGCCTTGATTTCAAGTTACTATAGCAACCATTTCTTATATAATGTTTTTGTTATTCTAAATATTTTTTGCTGGATTAATAGAACATTCCATTGTGCACATTCTGTGAAAATTTCATAGGAAAATATTGAAAAATAAAGAAATTAGAGAGATATTATGAGAACTTTATGATCAACCCTCGTATATCTTCATACCTGCAAATGATTGATAAATTCCTACAAACTCAAATGCATGTCTTCATAGATTGCCATTGTTGTAATCCTAGGAGGATTGGCTCCCAGAATGCAACATCGATATTCTGCCCCATATGCTATTGTGACCTTTAACGTTATTTACACATGACAGGTTTCAAAATGGTGGAACGGCATTTTGAAAGGTGCTATATTGTAATCAGTTTGCTGGGCGGTTGGGCGGGCGTCCTGAATAATCTTGTCTACAGGTTTCCAGCCAAACTGTTTGAGGGATTCATTTGAAATTCTTAGGGATGATTCTACCTATGAAAGTTTAGAACTGATTAGTTTTTCGGCATTCTGGGTATATGTTAATTCGGCCATTTGGGATTTTCCGTCCTAAAATCTTGTCTGTCAAAATGTTTAGAACTGATTAGTTTTTCGGCATTCTTGGTTAATGTTAAGGTGGCCATTTTGGATCTTCCGTCCTAAAATCTTGTCTGTCAAGGCTTGTCTACAGGTTTCCAGCCAAACCATTTGAGGGAATCATTTTAAATTCTCAGGGATGTTTCTACCTATGAAAGTTTAGAAATGATAAGTTTTTCGGCATTCTAGGTAAAGGGTAAGGCAGCCATTTTGGATTTTCCGTCCTAAAATCTTGTCTGTCCAGGCTTGTCTACAGGTTTCCAGCCAAACTGTTTGAGGGATTCATTTGAAATTCTCAGGGATGTTTCTACCTATGAAAGTTTAGAACTGATTAGTTTTTCAACATTATGGATAAATGTTAAGACGGCCATTTGGGATTTTCTGTCCTAAAATCTTGTCTGTCAAGGCTTGTCTACAGGTTTCCAGCCAAACCTTTGAGGGATTTAATTGAAATTCTCAGGGATGTTTCTACCTATAAAAGTTTAGAACTGATTATTTTTTCGGCATTCTTGGTAAATGTTAAGGTGGCCATTTTGGATTTTTCATCCTAAAATCGTGTCTGTGAAGGCTTGTCTACAGGTTTCCAGCCAAACTGTTCGAGGGATTCATTTGAAATTTTCAGGGATGTTTCTACCCGAATAGTGTATTCTGTTCAAGGGTGCGATTCTGTTCACCGTGTGGCTTATTTACTGACCTAAAATCTTGTCTGTCAAGGCTTGTCTACAGGTTTCCAGCCAAACCGTTAGAGGGATTCATTTGAAATTCTCAGGGTTGTTTCTACCTATGAAAGTTTAGAACTGATTAGTTTTTCGCCATTCTGTGTAAATGTTAAGGCGGCCATTTTGGATTTTCCGTCCTAAAATCTTGTCTGTCAAGGCTTGTCTACAGGTTTCCAGCCAAACCATTTGAGGGAATCATTTTAAATTCTCAGGGATGTTTTTACCTATGAAAGTTTAGAAATGATAAGTTTTTTCGGCATTCTAGGTAAAGGGTAAGGCAGCCATTTTGGATTTTCCGTCCTAAAATCTTGTCTGTCCAGGCTTGTCTACAGGTTTCCAGCCAAACTGTTTGAGGGATTCATTTGAAATTCTCAGGGATGTTTCTACCTATGAAAGTTTAGAACTGATTAGTTTTTCAACATTATGGATAAATGTTAAGACGGCCATTTGGGATTTTCTGTCCTAAAATCGTGTCTGTCAAGGCTTGTCTACAGGTTTCCAGCCAAACCTTTGAGGGATTTATTTGAAATTCTCAGGGATGTTTCTACCTATAAAAGTTTAGAACTGATTATTTTTTCGGCATTCTTGGTAAATGTTAAGGTGGCCATTTTGGATTTTTCATCCTAAAATCGTGTCTGTGAAGGCTTGTCTACAGGTTTCCAGCCAAACCGTTCGAGGGATTCATTTGAAATTTTCAGGGATGTTTCTACCCGAATAGTGTATTCTGTTCAAGGGTGCGATTCTGTTCACCGTGTGGCTTATTTATGAATCTGACTGTAGATAACCTTTCATCAACCATTGATAAGATAAGATAAGTTTATTGTTCTTTATAGTGGTAGGTTACACAAATCAACCCAGCCCACCTGGGCTTATCAACCACTTAACAAGTTTAAACATTTTAAATTATACAATTAGTGAAATAAATATCAATCTGTGTTATACATATGGTTACGTCTTTTGACAAAGCACTCCCTTACAAAATGAGCAAATTGTCTTGTCATTTTCTCAAACAGGTACTTTAACTTTTTTACATTTGTGTCAATACATTTAAAATTGTTAAAATACCTCTGTCTAATTTCATTATAAAAATGGCAATGAAACACAAAATGTATCTCATCTTCCACACAATTTTGTTCACATAAATTGCATAATCTTTCTTCTAGTTTTTCATTCTTAAAACGACCCGTTTCTATTCTTAATGGTAAAATACCCATACGCAATTGTGCTAAAAGTGACCGTTCATATTTACTTAAATTCAATGTCAAATACTTTTCAGTTTTGAGCAAGCACACCATTAAAGAAACATTTTTCAAACTGTATACCATGTGCAATTTAAAATAAACAACCTAAATAATAACAGCCTGAGAGACAAGTGCAAAAACCAATGCAAATCAACTATATTCTAATAGCTACTGAGTGTGGAGGGGGGGGGGGGGCATTGTTGCAGTTAAGTATTGATGATAGAAATTCAGAAATATTACATTTTCAGTATAATGGTTAAAAATGGACACTTTATTTTAACCATGCATGCAAACACCTTGGTCACTTTAAACTATATTTTCACATTTAGATGCCAATAGATGGCGGTGCAATATTTGATTATACGTGAGACAAATTATTCATTTTTGACACAAATTGTATGTGTCTGTGTCTGAATTATGCACAGTAAAGTAAATATAGATAGGGTATGCAATTTTAAATTTTAAATTGATGAGTCCAGAAATGAAAATGAAAAAAGAGCATTATTTAGCATCGAAATACAGTTGAATATGTAACAACAAGAATGATGGGAAGGATATCTTTGTTATATGTGCTAGAACTAGAACTAGAAAAAACAAATTTCGCACAGATTGCATGTGTGCTCAAAATCAAAACTTCAATGCCTATTTTCTAAAAAGTTTCTACTTCTTAGATCTTCAATGACTTTTTTTATTTTGTTTGTTAACACCGACTCTATCCCATCTATCTTGGACACACTCAGTAGCTATAAGAATATAGTTGATTTGCATTGGTTTTTGCACTTGTCTCTCAGGCTGTTATAATTTAGGTTGTTTATTTTAAATTGCACATGGTTTACAGTTTGAAAAATGTTTCTTTAATTTGCATATTGAATATAAATTGCTTATTAAACTTTATGTGACATGAAGTGCTAGAGATTTCTAACCTTAGGCACATTTTGTGAATCATTATTATTTTTAAACACTATGGTATGGTTTTCAGCGACAAAAATGTGAGGTACATGTTTATTTCCTTTTTGATAATTTTGGAGTGGTATTGAGTCTTTCTCTAGGGAGTCTATACCAAAAAGGAGAGAGAGTGTTTTTCTCAGAAAGTAAAAGGAGGGGGGGAGGGCATTGTTGCAGTTTAGTATTGATGATAGAAATTCAGAAATATTATATTTTCAGACTGGTTATAAAATGGATTTGTTGATATGTTATTGATTGTAAGTAATAATTGATAATGAATACACTGATACTTGTGATAATATGTGCTTTCATTAAAACAGGTTTAGTCTAGGTTTAGGTATATTATTTTCTATTATACAACAGTTACGATATAACAATGAAAATCAAATAAATTGAATTGAATTATGTTTCCAGCTTGTTATAATGGCTGTGAATCAAGCTGCAGTGTGTGCCTTATTGTTGTCAGTAACCATGGTGATGGCTGCCGATCCTGCTACTGCTGCCAAATTTGTCTGTGACCTGATTGTTCCACCTGAGGTTCAGAATATAAATAAATCAATCCCCATCATAGGAACAAAGTTTGAAGTAACAGTGGAAGCTAACTTTAGGAAGAAAGGGGTATGAATTTATGAATGTTAAAGTAAACATGATTTGTAAACAACAGCATACTGTAAAAACCATATGATTTGCTGATAAATGATGGGTATCCTCTGCATGCAGCAACTCCTGACATCATTAAGCCCTGCTAGGTGTCACTCAGCAATCTTAACTGACTAGTGTTTATCCATATCACTTTTTTCCTTATAGGGTGATGAGCAAATGATTGCTCATGAATATTATGACTATGCCAACAACAAAGCAGCTGTACATATCATTAGAGGGGGAAAAAAGCTTATTTATATCTACAACTTTCAGCAAAAAGAGCTGTATAAAATAAAAGGTAAGATTTATTTATCAGTTTGGGTAATCTAAAAGGTTTGCATGTAAAGTAAACTTTTATGTTGACTGCTAGACCACCCACTCAACTCCATTTGAAGAGTTTTCTATTAATGAAAAAGAATTTTCTTTATGGACAACCCACCTAGTTCTCAAAATTGATTGTGTTTCATTTACTGAAATTCATGAGAAGGTTCCTTGTTCATTAAAAGACTATTATTAGACTATTAAACTAAATGAGATCCACTCATCTTTCAAAATTCCTTGATATTGCAGTTCCATTTTTCTGGTGAGCTGGCCTCAGTGGCTTGTTCTTAGTATATATATAATTTTTAATTTTTTTTTGATTTTACTATTTATATTGTACTGCTAGCTATCTACTCTTGTAGTATAAACAAGATGATATTTTCTGAGGTACATCTGATGGATTATATTGAATGTGGCTCTTCCAGAAGAAAAGACATGTGAAACATCAGACTTGACAAGGGAGGAGCAGATGGGATTCAATGTATTTAACTTCACTGTGACTGGGAATACATCATATGTTAAAAGTGTCAGCGATCTCTTCAACTTTGGGGACGCTTACAATGAAACATATATGGGTGAAACTGTGGTGAGTAATTCTTATTACAGTATCTGACTTTAGATTCATGAAAGCCATCCTTAATATGAATAAGTTGGTAGTTTTGAAAATCTTCTTTCTGTGCTTGTGTGAGAGCATTTGTCATTTCAGTAAAATGATTTTCTTATTATAACTTTATTCCAAACCAAGGTATGATCTTTTATGTGTAGGTACGAGGCATTCCAGTAGACCATTGGGCATCTTGTGTGACATGGATAAAAGGGGATGCTCATTTTAAGCTTGACTATTACTTTACCAAGGAAGGCTACCATGGTCCACATGCGTTTAAGGGCCAAATTCCTGTTAGGGCCACAATTGAAGGCGATTGTAAGTATACTCATTTAATTATACCATCCTATACGTTATATTAACATATATAGAACGAGAGTCAGAGACTGAGACAGCACAGAGGGCAAATAATACATCTGTGGTGCTTTAAAAAACTGCAACTCTCACTTTTGAAATCATTATTGCAATATAAGCTGGAATGAGTAGTTCACATTAGTGAGGGATTATGTGATGCATTTGTACTTGTTTATCACTCTTTCCAGTTTCCTTCAGTTTTCTTCCAGAGAGTGCACAAAGAATGTGCATTGTATTGTATTGTCCACTGATTTGCAGAATCTTGAATGTTACTGCGGAATTGACAATTTGTTAGATAATCATCCTTATCAATGTAGCTTTATTGTTAAACAGTTTTTTTTGGGAGGTCCCAAAAACATTTCATTTTGCATATTTGTTTTTTTCAAGATGACAGTATTCAGTAGAATGAAAATCCCATGCAATTCATATTGCACTAAACAAAATGATAGAAAGCATTCATATTCAAGGCCTGAATGTTAACACATGAATATCTCCATTTTATAGCATTGACTGAAGGGGAGACAACACGTCACAACTTTACTCATGTCTATGAATTTGTGAACTTTAAGGCTGGACCAATCGATCGTTATGAAGAGGTGTTTCAGGTATGATGTCATCTTACCTTCAGGTTTTGAATAGACAGCAGGCTTAACATTAAAAAGCAATGGGAAAAATTAAGGAAATTTGAACAGAGTATACTGTCAGCTCCTAAACACAAGAGGTTCAGTTTAAAGAACGGCATTTTCTCCCGTTACCTGATTAGAATGAAACTTGTCATATCAGACCTTAATTATAAAGTTTGTCCCTGGTGTATGTATTTACTATTTTATAAATACATGTATATATAGATATATTATAGATATTGAATAGGAGGGAAGGAAGGGGGAATTTTCAAGGGAAAATCACTAACCCAAGAATAAAGGTGTTTATCGTTTTGTCTTCATTCATATAATAGTGATATTTTTGGAAGTCAGTATACTGTACATGTATGAATTCATTTTGATCACCAAAAAAACTTACTTTCTGTTTCAGCTAATACATCAACAATACATTGATCGGAAGAATATGACAAAATACTTTTCTAAGCTATTAGGCAAATGGTTTGATACTAATGTTTGAACTTGCATATTTATAGCCTCCTGAAGGTGTAATATGTGTAAGAAAGAGAAGCAAGCCACGCCCAATTTTACCAGCAGGCTTCAGTTTGGAGATTGAACAGATAGACTCCTATGAGGCTGGTCCAGTGGTTGTCTTGAACAGACAGGTATGCTTTTGTATTTTGTAGCAAATAGTACATTTCTACAAACACTCTCATATATCTTTTTATAATGCAAATGAATGATGTTCCTTCCAATATATAAACTCAATATCCTTTCAAATTTTCAGTATTTCTTTGACTTCAAAAATCAACTCATGAGGATGGATGAGCGACCATCAAAATACTATGGAGAGAAATATTACAAGGAATTTAATAACAGTGACAGACTGTCAATTATACATGATTATAATACAGGTAAGGAGCCTTAAACCCCGTTTACACTGACCGGTCCTTTTTGATCCCCTGTGTATTTCCAATGGGAGAAAAGACCGGTGGTCTTTTGCTGGTCTTGACAGGATTTTTAAGTCGGACTTCAAGGGACTTTTGCCATTCTTTTTAAAAATCCGATGGAATCCGGTTGAGTCCGGTGAAGTCTGATTGGAATGAGCAGTTTCATTCTTTCACCGATCTTCATCGGTCTTTTTTTGTTAAAATCTGATCACGTAATACTTCCATGGTAACTGAGGCCTTCATACATGACGTCACACGGTCAGAGGGGGTTTCATCGGACTCGACAGAACTCCACCTTTCTCGATCGGTCTCGTCAGAACTCCACCTTTCTCGATCGGTCTCGACAGGACTCCGCAGGTCTCAGGAGGACACATTGGGCTAACGTGAAAATAGACTTTCGTCATCACCAGTCTTTAGAGGACTTAAAAAGTCTGGTGAAAAGACCTGTCATTGTAAACCGGGCTTTAGGGTGTCCATTATGATTAGAGGTGTCAAGGTCCAAAAATATTCCAGAATTGGACAAAACGGTACAAATGGTCTCAGGATATACATATGTAGTTCTGATAATGCACTTAATTTGCCGATGAAGTTTTTGGAAATTTCGCATCATCAACCTGAAATCAGGGTCCGCTGTGAACACTTTTCATTGCAAAGAAGTGTAATTGAGGTATGAGGTACATGTTCATGTTTTTATGCATTTTTAGGTAAGGAAATTATGTCTTGATCCTGTCCCCATATCAACTGTTAAAACCAATTAAAAAAATATATTATGTAAATTCAGCATTGCACAAAACACAGTTTTGGATTTGCAGCCATTCCATAAGTGAATTATTTATGTAACGTACTACTCAACAAACGATGCTTTGATTTTGTTTTGCAGGTCATGAGTACATTATTGACCAGGTGTTAGAGAATTGTACCATCCGCAACATCACAGATGGTGAAGATGTTCATAAGAGCTCGTCCAATCCTTTACTCGTCAGTATGAAAGCTGGCTATGAGTTATTCAATCTTAATATGTACACTTTCAGTTATGCTGGCCAGGTAAGTGTGTTTTTAATAATTGAAATATTTGTCAAATTTTCAACAGTTAATATCAAAATTTTCATTTTGAAGGTTTGATGAATCCTGTCATCGCCATTTCAGGAAAACAGCTCATCAGATTTTCTCCAAATTTGCACACTTGATAGAGGATATCAAGTTCTAGAGCTGATTAACCTTTCGGTGGCCATCTTGTTTTCTGGTGGCCACTTTGAAGGTTTTTCAATAAATCTTGTCATGGCCATTTCAGGAAAACCACTCATCAGATTTTCTCCAAATTTGCGCACTTGATAGAGGATATCAAGTTCTATAGCTGATAATTAACTTTTGGACATCAATCTCGTGTTCTGGTGGCCATTTTGAAGGTTTTTCGATGGTGTGATCTCGTTTATGTCATGTGCCTTGTTTGAAATTGTAGAACAATTTAAAATGTGTTTATTTTAGAGGCAATACAGAAGTGTATTATGTGACATCTGGATAGTCTCATTTTCACCAGCAGGAACTACTGACGAGTCTGCATATGGGAACTATAAAAAAATTCGCTATGAGGTGTATTTTCTAGCGGTAAGTAAATCTTGACCCTCCCTTGCAATATCCTATAAGGCAAAATGAAATGCATATAGAGATAGGAGTCAAACAGTCAACCATGACCCGCAGTTCTTACCTCTGTGACTGTAAGCTCGCAAACAATCTTGAAAACTGCGCTTCTTAAAGAACCATGAAATTTTAAGAAAAAATAAAAATGTGGACTCAAAAATAAAACCCCATTTCAAGCTTTTGTGTAATACCATTCAACAAACCCGTCTGGAATTGTTAATCATCATAGAATTATGCAGACCATACCTGATATTTTCAATGATCTTCTGATATAGATGGCAAATCAAAAAAGCAAGGCCTAGATGGATACTGCTGTATGTATGTATAAGACCTGTATTACTTATATTTTGCTTGTATTATCATGATGAGGAAAGAATGTATGTTTTGTTTAAGCTCGTATTGGCAAATGCAACTAACGGCTACCGGATTACCCTATCAAGTTGCATAAATTTATCCATTAGTTTGAAGTTGTAATTTACGAACAACCCGTTTGTCAACTAACAGTGATCATGTGATTTTTATGCAATTGTCACATGATCAAATACATTTAAAACGTGTCTTCCATCTAATATGTATGCGCATGTGCCAAATGTACTCCTGCTATTTACAATTTCGAACACCTCTATAGTCAGTGTTAGTTGGTGCTTTAATAGCCAGATTAAATTGTTATTTAGGTCAGCAATTGCTTTTTGGGCGAGAGCTGGCAACTAACGGGAAGCACAGCATTCCTATTTAACCCTTTCACGATGATAGGCTCCATATGGAGCAATATAATGTAATACCTTTCAGGACGATAGGCTCCTTTTGGCACCATTATTATCCCATCGAACGAAGTTCGGAGGGATATAGGGAACGCCTCCGTCCGTCCATCCGTCCGTCCGTCCGTCCGGGCGATAACTCAAATACCGTTGGCCCGATTTTGTTCATATTTTGTACACATATACCCTATGGGGGTAGAAGTTCTGCTCAAAAGCCGATTTTCAAAATGGCCACTCAATTCAAAATGGCGGCCATTTTAGTGCCGATTTTACAGTAATTTAGGTGCAATATGTAAAACTGTAATAGCAATGTGTTTTAAATGTAAAAAAATTATGAAGGACATTAATAAAACTATAAATGTAGACATTAAAGAAGCACATGGCAGCCATCTTGAAAAATGGCGGCCTTTATTCGTTATTTTACGATTTTTGCTATAACTCGAAAAGTAGTGGAGCGATTTTGTTCATATTTGGTATGTGAATACTATAAGCATTGCATACTGCCTAAAGACACTTTTGGTAGAAGGCGGCCATTTTTCAAAATGGCTGCCATTTTAATGTATATTACTATAACTCGAAAAGTAGTGGAGCGATTTTGTTCATATTTGGTATGTGAATACTATAAGCATGGCACACCGTCCTATGACACTTTTGGTAGAATGCGGCCATTTTGAAAAAAAATGTGAAAAATGGCCGCCATTTTAACGTATTTTACTATAACTCGAAAAGTAGTGAAGCGATTTTGTTCATATTTGGTATGTTTTATATTTCATATGTGAATACTATAAGCATGGCACACTGTCTAATGACACTTTGGGTAGTAGGTGGCCATTTTGAAAAATGGTCACCATTTTTATGTTTTTTACTATAACTTGAAAAGTAGTGAAGCGATTTGGTCATATTTGATATGTGAATACTCATGAGCCTTGCACACTGTCTCATGACACTTCAGATAGTAGGCAGCCATTTTATAAAAATGGCTGTCATTTTTACATTTTTTACTATAACTCGAAAAGTAGTGGAGCAATTTTGTTCATATTTGATATGTGAATACTTTAAGCATGGCACATTGTCTAAAAAAACCTTGGGGAGTAGTCAGTCATTTTGAAAAATGGCCACCATTTTTATGTGTGTTATTTTACAAGTACATGTATGCGATTTTTCAAAGATTTTATAGGTGGCTACTTAAAAGCATATTATTTCTTCTGATGACAACTTGGCTAGTGAGCAACCATTTTGAAAATGGTGGCCTTTCTGGTGTGTTGTTTTATAATGTTTGCTGTATATTTCGTTTGTAAAAATGCCAGCCATTTCTGTTCGATGGGATTCGCTACGCTTTGGCGTTGCCGTTGTTCTGGTTTTTATTTATATAAATCAATGAAATGACAATATCTCCAGTTCTATTCAGTAAATTTACACCAAATTGTGACAAGTTGTTCTTATGTGGTAATCCTTACTAAAAATTGTATTTCAGTGATAAAATTCAAGGTATAGGTCCCAGGGCGTAGGTTTTTGCAGTTTTCCCTGAAAAACGCTCTAACTTATCCGTCACCAGGGACATTTTCCTCTTATATTCACGTTGGGAAAGGGTTAAATGAGTTTTACATCTGATTGCAATCAACCCGCTAATTGCATTCATGAATACATACAAGCTAAGATAGGGTTTGTCCCTCATGATCTTCATGTCGTCCCTTGTCATCCTCCCACTACATAACCCTTATACATCAAACTAGGTTAATTTTTTACTTGAAAATGTTTTAATGAAATATCAAATACCAATGAAAGTTTTATAATAAAGGTATGAAATTTCCCCTTAATCCTAAAACAGATAAGCTATAGAGAATTACACACAAACAGTTAGGGGGAGGGGCTAGGGGGAGGTCTTGAAAACGAACAATTATGTAAGGGTTAAGTATCATTAGAAAGGTTATTCAATTCCCAGTATTTTGAGCTCAATTATAACTATATTGAGTCATTATTATCCCACCGAACGAAGTTCGAGGGGGATATAGAAAAGCCGTTCGTCCGTCCGTCCGTCCGTCCGTCAGTTCGTCCGTTCGTGTGTCCGGGCAATAACTCAAATACCGGTTGATGGATTTCATTCAAATTTCATAGGCTTATGCCTTATGGGTGTAGGACCTCTGCTCGAGAAGGAATTTTCAATATGGCCGCTTAATTCAAAATGGCGGCCATTTTTCGGAAAAAATATAATCTTTAATAACTCAAATACTAGTGGATGAATTTGGTTCAAATTTTATATCCTGTTGCCTTGGTACAAAGGAGCCTTGCTCAAGAAGACATTTTCAAGATGGCCACCAAATTTCAAAATGGTGGCCATTTTTCGTAAAAAAACGTTATCTTTGATAACTCAAAGACCATTGAATGGATTTGGTTCAAATTTTAGATGCTGATGCCTAGGGACATAGGAGCTCTGCTCGAGAAAGGATTTTCAAGATGGCAGCTAAATTTCAAAATGGCGGCAATTTTTCGTAAAAAAAAGTTTTCTTTGATAACTCAAATACCATTGAATATATTAGGTTTAAATTTTAGATGCTGATGCCTAGGGACATAGGAGCTCTGCTCAAGAAAGGATTTTCAAGATGGCAGCTAAAATTCAAAATGGCGTCCATTTTTTATAAAAAAACATTATCTTTGAGTACTCAATTACCATTGAATGGATTTGGTTCAAATTTTACATGATGATGCCTAGGGACATAGGAGCTCTGCTCGAGAAGGGATTTTCAAGGTGGTAGCTAAATTTCAAAATGGCCACCATTTTTCATAAAAGAACGTAACCTTTGATAACTCAAATACCAGTTGACGGTTTTATTTTCAAATTCTATATGCTGATACCTAGAGACCAAAGAAGTTCTGCTCAAAAATAAATTAGTGGATGGATTTGGTTCCAATTTTATATGCTGATGTTTAGGGAAAAAGGAGATCTGCTTCAGAAGAAATTTCAAAGGCAATAGCTGAATTTCAAAATGGCTGCCATTTTTCATTAAAAAAGTAATCTTTGATAACCCAGATACCATTGGACGGACATTCTCAAATACCAGTGGATGAATTTGGCTCAATTTTTTTATCAAAACATGTTTTGTTCGGTGGGATTTGCTACTCCGTGGAGTTGCTGTTTTTCTAGTTAATGAAGAAAATCTTATTCTTAGAACATAGGTGTTTATTGTTTCAAATGAAAAAACTACTGAAAATTTGTGCATGTCAGTAACTGTAACCAGCTCTAACTTTCCTCCTAGGGGTTAGAGTCAGAATTCTTTCGCTAAAACATGCCCTATCCAAGTTTTATGTGTTTGTTTCCAGGACAACTGGACGTCTGACATGCTCCTAGCTAACCAATCAGAGCACGTCCTTGTTGCAATACGGATGAAGGGAACTGCCAAGGTATTTGCTTTTAAAGAAAATTACTACATGGGGTAGCATTGGGTTTAATTTTCTGCCGATAGTGAAATATTGAAGACTAACAAATTGACTGAACAAAGCAAGATCATAAAACAAATTATCAGTTCATCCTTTATAAAAACTGGTCCCCAGTCAGGGGTTTTACTAGGATTTCTCACAACAGGCTAAATAAATGAAAACAACATACAGTAATGCACCATTCAAAAGTTTGTGTGAGACCCCCCCACGCGTGGATGGGTGGGGAATTTGACAAAAAAAATTTTGGCCTGTCTAATTCCTTTCCCCGGGGACAAATAAATGTGTCAATTTTCCTACCCTTGGAGCAATAAATCTGGTCAAATATTCGCAATCCCCGGGTCCTTCCACCATTAGAAATCTATTTAAACATCAGATTTCCTTGTTTTAGACTGATGCTCGTGAATGTTGAGGGATACACGTGTAGTTCTTTGTTTAAGTCAATGTTTTAATGAGAGACACCATATATGGTGATAAGATTCTTCGCGGAAAGTCAACTACACATATACTACAATTAATTTATGAATGAAAAGTTCGCTTACGATTTACATATAACCAATAGAGAAACAGTTTTTAAAATGACGCAATTGCCCGCGATATTAAAAGCCAATGAGAATACAGTCCATTTTATGACGTTTTCGCAAACTGCCTGAAAGTTTTTGACAAAAATGAGCCGAGAGGGACATGGTTTTACCCTTGGTTTGTTTCTGTTCAACAAAAGTGGAGAACACCTGTATGAACGATCATTTTTTGTAAATGGGTGGGCGGATTGTTGCGTTGATGGGTACAAATCGGGAACAAATCTACATCGTAGTAATTTTCGAAAGGTCTCTTGTAATTTATGCAATGATGTATTCTTAGGTAATGGATTTTTACTTTAATAGGTTACCTCCCTCCGTTTTATTCGTCTATATCAAATAAAATAAAATTTAAGTTTGTTCAAACGTAAAAATTTTCCAAATTAATTTCAAATTAAATTAGGCCTAATCATCTATATTAAATCTGCAAAGATTAAAACTATGACGAGTTTAATAAATACATATAAGTAGAACGCGGAAGTGCATTTTTCCGAAGGGAGGGCGAAAACAAGATTGACAAACCAATAATTAAGACACTGCTTAGTATTCAAGAATTACTCTCTTTCCAACGGTTATTCACGGCAATTCCACCCCTGAAACTATACCCGTCGTGTAGATGAGTTATTTTTGTCTGTTCCCGATATGAGAGATCTTTAGTTCACAGAATTTACCGAACATTTGCAAATTCCGAGAATCCTAAAGTGTATACTGGACGAAACAGATTCAGTCAAAAGTCCCCATTCCCGGGCACATGTAAATCAAATTCCTCACCCCCGGGACGACAAATTCCCACCTCTGGGGCAATATTGTGTATCAAATTCCTTACTCTCCCCACGTTGGGGGTCTCACGGAAACTTTTGAATGGTGCATAACAGGCAAGATTAATGGAAATCATAAATTAAGCATGGAAAAGTTGAAAAATCTCAGTCGCTCGGCAGGTCAGAGAAATGTCTTTACTTTTGTTTTTCTGCGCATGATTTTTGAGGTTCTACTTCCGGAAATGATCGATGATTTATTTGCTCTAAAATCACCCCTAAATAGTCACCAATGAATACAATTCCTGTAAGATACGTCTTAAGAATGAATTGAGGCATATTTTAAGCCCAAATATTTGTAAATATATCGATCGTATCAAGTGTGGTTGGTGATCAAAAAAATATTTCGAAAAATCGAGACTTGTTTTTTATGAAGTTCGTCGATGTTTTAAGTGGAACAGAATTTATTTTTTCAAAGAAACATAGCAACAAACCCATTGAATCAGAATAACTTTGAAATATATCCTCATTTCAGATGGCCCGGCTATGATACGCTTATTCCCTCGGATAATTTATTATTTTTCGAAAAATCCAATATTGCGGCTGACGAAGAACGTGAGAACAACCCGATTAAGAATTTCTTTCCTGAATAAGTTCTCCAATCTGCGTTTAATTTAATGATTAGAGGAACACTTTATACAGGATCGGGTACGCATTGTTATTTTAACACTGAATATAATGAAAAGAATATAGACAGTTGAACTGTGTCGAATGCCTTGTGAAAGTCAAAGTATGCCTTGTTTTTCTTTCTTCAAATCATGGGCTTTCAAGAGATTACAATGTATTCTTGCAGGTCTAGGATCAGAATAATATTTTCCCCAACATATTGGTTTTCAAGTCGCAGAGAAGTCCTGTTTGATCATATTGAATACTTTTTTGTAATACTGATATGATTTTTACTGCTATGATTTTAAATTAATTAAAATAATTATGATTATAATTTAGCGATATTTGTAACTTGCACGCAAGAAATCAGCATTATCAGATATAATCAATAAAGTTAATATTATCGCTGGTACTGATAATTTTGATAGTATTCCTATTAGCGATAAATTCGATAATTGAGCCAGGCCACAGGAAAAGGGGTTTTATCACAGATTCTTTCAATATTCTGATTTTTTGTTTATCTTTGAAAGCACAAAGAGACCTTTCAAATGAGCCATGACTTGTGTCTTAACAAATTTTCCTTGCAGATATACTGATAAGACCGGTTTTCCTATGGCCTGGCTCAATTATCAATTATCGCCAAGTTATCAAAATTATCTGCTAGTGTCTGATAATTCTAAATTCACTTCGTCCATTTTCTTATAAACTGAATAACTTGGGCTTCGGGCAAAATGGATTTTTCAGATTTAGACAAAATCCTCAGATTGAGTAAAACTTTTATCAATTTTTGATAAAACCTCCCATTGAAATAACATTGGCTCTGGAAAATAAGGAAATGAAAGTGACTTCCATACCAACCTCAACCAATGAGATCTACATGAAATTTTCAGATGATCAGATATTGTCTTGTCAGAAGTTCAGAACTCCAAATGGTATTTAGTCTTGGCCCTAGACCATGGTTATTCACAGAGAATGGAAACATAGAGGACTATTCACCAAACATGTCAACAGCTACTTTGTCTATCATATGGGTCATATCTACATTCATCACTAGCCTACAGTACAATCTAACTAGTTTTTTCAATGATTTATGATCAGCATAGGTTACAACACAGCAGGATCTAGTTTCAATAGAACTATAATTGTAAAAATATATTAACAGTATAAGTTCCATGAAAAATAAATACATAGAGATATTTCCATATGCTGACGATAAATGAAAAATCTAGTTTATTCATGTACATTTGGGTCCTCAAAATTCAACTTAAAGATAGATTAGTTTATATAAAAAAGTAATATATTTATATTGAAACATCATTAAGTAAGTTAAATATGACTTTCAATTAAAACAGATCAATAGCATATAAAACATGAAAAAACTAAATAATTGCACTATTTAAGTTTGATAGGCTTTGTATGTGGTGAATAACAAATAATCTGTTCCCACACACCATCATTTCCCTCTGATATGTTCTTTGCACCGAATGTTCTCATACTAAAGCAATATCAAAAAATTGTTTGGTTTGCTGTATTAAATACCTTGATTGATCATTGAATCTACACATATTGACCATTTTCTTCACTTGCATAAATACTTTCAAGAACCCATTGCATGGATGTAATTCTGCATCTGATCCTCTAACTGTCTAATTACCCTTACCCTGATTACAAATGCAAAATACTTCCATGTCGGTAAACATATTTGTGTAATTACACATTGCCGAAACAAATTATTGAAAACCCTATTGTAGGAGCTCACTGCAAAATTATTGCTAAAAGTAGCTTCTTAATAACTTTCTCTATAAGAATGAGTAAACAGCACCTCTCTTATTTGTGCAATGTGATTTGGATGGGTATACAAGTAAAGAATGATTGATATATAAACAGTTCAGTTTTTGAAAGTCCATGTCATAGTTGTAATCACTCAATTCTTATTCTGCTGTTCAGTATACTTGTTGCGTCTCATTAGACTTGTTGTCTTGCATTTCAGTAACTGGAAAAACAACATACTGATTTAGGTGATACTTGAAATGACAGAATATGCTATAATAAATTTTCAGGAAATGTTCAAATAAATGAATTTTATCACTGACAGGCTTAATTATTCTCAAAAAAATTATCTGATATATAGTCTAATGGATAATATTATAGTATACAACAAAATTTAATCAAATTTATTTAGGAAACTGCAATTTTTTGCTACAAAAACTATAATAGACTTTTTAAAATAAAGTAGATAAGAGTAAGGACTAAAAAGGAATGCTGATAGCATAATCTTTTTTGAAGCATTCTATCATTTTGTGTCCATTTTTGTACTCCTTTCATAGAATTTCTTTAGAATTGACAAACTGACCGAAGTATATTTAATTCTCTAAAAACAACAGGCGATTTTATAAAAACAACCCGTGAAAATCAGCTGTTGCCTGCTGCTAATGAAACCCCTGCCAGTGAACTATAAAGTTTTACAGACTTTTCTCTCACATTTTAAAGATGCTTTAGCAGTATGCTTGTTTTATCCAATGTTGCTGAGTGCAGTTCTCCTTGAGTGGGGTTTGAGCATGAACAGTAGACTTACATGTAATTACTGACCAGTTGACAGCATGTATAGAAAATACCATTTGAGATCTTGATAAATGCTTCATAGTAAGCAACTAGTTCTATCCTCCTTAGGACACAATTCCACGTAATGTTGTGAAAAAGTGAATTATTTTGACACTAATGTAGGCATGCATTTAAATTGAAAATACAGATTTGAATTGTTTATTAAAAGGCAATGAGTGAATCGTATTGCACATTTACTTTATATGCATGGGCAGTTTTGTAGCCTATCATTACATATAATTTGCATGTACTTTTAGCGTGACAAGCATACTGGAGATTTCGACATCTTCATGAATATCTTCAGCTACAGAGTAACTGCTCCTTCAATTGATGTGTTTGATATTGATTCATGTGTTAACTACAGTAGTTCCAATCCTGAGATTAACTACAAGCATCTTGTGTTTACGCTTCCAGGTATGTACTAGGTTTGTAGTATGTAGGTGTTTCATATGTAGGTTTGCATATGTAGGTTTGTATATGTAGGTTTGTCGTACGTAGGTTTATCATATGTAGGTTTGCATATGTAGGTTTGTTGCATGTTGGTGTTTCATACACTCCCCTCCATAAGTTTGGCAACCTTTTTTCCCCCATTGAACTAAGTGTTAAAGCCTCTTTACCTTTGAATTTTTATTTACTTAACCTGCGATGAAAATACTTATAATGTTGATGGAAACGTAATTTGACCTTAATTCCAATACCTCCAAATTTTCTCAATTTTTTTTCTCAATTACAATAGGTCGAAAATTGATGATAAATTTGATGAATTTTTGAAAATCGAGATTCCCATGTTAACCAATGGGAAATGGTAGGTTTGCCGCAAGTCATATGACAGAATATCCATCCATCAGAGTCCTTGCAAAAAATACGAGTTAGGCAGGCAATTGAATTTGATAACTTTATTTAACAAAAAATTGATATGTTTCTTCAGGTTCAACAAAGTTATAGGGCTTTAAAGTCAAAATTGTTTTTCAAAAAACCTCTCCCATTGAAATAACACAAGAGGCGGAAAATTATTTTCAAAAATGACTTTGAAGCGCTGTAACTTTAATATTCATCAAATAAACTAAACACATAGTGTTCAAAAAAGTTAGACAATTCAATTTTTTATATAAAAATATTTTTTGCTGAATCTTTTACTGAAAAGATATCCTGATTTCTGATTTGCCCGAACCCTCCATTTCCCATTGGATTACATGGGAATGACGATTTTCAAAAATTCATCAAATTTATCATCAATTTTCGACCTATTGTAATTGAGGAAAAAAATTTAGAAAATTTGGAGGTATTGGAAATAAAGTCAAGTTACGTTTCCACCAATATTGTAAGTTATATCATCGCCGGTTAAGTAAACAAAAATTCAAACGTAAAGAGGCTTTAACACGTAGTTCAATGGGAAAAAAAGGTTGCCAAACTTATGGAGGGGAGTGTATGTAGGTTTGCATATGTAGGTGTTTCGTATGTAGGTGTTTCGTGTGTAGGTTTGTCATATGTAGGTGTTTCGTAAGTAGGTGTTTCGTGTGTAGGTTTGCATATGTAGGTGTTTCATATGTAGGTGTTTCGTGTGTAGGTTTGTCATATGTAGGTGTTTCGTAAGTAGGTGTTTCGTGTGTAGGTTTGCATATGTAGGTGTTTCGTATGTAGGTGTTTCGTGTGTAGGTTTGCATATGTAGGTGTTTCGTATGTAGGTGTTTCGTGTGTAGGTTTGCATATGTAGGTGTTTCGTACGTAGGTGTTTCGTGTGTAGGTTTGCATATGTAGGTGTTTCGTATGTAGGTGTTTCGTGTGTAGGTTTGCATATGTAGGTGTTTCGTGTGTAGGTTTATTGTAGGTGTGTCATATGTTGGTGTGTCATATGTATGTGTGGCATATGAAGGTGTGTCATATGTAGGTGTGTCGTATGTAGGTTTGTCGATGTCGTATGTAGGTTGGCAGTATGTTGTAGGTGTGTTGTATGTAGGTTTGCCTTTTGTAGGTATGTTGCTTTAGGATGTTGCTTTACTAGGGATAAAGCAATACCATCCTCAACCCCATAACCATGTGATAGAAAGTCTGGGGTTAGTCTGCTAATTGAAGTTCTTATGTATGAAATTTTTCAGTAATTGATGTGTGCAATGTTGTGGCTGTTAAACCCTTACTCTCGGAATCTCTGTATGTATGTATTTGTGTTCAGACAGTATCTTGATTCACATGGTTTCAGTTTCTTCAACTTCACCTTGGTAATTTATGAATAAATCCTCAATTGAAATGCCATTTAGGGCCATAAAATAAGAATTTCTAAGTGTGACTGCTGGTGAAACAAATATTTGGCCAATTTTGATTGGTTCTAACCTCATGACACACCACACAGTTCAGGTCAGAAAAATAAGCATATGCATCAAAGATGTGAACACCTAGGAATTCAAAGATGTGGCAGCTCTAGTCGCAAGTCGTAAAATCTGTAATGATATGATACACTTGTGTTTCAGTACGCCAATCCCGGCTGCTATCATTGCGCCAGCACAATGTAGTACCAGCAGTCAGGAAGGCTATAGCCATGGCTGCTCAAGTCTCAGGCATAAGAGTCAATGATATATTTGTAAGTGTTTTATTAATTTATACATTTGTATGTATCACTTCAGTTTAGCATTTTGGAATTCCACTATTTTGTATATGGAACACTAAAATAATGCATGTGAATTAGTTTAGGTTCAATCCTCTGTGACCCCCGCTACTTAATTGCATGCCTTCTCACACAGTGTGGAGGGTCACAAGGGCTTGTAGCTAGACTACATGTGAATTTGTCTTAATGCATCTAATCGTGGGAGTCAGTTAAGCAATCCATTTTATTTTGCCAATTTATCTTATTTCAGTTTATGAAGGCTGGTGACTATGTAGATACCTGGTTTACCCTACTTGCACCTCCTAAAACTCAAGGTGAGTAAAGATAAAGCCCCTTTATACCTTAGTTTGTTGAGAGCACATCTTACACTTTAGTTATTATTTGTTTTAGCACCAAAGGAAAATTGATTATTCAAGGTGTTTTCTGAAAATTTGAGTAAGATTCATCCTAAATATTATTTTCTAGAGCAAAAGGAAACAGTTTATTTTAACACCGTCCCTTGTTTATTGAGAGTTTTTGTGCATTATGCATTGGGGGTTCTTTTGGTAGTATTTATTTCAATTAAAAGCTATTCAAAAGCCTATAGGAATTCCGAACAGAAGTTCTTATACAAAGGGTTATCACACTTGATTCTCTATATGTTTACAATTATCACAATATTGTTTTTTTGTATTTTTCATTTACAAATAGAAATATTTGTGTCTCATTTTCTTTGCTACTCTAATAGGTGATGTAGCTGTAGAGGTAACGTCTCTAGACAAAGCCTACAAGAACCTTCAGGAAGTCATAGCGAGTCAGGAAGGTTTGAAAATCCGAGTGAAGTATAAAGCCCCTGACCAGTCACTTGTAAGTAACTACTATTGTGAAATGATTAAAGTTGTAATGTATTACTGTACGCCCGGTATTATTCGCGAGCTTTAATTTCGCGAATTTTGCGAAAACACGGTTTTGCGGCTATTAAATTTCGCGAATTTCACAAGTTTAGCAGCGCTTGAATTGCCATTCAGTAATGCGTGCCGGGCTATGTTTGCCCTTTCTGCATCGTTATACACCTTATATGTCCCGCGTTTGGAATTGGACTTCATGTTATCTTTTGCAATTTGCACTTCATTTGCAATGATGACATTATTGGGCCTACTGGTGGTACTTGGCCGAATCAGCCAACGTAAAATGGACATTACTGAAGTCCTGAAGATCGTGGATATCCAATTATCGCCCAATAACACTAGACGAAACGTTTACACAAAACGAAATGCATCAGAGCCCAGGGTAATAACAAATTCCCAGGGATTTAATTGGCAATTTCGCGACGATAATTTTTCGCGATTTTAACACCATCGCGAAAAGCGCGAAAGTTAATTGCACGCGAATAATACCGGGCGTACAGTACTTGTTTTGAAAACCTTTGAATGAGATACATATTACATATGCAATGATTTGATTTAAAGTTGTACTAAAATGATTTCACTTCATTTAGGTAATCTTGCTACCTTACCTTATTAAGGCCACTCTTTATGATGGTGAACCATTAAAACTCCCAAAATTTCACATTACTATGTTATGGGGATATAAATATAACATGTATCTCTTTTTTAGTAAACAACTGTTTCACATCACATGACACAATTTTCGATATAAAACAAGGTCTAACACGTGTATTTCAGACAATTTCTTGTACCAGTATTTATGATTTGTTATTATGTTGATTGTTAAATGTGAAACTTAAACTAATGTAAATTTTTACTTTTGTCTAGCCTTATATGTATGTAATTTGCAGATCATATTTTGCACCGTCATTTTGCAATCAGGTCACATGACCATAAAATGTATGCAAAAAAAACAACTTTTAGGAGATTGACAGTTTCATTTTGTTAAATTGTGTTGGAAAACCAAGTATTAAAGGTTTAAATATTAAATTGATTATTCAAACAGCTCATTCTACCTAGTAACTGGTCTACCCTTAGATTATTTTCACCATATCATTTATTTACAGTCATTCACTGTAGCTAAGGATTCCTTGAAGACAGATAAGGAGAAATTTGACCCTCGGAGTAACAATGATCTCTGTCAGATGTCAGGCTACACAGGGGGTAAGTTTTACCAAATCCAATGTGGCTTCCATACCCAGAGTGACATTTGTACCAAATAAAAATGTCTTTGTTAAAAATGGCTTAAATAGACTTAAGACTTGTTTATGGTGTCTCATAGTACTCATTAGGGAGTTTAAGCTAGCATATAAAATTGAAACGCCAACCTATACGCATGACCAATCGCCACACAAATGCATCACAAATATTTTCCGTTCACGTTTAGGTTGTGAAAAACATTGCATGCGTAAATTCCCTATTTTCTGAATAAATCTATGGTGAGGCTAAAGAACATTGCTAGTTTGTAAAAGCTCTCTAGTAATAAAGGATGGCCTGGCCTGCAATGAAAGGGTTACAATGGACAATTGCATTTCCAAGAATCATTTTCGAATTGAAGCTCTCAATTCACAAAGCTACTTGTCTCAACTATTGAATGACCTCTTAAAAACACCCTGAAATCCAGAGTCTATTGAAGATCATTTTTGTATTATTTTATTTTTAGGTGCTATGGCTGGCCTAGCATTTGCGATGATCCTAGTTGGCTTCATAGGTGGTATAGGACTTGGTTTCTACCTTTGGAAAAGAAACACTGGTATTCCATATCGATTACAGGAATAGATTAGGAGACCTGTACATGAATAATTTAACATCAAAGAACAAATTATACAGATAAGAATTCGGCATATCAGCTGGATGTCCTAACTGGAATGTCTAATAAACAGTGATATCTATGTATAACATGCACATGACATTACCCAATTAACAGAGGGCAAGCATCTGTCCTGGTGGTAGCCTTGTATCAGTTTTATATTCTGACATAGCATGCAAGTAAATAACAAAACAGAATGAACCTTGCGAATGTCAGAAATCTGATTTTCTATATTTGATCATATACCATATTTGGCATCAACAAGGTATATGAATATATGGTGTTTTATAAATCAAGAGCTACATTTGACCTGCATGTCCAGGGTTCTCACCAGGAAAGTTTTAGACCCTGGATTTTACGCGGTATCACAACTACTCCTCCCCCATGTGAGATCAGAGATATCCTGCTAGTATACTTTTCAAAATACTAGTTGAGATTATCTTCCTATTTTAATCACAATATACATTTCTAATAGGTTTCTGACTTCCCATTTTTCGTTTGTAACCAGTTTTATGTATTTTCTCAACGAGTTTTACTACAAATAATGTGACAAAAATGTAAAATTAAGACTCCTGAAAAAACACTTTAGACTCCGGAAAAAGTATTAGACTCTCGAGCAAGAGGGTCTAAAGACATTAGACTCGGGAGATTCTCCGGACTCTTAAAAGCCTAGTGAGAACTCTGATGTCATATTTGTTGGTAATAAGAGCCACATACTAGATATGATATCGAGAGCTATAATGGTATATGATATTAAGAACTAGCAACCATAGACTATATTGGTATAAAAGGTTGAATGACCGTATCATCAGATGAATACTGGTCAATGATTATTATATATTTGTATAAACTTCTATCAGCTTCATAGTTGCGTTTTATACTAGCAAGTTGTAATTGTATATATTTCTTAATAACGCATGGTAAGTTAACATGGTAATGTAAAGATGATGAGCATTTATACATTACTCTACAGCATTCCTTGCCATTATATGAAGGCTTTACCACCTTTATCTTATGGGGATTATAAGGTCACCACCAGTGGTGGCATATTGTTATAGTCTCTAACTTTTTATGGATGGTGTGTGGCAGTCGGGGTTTGGCTTCAGTAACAGATTCGGGTATTGGCGCCTTTCAGCAAATTGGCTTGCAACTTTCAATAACTGGTGATGACATTTTGTCATGTTAATGCGTTGTAACAATTGATATTACAGAATTATAGATCTGATAAATTCATATTGGACAACTTTCACCATCTAGTGAAATATCCAAGAGATTATTTGTGATGCCCAATGATATCAATACTTAAAAAATGAACATTTATTGTGACAAAGTACTAATGTATTAATGAGACCTATAATCCCCTATAATCAATTGGCTTATACCTGTGTAGTTATATTGCTGTTAGATGCATAGACTCTATTTTCAAAACATTCACATTTGCCATATTTTTATACATATTTTGGCTCAGTCCAGTGTGAGCTCTGGCTCTTAAAAAGATTAATGTATAGTCATGTCATGTACATTGTATTACTTCATGATATGGCTATTGCACTGTCCAGTGTGATCTCTGGCTCTTAAAAAGACTAGAGTATAGTCATGTCATGTACATTGTATTACTTCATGATATGGCTATTGCACTGTCCAGTGTGAGCTCTGGCTCTTAAAAAGACTAGTGTATAGTCATGTCATGTACATTGTATTACTTCATGATATGGCTATTGCACTGTCCAGTGTGAGCTCTGGCTCTTAAAAAGACTAGTGTATAGTCATGTCATGTACAATGTATTACTTCATAATATGGCTATTGCACTGTCCAGTGTGAGCTCTGGCTCTTAAAAAGATTAGTGTATAGTCATGTCATGCACATTGTATTACTTCATGATATGGCTATTGCACTGTCCAGTGTGATCTCTGGCTCTTAAAAAGACTAGAGTATAGTCATGTCATGTACATTGTATTACTTCATGATATGGCTATTGCACTGTCCAGTGTGATCTCTGGCTCTTAAAAAGACTAGAGTATAGTCATGTCATGTACATTGTATTACTTCATGATATGGCTATTGCACTGTCCAGTGTGAGCTCTGGCTCTTAAAAAGACTAGTGTATAGTCATGTCATGTACATTGTATTACTTCATGATATGGCTATTGCACTGTCCAGTGTGAGCTCTGGCTCTTAAAAAGACTAGTGTATAGTCATGTCATGTACAATGTATTACTTCATAATATGGCTATTGCACTGTCCAGTGTGAGCTCTGGCTCTTAAAAAGATTAGTGTATAGTCATGTCATGCACATTGTATTACTTCATGATATGGCTATAAAACTGTCAAACAGTATAGGAAAGAAATATGGAAGCATTATTTGTAGTTGTACGAGTTGTAGTTGAAAGATCCTCGTACATTTAGTATTTAATAAGCTTAGCTTTTATTATATGATTTTTTTATATACATTCCAAAGGTAGGCATCAAGGTAGACATTTTGGTATGTGAATGATGATATTTGCAGTAGTTTACCAATTTATCTCTCTATTCCAATTTTGTATTGTCATACATGTATTTGGCTATATGCGGATGATGTTAGTGCATGGGCATGTATTGCATGCAGCTTTCTGTATATATTAGTGATGGGGCTATATACATGTAGGTGTGGTACGGCTATCTGTACATATTAGTATTGGACTATTTACATGTAGTAGGCATGGTGCTGCTGCTATACATGTATGTACATATTTATGGTACTATTGTTATTGTTAAATGGACATCACAACCTTGTAGACTTTCTCAATGTTTATTAGTTCTGACATTCCACATTTAATTTTTTGAATATTGTTACTCGAATCTCTGTTAGTTCTGATGACTAGATAAAGTGGTATAATGTTACCTATCTCTATATTTTAAGAAGATGTTTTGAATTTTATGCAAACCATATTTGACATTCCAAAGATGTACTTTTCTGGTTGTTATATAAACTATTTTCTTAAATATTATTATAAATATATGATAGAGAGCTGTACATATGCAGTATAGATAAACAGAACATGTTCAAGCTTACTGTTTTGATGTTTAGTACTACATTCTGCAGTTTTGTATTTTTGCTTTTTAGCTTTTGTATTCACTTTAGCAGTATTTTATCTTTTATGAAAGGCAAGATGTTCTTTAATTGAGATAGTTCACTTGCAACTTTGAGTTAGAGAATACATAGTCTTGATTTTCATCAGGAAAATTGGTGTGCCGTGATATTCTTTGGTGAATCATAAAGTGGTGTGACATGAAAGTGGTGTGACATGATAGGCTTTGATGTGTCATGTTTCATCAAAGATGTATATCGCACATTCATTGTTCTTATTTTTATTGTTACATATTACTTATCACATGGTGATTAATTCTATTAATTCTATTCTACTAGTTCTGTAAGGCTAACTGACACTTAATTCAATATTGTAGCGAAAGTCAATGTTTGTTTTTGCCAAAACATGTATCGTTTACATACATTATGGACACAATCATGTCAAATTGTCAATTATGTCATCAAAAGAACATTTGTATATATGAAGGTTTGTAAATGTATATATGAAATCTGTCATGTAGATATTCAATTGAGTTTGTTTTTCTGTTATATACACTATTACTGTTTTGTTCATGTCTTACCCTTATACAAATGTACATTGCAATTTGTGCCATTGTTAGATGTAAAGTTTGAAATCCAATGTGATAGATTAGGTCTTAAATGGGCAACCATTAAATCACAAAGACCTTAAATTGATTAGAATACTGCTTTTTCTCAAAACACAAGTTGAATTAATCCAAGCTCAAAATACTTCGTTCCTATCATGTTTAGTGATAGCCAACAGAAGCTCCATGTTCATCTCTTTCAATGAATACAGCAAATGTTTAAAAACTATATTCATTACATATCAACTTGATGGGAGAAAAATATTTTTGTATCATTTGATTTAGATTAGAAAGTGTTCTCATTGATCAAAAGGTTGGATTTAATGGTCTGCCCTTATCATAGGTAGGATCAAAGGGATTAGCATTGCCCATGGGCCAAGCTTGCTCATGAGGCAGAGGACCCAGTTGCCTCTAGGGAAAGATATTTCTATGATGCTTTTCGAAAAAACACCAAACATATGTAGAGTTCTAAACCATTTAGCTGAAACTGAATTTAGCTGAATGATGACACAGAATTTTAACAATGAAAGAGGCCCACTCAGGTATAAACAGGGCCTTGTATAATCCCTGTGGTCCTACCAGTGTTAATGCAAAATGTTGATGTTATTGTGCTTTTACAATTGATTAATTGAACCAGTTGATATGAATAGGAATAACGGATATAAAGTATATAGCCTATACAATTGCATGTTAAAAATCAAAAGATGAAAACCTTTCTCAAAAAGTGGTGTGCAGTTATATCTATCTGCTTTCGGTTGATCATAAAAAGCTCACTTAATCGGTTGTAGATCCTACCCATGTATTTCATAAGTAAAGAATGGTACTCCATTTTAAAAGAGATTTTCAACTGATCATGTCTTGCATATATCTGTGAGTCCATATGATTATGTCTTGCATATATCTATGAGTCCATATGATCATGTCTTGCATATATCTGTGAGTCCATATGATTATATCTTGCATATATCTGTGAGTCCATATGATTATGTCTTGCATATATCTGTGAGTCTATATTATTATACACAGTTCATTGTGATAACGTTATGATAATCAATGATTTCACCGAAGTTAGAGTTTCTGTTGTTATCATATGATTTTGTAAATCACGCATGGAGCTGATTCCCATATGTGTCAGAGGTAAATTCAGGTTATGGGTTTTTATTGTATTTAATAAATTATTTCATTGTTCCCAAGTGCACGAAAATTATGAATTGTTTATTTCTTATGCGAGAACAATATTTCGAAAAATTATTATAACACGTGTATAGTAAGTAAATTATTATATATGATGTCCATATCTCGTCGCTAAACCTTTATTACATTCTTTACTTCCATTTCGATAAGGTGGACTTTTGAAATCCTGTATTACAAAAGGAAACGTGAAAATATTTCGTTATTAGCAATATAGATGGCATGTACGGATATATCACTCACAACGATTCTTTCGTCCATCTGACGACTGGCCATGGTAGAAATGAGAGTCATAGCTGGTCAAGGAGGTGGATGAGACAGTTGCTATTGAAATTTGGGAGATTTTTAGACTTCGATTTTTAGAGGGAGGGGAGAGGGGGGGGGGGGAGGGAATTGTAAGGGATATTAAAGAAAATCATCCAGCCTTGACACAAAAATTCAAGGTGTAACCTCGTGAATGTTTTTATAAAGCGTATTCGGCAATGAATTGAGATTTATTCAACACCTTAAAACATATATTTCTGTGTTGGTATAGTTCATATTTACGTTGTTAAATGAGAAAGTAGCTTCCTGTAATATTGTAATGGATCGCAGGAAGGGGTGGATCGGGATTAAAAAGATACCACAACGGCCTATCAACATCCCGCGATTAGATTAACACTCTCCAAACTTCTAAACAAATCAGGTTTCATTTTGCGTTTGATGTCTGTGTAACTGAATGTGGCTTCACGCGGGGGATAATTGTACGAGTCAAGTAGCCCGTGATTCGTATTTCAAACGGATTATCTCCACACTCGGATATGACTGAATATTACAGAAAGTGCCGCATTGAAGTCCGTAATTCGTGGCAATGAAATCCACAGATATGATTGCGCTTGATTGTGACATATGTGGTAATGGTTGTGTGGAATGATAAACGGATTAATTTTCTAAGAAGTGTAAATTGAATTTTCTTGGTCTCCCAATTTGAGGGCAGATTGTAGTCTCCAAGATTTGGATTACAGTCTGTGAATTCCGTTCAAACGGATTATTAACGGTTCTGTGTTAGCTCCTCGTGTTATGTTTGTTTAGAAATGTATGACAATTTAATCATGATTTATGTATCAAAACAAGTAATGGTTTAATGTGGTCTAGAGCATTTAATGTGGTTATATAGGCCTACAATGAAACCACAAGGCGGTCTCTGAACCGGCGTAATCACATCAAGGGGATTTACAACTTGTGTTTGTGTTGTTTTAGACCTTTAAACAACCATGGGCAAATCTCAACTTTAATTTCAACTTGAAAGAGAAAACTTCTTTGAAGTTGGCATGAATCTGTAAAGAAACACTGAGATACACACTGCCAGTTTGTTCGATTTCTAGCACTAAGCATCTCCCTTACGAAGTCAACATGATACTATTTCAAACGCTTGCGTTTCTGTGTGGTATTTGTTCTTGTTGTGTAAAATAGATTCCATTACTTGTTGAATTGAGAATAACAGTTGTTCAAATTTTCTCCGGTGTTATGCAATATTTATGTAAGGTGAATGCACTGTGTCCCGAAAGAGGAGAAAACAGCAAAAAAGGGAAAACCCTATAACACCAACGTAAATACACTTTCAAAGCTAACAAGTTTAACTTTGATTTAAGAACAAATGTGGTTAACATAGTTTACTCATTTGAAGCATATACACGATCTTGACATTGCCTTTGTAGTAATGTTGTCATGTCAACCAAAGTATGTTGACCTGTCACAGATAGACCGAAATCAGTCTAGTTTAATATGGCCGCCGAATCAGACCATTCTAATTAAAATTACCAAATCGAAGAGGTTAATGATAACCTGATTTAAAAGCAACAATAAGGTTGGATGAAATTATTTTAAATGAATTGAACTCAAATCAAATATGTCAATTGTGCATGTAAACATAAGGACGACTGCAGAAACTTGGTTCAAACTAATTATTAATTTAGTTCAATTCCAAAATTGGGTTATTTGGTTATATCGAAATTACGAAATACATTTAAAATACAAGCCACGTGAGACTTGGTTCATTTTGAACCCCAAATATCACAACTATAGATATCATCAAATTAATTCTGATTATTTTCATATTAATTTCACATGTCCTCAACGACAGAGATAATTGTTTTGAAATTAAAATATGTCTTTCTAATAAATTAACTAAGTACCATAGTAAAGATTGATCAAATGTTCCAATAATAACATGTACCTCATAGTTTTGTGACCATCATCTCTCCAAAATAGAAAAAACGAATTATTTCTATATTTTAATTAGTCAATTTATTTATAATTAATTCATCATCACATATAGTAAATTCATTTTATTCAGCAGTTTCATATTGACTGGACCATAATAATCTATTAAAATTCACAAACAGATGAGATACACAATAAACTCATCGTATACATTTTACATTTGGCAACTTTAAAATACTTTATAACATTCTCTTTGTTATTAATCGTCAATATCATCAACTTCAATATCACTGTCACTTTCGCTATCAACATTATTGTCATCCGTAACATTAATATCAATGTTCTCTTTGATGTCTTCGTTGATTTCATCCTTGCTATCATCAACAGATTTGTCTTTTTGTTTTTTCTGCTCATGTGTCTTGGTGTGTTTGCTGAGATGGTCGCTTCGCATGAATCGTTTTCCGCACTCCTTACATCCGAAGCGTTTCTCACCCGTGTGCGTACGCAAGTGACGCTGGAGTTCATCTGACCGAGTGAAACTTTTGCCGCAAAATAACCAATTACACACAAACGGTCTTTCCCCTGTGTGCCAACGTAAATGTGCTTTCAAATGCGAAGTCTTCCCGTAAACTTTGCCGCATCCCGGGATATGACAAATATGTTGCTTGCGTTTCGATGGATTGTTAGAGTTGGTGGAATCTTGGCAATTAGGGCACCTGCATCTCCGGCAGCGCCTTGCGGTAGCTATAGGGGGTCTCCCACCTGCAATGAGACTGGCCATGTGTGCGGGGTAGGGTATGTCACTGTGCTGGGACAGGACGAGGTTTGGCGAAACACTGTATGTTGGTGAGATTGCGGGTGACAGCTGAGGGGACGTGACACTCCACCATGGTGTATCTGCTTCGGAAGCTGGCGCGGGGGACAACTGTTTTGGCAGGCTAGCAACCGGAGTTGGGCTCATCATTTGAATGGGTGATGGCCGTTGTTGAGCGTGTGTTAGGCTGGCGACAGCGGCTACGTGCGCCGTTAACTCCGCAACACTACGCGGTGAATGATGTCCACGCGCCATTGAGTTCATCTGAACAAGTTCCGCGGCGGCTATTCCTGAGTTTGGACAGAGTGTGTTCAATGAAGCGGCGGCTGAGAGCACAGTTTGATGATGATGTAATCCAAGCATTTTAGATCGCTGTATTTCCAGATCATAAGCAGCCATTGCTGCCTGGTTTGGTGTTGGGCGCTCTGGGAGTGGGGTTATTGGATATATTTTCTTTTGAGGAGACAATTGTCCATGTGGAATCATTGGACTGTATCCAGGAAGCTGTGAAGGATGCGTGGCGTGAATCTCCGCTGGGCTGTGATGTTGTACGGGGCTGTGTGGATGATGATACGTCGGTCTTTGGTATGGACTAAATCGTGGTGAAACACCCGAGAGGCCTGGATGGATGAGTTCTGGATGACTGCGTGGTATCCTCTGGCACGTTGCGGCTAACATGGCTAATGGTGCATTTGTCGGTTGGCAGTGTCCCTGGCTCATTATTCGTTCCTAAAAGCAAACAAATTAAGAAATATTTACTTTCGATTCATCAATATTGAGTTTCTATTTATTTTGACGATTCATAACATCAGTTATACTTAAAAAAATATCCCAAAAATTCTAAAATGACACAGTAAGCTTTGTCAATTGAATAAATTAATTTTTAACAATAAAAAGTCCCCATTTACCTGCAGTGTGTAATATTATTTCAATACGTATTATACTGATTCATTAAGCACGTATACTTATTGATCAAATCTAATTGATTGACCAGAACTGACAAAGAGCCACTGGTCGAATCAAATATGGGCTTCCGAACGATCCTTAGTACAATTTCGAGTGGTAATTTTAATGTTTTTCCTCCTTTTAGCAGCTAAGTATGACTATCTTCAGTGATCCCATCTGCTAGCTATGATTGATTTAATCATTATGTTTGACTTATAACAGATCATGTTCAAATGAAAAGAAGCCAAAAAATGAATAATGAGATTGATAAAATTCACTTTGATGTGTAGAGAAACCCCGATTTAATAAATAAAACAGATTACAAGATACATGATTTGATAACAAAGCAACTTGAATTTATAGCATCATTAAAATAACGTCTGTAATACTTTACCCATAAAAACCTTTTACATTTAAAATATATTCAAAATATCGTTCTTTCTAGACTATGAACCCAAAACAGAAAATCTTACTTTCAAGTTAAAGTAGGCTAATAAGTCTAATATGTGTTTGAGAGTTATCTATTGGGAGGCTATTATAATCCTCCAAATAGCTAATTAGTTATATTACGTATTTCAAAACAAACGTGTTTGATTTAATTAATTTAATTAGTTCATCTACTTACAGGTGTTAAAGCTGGGTGCTTGTGAAGCTGAGCTGGTTGTAAAAGTCCAAGCGTCGCCATTTCCCTTCTTCTTACTCACAATTAATATCGTTTTATGAATTGTTAGACTGTTAAAGACTTGAACCTTTTGGTGCGGCGTTCCCATTGAGAGGTGGGCTAGAAATATACTACTCCTCCCCAAGCGATTGTAATTTTATTCGCTTAACATCAATAGGCCGTAATGCTTTACGAACAGTTGATCCCCTTTGAAGTACCGATATCCAATCCTATGTTGGGGTTTTCCTTTGATGTCTGCCGCTATCCAATCAAAATCAATAGGCGGGCGATTTAAAAGGAAATTTAATCCATTGTGTCCATATAGAAGTAAGGCTGTGTTTGTTGACAGTCATAATAGAAGTGATTATTCCTTGTTATTACAGGGGCTGGCAAGGGAGGGCAACTAATCACTAGGCAGGGAATTTACACACACAAATAATTGGATTTTCAACTTCAAAGCAAAAGTGCCGCTGAGGGGGTTGTTTGACTATTGAGGGCTTGCTAGGTCTTAGTGAAGTGCGGTAAAGCGTACTTTGGTTGCTGCTCTGAGGGAATCGAATGGGGCTCTTTTCTTGAGACTTGCGAAAGTCATACAAGGCTCCATGGCCGTTATCGGAAAGGCATTCCACTGGATAACAAGCCCTGTCAGCCTATGCGTGCCACTTCAAAGGCACCGCCACCACGGGGGATGACAAACTAATGATTACCAATGAATACCTTTTGTAGGCTGGCCCGCCTTCTTCCCAGTTATTATCAATTTAGGTTTTATTTGAGAACTTGTCAAAATTGATAGGCCGGAACAATATACAGCTCTGAATAAAATTCATAATACCGACGGTTAGGCCTACTTGATTATTCCCACGAAAGGGCGGTTCATCGATCAATCCTGATAGTTACATAAAATGCTCTTTCATCAGAGTTCAATTTCTTAATTCCACTTGAGGTTTGAGACTTGCCCAAAGTTCGCTCTGATTGAAAATGATGAAACAGAAAGTTTCTTAGAAGCGATGCTCCAATTCAAGCAGGGATACGATAACAAGAGCGATACACTTTTTAACTTCAAATGCAGCCTCTTTTGAAGCATATAATATTGTTCATGTGTTCATTTGACCTGTCATTTTTAATTAAAAACCAATGAAATGGTGTTGAATGAATCCCTTCAGATTCATGTCAAAATAACGTTTGAAGATCATAGGTCTTTGAAGCCTTTGAAGGTTTAAACATACCTTATCGCACACTGTTTTATCAACTCAAGTCTCAACCCACATCCAGTCCGACTTTGATGCCGGCTTTGATGTTGTTTTTATTTACAAAGCCTACAATTGAAGCTTCAAATGTGGAAAACAAGCCACAAAACCAGAATTCATTATGATATATTCAGAGGACCAGTGGTGATTCTAATTTAGATGATGGTATGAATCAATTAATAATAAACCCATGCATACATTCACTCGTCTGGATTAAAACCATCATGATGAATTTAACCCGACTTGTCCGTTGGTCCTGTGTCACTCAATCCGATCCCCCTCCATTACCCACCTCTCAACATACAGTAGGGCATATACAATTTGGAAGGACCAAACACTTCGATGCTTTACTAATTTGTCAGGGACTTTTCTTTATGTTCATTATGTTGACTAAGCTCAAAGCATAGCCTGAATCGTAATTAAATATAAATCGTCAATATTTGCTTTTGATTACTCGAGTCTCTGGCCAATTCTTGGCCACACTCAGTGGCAATAGAATATGGTAAGGTTTTGACACCCTAGTCGCATTCTTTAAACAATGACTAATGCTATAATGTTGACTATTAAAATGATACGGCTCAGGTTGAAATTATATTGCAGTTACTTACATGGGAAAACCAGAAGGCCCATAATGCTTTCCCTTTTTACCATTAGATAACACATTGGACTTTCGGGAATGATATACCCGGGACAAGGTCAAGGAGGATTGGAAGCCAGGGTTCCAACTCGATATTCTTTAATCTCCACGCATGCGTCATTTGCTATTCGTGTCTGTGTAATTTGTACGACTGCATGGAGAATGACCCGATACTCTCCAACAAAGCTATCGCTAGGTGATTGTTTTGCAGAATATCGGTGTTGCATTCTGGGAGCCAATCCTCCTTGGGACAAGGTCAAGGTTATCAATAGAAAAGTCATCAAAGGTATTTTTAGTTGTTAGTTGTAATAATATGATTCGGAGCGTGGATTTTTATTTTATTCTATTATCATATACTTTAATTTAGCGAGATCAATAGTGCGAAAATAGTTTATTCATGGAACGAAGCGTGAAACTTTCCAGATATCATCAGGACACTATTCCCTTTAATTTAAGAGCCTGAGCCATTTTTGTGGTTCACTAGAATGACCGAAAATTGCAAATACCCCCTCCCATAAAAATCCTGGGGGAGGGGGAGAGAAGAATTATTTTTTTGTTGAATTTCTTTTTTGATCATGATTCAACTTCATTTTTAGTATGTTATTTTCAGTGTTTTAAAGCAATTTTCAAGATTGCATCAGTATTTCTCATGGATATTCATTGTTAAAGCCTGACCAAGGGCGACGCCCACTTTATCAACATGTTAAATATACAAGTTAATGAGTCTTCTATTATGAATACAATAATTACCTAATAAGGCTGAATAGAATTGATAAGATTAAGTCAGTTATTTATGTTAAGATGATAGATGCTGTAAGTAAGTCAATTTCACTGTTAAAGGCTTGTGAAAGGCCACACCCTCTTGTAGATATAAAGATATGATAATATAGAATTCACAATTAATGATACATTATTTTGGCTTTTAATGAGAGCACTTTGACTAATTGATACAAGTTACCTTATTAAGTATCTTAACTGCAGTTCAAATATCCTATTTTGTGCATTTAAACACTTCAACACTCTATTATCATTATCACTGACTTAGGTGCCAAGTCCACACAAACACAGGGCAGTACATGCAAGATTGGCTTTAAAGCACTTGCATCTTTTTATTGAGCATTGTTGTTTGCAGCTGCATTTTACTAGCATTTGGCATGCATCTGAAGCTTGGGGCAATGTTTTCCACACTGGCACCCAAATCATTTCCCAGCCTTTGTGGTAACGGATTCCCAACCCAATTGAAGGGAGGACTGCCATAGGTATAATTGGGCCCACAAATAAACTGCCTGGAATAGAACATTTTTGATATGCTGTTGTAAAGCATGCAACTTATGTTGGTGGGATGCTCTCAATTTGATTTGTTTTCTTTGTGAACATTTCTTGTCTTGCAGCATTTACAGTTGTTTCATTGTTGTCTCTACTGTATAAAATCACAACAAAACGTTCAATAATTGGCATAACTTTGGCTAACTTATTTGGATCTTCAGCCAAAGTTTTAAGTGCATTTGTCAACTCGGAAAAGTAATCCAATGTTTCCATGCTGTTGTTTTTAATTAACCGTGGAATCCAGATGTAGTGTCTGAACCAGTGTGGGCATGAAATAAGGGGAGACACATAGCCCTACCATGTCCAAGGGCAGCTGCCATTTCATGGGAAGTGAGATATCTTTAATTTTTCACCTTTTCCAAAGCTATCTATTTTTGAACTTTGAGTTCTGATGATATACTGACTGTGAGACAGACAATATCAGTCTGCTGTTCTAATCGTCAATGTATTGTACCCAGACTTTACTGCACGGTGGATGTGCTTATTCATGTGTTGATGGGGAAATGTCTTGAATGGGCATTGGGGGATATGATAATACATCTTACAATACATTGTTTACATCATCTCTAATAAATTCCAATTTGATGGTAACATTGCATCTACCTTTGGGCACTGAACATGATCATATCCTGCAATTTGATTGGACATCGTATACTGATGATCGTGATTTTTAAATAAATTGAAAGTACACGAAAGAATGATAGTATTATGGGAACTACTCACTTCTTCTGGACTGATATTGAGGATACAATATCTTTGTTTTCTAATGAGTGCAAGTCATTTGAAGTCTCCAGAAAGGATTTCTCATCTATTCTATGGTTTCTTATAATAATTTCACATTATCTTTGAATCTTTGTTGTATGCTTATACTTTGTTCATGATTAGATAGGCCTTCATCTTGATCATTAGTTATATTGTTCTCAATTCAGTGATCAGCCTGGCCAATTCAGGGCCCCCAACCATCCACTAGAGTTGTCTGGTTGTCAAAGAGCCCCACCACTTGATTTATCTAGACTGTTATTCTGCTTGTGAACCTGGTCAGTAGCAATGGCTGAAAAGGTCCATCTTGAATTGGTAACAGTGAAGTAGTCTTTCGTGAAGGCTTCGTAGACTTCTGGATGTATTTGTTGGAGTTGTAGCATATACCTTATGTGAACTGGTAATCAGCAACCATATTGACTGGAGATAAAGAGGGTAATTGCCCTCTCTGATAGCCCACACTTAGTTAAGGCACAGTATTTCGATTAGAATAATAGGAAACCAAAACTTGAAGACTGGTACATTCTGTTGGTCAGCACACCATTCATCAAACTGTTAAATCACTTCATCATATAGATTCTGGACAGCTGTATATTTAGCATAGGCTCTCTTGAGAATTTAGAGACTGCAGCCTGTGACTGTGGTGGCCCTTCTGGTTCTGGTTCAATCCATGAAAGAGGTTTAATAGCCTAAATGTTCAGCATATGAAAAGTGGGCGTCGCCCATGATTAGTCTTTAACAATGATGAAAATCAAAGAGAAACCATCTGGAGATAAAGAGGAAAATTCTCCTGTCCTATAACCCTCACATAGTCAAGGCTCAGTATTCGAATTTGAATAATCAGAAACCAAAGCTTGAAGACTGGTACATTCTGTTGGTCAGCACACCATTCATCAAACTGTTTAGGCACTTGGTCAGCACACGATTCATCAAACTGTTTAGGCACTTCATCAACTAGATTCTGGACATTTGTATCTATAGCATAGGCTCTCTTGAGGAGAATATAGAGACTTGACATACATACATAGAATAGTGGATACATGTTGTAGATCTGGGACATCCATTGCTTACTTTCTTCTTTCTTCTAAACAGGGGTGTGATATGTTATAAGCCTTTAAGAAGTCAAATTCTAAGATTAATTATAGCACCTAACATCAAAAAGGTATCTGGTGTTATCCAGAAAGCTGAAGTACATTCATTTGTTCAACTCATGATAAAGATTCAATAACCTAAATGTTCAAGATATGAAAAGTGGGCGTCGCCCATGACTAGTCTTTAACAATGATGAAAATCGATGACAAATCATCTTGTTATGTCGCAAAACTTCTTTGTCATGAAAATGGCACAGTGAAACTGCAGTATGACCATATTCAAAGAATTTTTTTTACTGAAAAAAATTCCTAACTCTCCCCATCCCCACGGGATTTGGGGGGAGGGGGTACTTACTATTTTTTGATCATTCTAGTGGACCACAAAAATGGCTCTGGCTCTTAAATCAAAGGGAATGGTATTGTGATGATATGTGGAAAGTTTCACGCTTCGTTCCATGAATGAACTATTTGCTTGTTTTCTTGCACTATTGATCTCGCTAATTGTATTTGCTAATAACATTGAAATAATTTCTACTCCTATGTATTTGACAAGGTGGACCAAAAAACGTCCATATTTCGACATCTTTTTTTGAAAATGCATGGATTTCAATAAAATTTTGGCCAGATAAGCAGGACTCAATTTTACAAGTGTGCCTGCCCTGAAAAGGGTAAATAAATCTATAGTTTTTTTAGTAATAAAGGTAAACAGACATTTGATGACCAGAAAAAGAAATTACAATAGTTTATTCATCATTACATAACATGTTTCTCTGGCTGGATGTATAAAAATTCAATCTGGAAATATATATGAGGCATGACTATTATCATTGTAAAAATTTTTGGTTTGAATTTCATCCTTAATTCCATCTGTAATTTTTCATGAAGACCCCCTGGTGTCTGTTTACCTTCATTATTCAGAAATCCCCCAAGACTTATTTATCCCACTTTTGGAACATTTTTGAATTTGATTTCTGCATATCCTGCCAAAATTTGTGAAAATCCGTGAATTTTCAAAAAAGTTATATCGAAATAAAAAAAGTGGACGTTTTTTGGGCCACCCTGTAGAATGACAACTCATATGTCAAGTTCCACATTGATAAATTTGTATATAGAGAGAGCAAAAAAATAAAAAAGTAAAACAAAAAGTTACAATTAATTAAAAATATTATTTTCTTCTAGAATGTTATTCAATCGTATCTTATCGTACATTTTAATATGATACGTGACGTCACAATATCTAGAACAATTGATTTACTGGTCTATATTGGAGTATGCATGACCGTTGGATATCTATAACAGATTGAACGTTGTTGATTAATGTCCTTTGTATGATTTCAATCAAAATCATAGGCATTGAACTGAAATTGATTTGCAAGTTTTGAAATAGAGCAACATGTGAAACCATGGTGTTACTGAAGTGTTTACAAGCATGTCCCACTAAGCATAGAGGTCGATGACGGCAAACATCAAAGGCGATTTATTTACTTCTAGATTAGAGATCATAGAATATGAAGTGGCCTGTATAAGGTTACGATGAACCATAGGGTTTTCTATAAATCTAATTCATGCAGGATCGCAGACCAGAAATCTTTGAAATCCTATACAAACACGAGGAAATCACCTAATGTTGTGATAAAGAATTGTAATATCTCTTGATGTGAGCTTTATTCTAATTACATTTCAAATAAACTTAAGTAGCGTTCACACGTTCGTTACTCAACGAAGAGACATCAAGATGGGTTCCAGACAAAAAAGTATACATGTACTGGGTGGGTCAAAAGATGGAACATTTGTTATATATGCGTGAAGAAATGTATTTCCCCATTAAAACACATAGAAATGTTACACGCGTTTTTCATTAAACCATATGATGAGATATTATGTCGATGGCTATAGCATTGTTCTGAAAAGCAGGGCACTCATTGACCTGTTGACTTGTGTATTTAAAAGAAGGGTTAAGCACTAACATTGTCGGCTGCAGCTAAACTGTGATTTGACTACACTATGCTCCGTAAAGATTTTGTGTATTTGAAAGACAAATAAACTTATCTTTGCGTTTAGCAAATGTTCCATATTTTTGAACCACCAAGTATTTTGAGATTTTTTTACCATTTAAAAAATATCAGGTTTACCCTAAGAAATGCGGATACGTACCACCGAATGGAACTTTTTCAAATACCTTTTCAAGACTTGCCTTTAACACTGACTTAAAATTTGCTTTTCATTTACTAATACCAGTATTTATAAGCGTCGGAATATGGTGAACTTTTTGAACACGCGTTTCTCTTAAACCAGTCATCAAAACATTCTGAAAATTTTACACATCGTCAATTTAATGGTCATCTTTTGGATGGTAACATTATAATTGTGAAATATATATCATTTTCTCTATATTGTTTTAGAATACAGATTAGACACTTCTTTTATTCTTGGTATATGTTCGGAATGAAATGAAATGTCTATCCGGACCTCATTTGAACAAAACGACATAAACACAATGTGTTTAGGTCTCTCAGTATTGTAATTGTACAAAGGAAAGTTTGGTTGATTTCAAAAAGTATCTTGTTAATGAAATAAAATGTTTATCTTTATTTTTTTTATCTATTTTGAGGGTTTTTGTTTTAAGCTTTTACATACTTTTTGCAAAACCAACCAAAATTTCCTTTGTATAACGGTAGTATTGAGAGGTCTAAAAAATGTTGTATATGCTATTTTGTTCCAATAAAGTTCGAAAAGACATTTTATTTCATTCTTAAGAATTAGTAGAAAGGAACAAGAAACAATTGCACTAAAAACAAAAAATGTTAACAAAAGCAGTTACGATACCTATCCTTTCTGAATTATATATAAAATTTAAACCAGATCCATCCACTGCTATTTGAGTTATCAATGATAGTGTTTTTTTGCCATTTTGAAATTAGCTGCCATCTTGAAAATTTATTCTTGAGCAGACCTCCTGTCCCATTCAATTTTAATTTTTTTCAGTTATAACGTATGATGCGTAACTTTAAAAAGCCAATAGTGGCATTAGTTTTGTGATAATAAAGTCCCTCATGAGTATTTATTACAAGTCGTGAAGACCATTGTTGCCCGATTTATAGCAAAAACATTGACTTTGCACGTTGTTGACGATGCGCCTTTTTAATAGATCTCATATCTTAGAAGCGTATCAGTTCAAAATAATCCTAGATGACCTAAACTTAACATATTTTACCATACCATGCCCATCCATTTAGCAACTCAATCGAAAGCTTTCTTTTGAAAAATTAAATCTTTTAGATTTGTTGAATTTTCTTGCAGAAATCGCCGCATTCCGACTTTCATTCTATCCAATCAGCGGGCGTGAGTATGTCTATTCATATAATATTCAAATCGAATCTCAAAGTAGAGATCACAAACGTTGTGTTTCTGATTGGTGTCTTTAAAAATCCAAAATGATAATAAGTGACTTGATAATCAACCATTATTTCGTTCGTTTGGATTTTAGACTAAATGGAGTTGCTGTTGTCCTAGATATCTCGGTTATACAACTTACAATGCATACTCTTGTGTCTAATACTCATATTCTTTTCAAAAAATCAATGTACTTCTTGATGTACTTGTGCCTATCAATATATTCGTAGTTCGTACATTTTTTCTCATCGTGTTCACTTCATTGTTTTAGTTGATTTACCAGAAAATAACAATTTTTCTTTGACTTTTATATTTACATATACATCATACATATATTATTTTTATATTTTAACATCCTCTCTAATAGAATTCCTTGATGTAAATGATGACATATAGGTTAAAGATCACAAATATGTTGATCTCAATTTCCTGTTCCATATGTTTCTACGTAAATACAGTATCAACCCTTGGTATATTCAGCAACCGATAATGAAGCGGGTGGGTGCCACACCGTGACAGGGGCGGTGTCGATTGTTATTTTTGAATCTAAATTATCTATACTTTGCTTAATCAATGTAATATCGACATTTTGTGATAATACGATTCATGATACCTTGGAATGTTTGGGGAGTTTTTCATAGATCTTTAGACACATTATATTGGTACTCATGATGTTTGAATTGTATGTCATTTATTTACATCCATTATCTTGGTGTAGGAATATATAAGTTCTTAATGCGTATTTAAAGAGTTTTCCTCGCCAAAAACAATCCAAGGCATCAATATTAAAAGGTTTCAAATTTGACACATAAAGGGTGTCAAAAATGGGTAATCTAAATCATGTAAATTCAAACAACAACCGTTGGCACTGCCACTGCCACGCTGTGACACCCGCTCACACCGTCCATTTTCGGTAGCTGCATATACCATGTGCTATTGCTGTAATAAAATTCAAAACGCAATATTCAAAATATTTAACATGTACATAAACAAATCTCTTCATTATTCTACTTTTTACATATTTTCAAAAGAAGCTGGTCATATACCTTTGGAGCAGGAATTTCATATTAAATGTTAATTTGTATTCTGTATACAATGCAACCCATTGAATCGTATGCCATCTATTGATAGTTTTTAACTCTATCACACTCATTCAATGTGTTTGTTGATAAATGTATCTTATCATGTACTCATCCATTTATACATATATTTACAATGTTTTCTTATAATATTTACATTCATTTACTGAAACAGTCATCTACAATCTCTTGCACATGGTTTCTATGTAAATGTTACTTTACTTTGTACATTTATTTAGCTGAATAATCCTCCAAGATCCCCTCCATGTGTTCATTATGGGTTTTAAATCCCTTTCGTCTTTTACTGTTTCGTTTCCCTCCTCGTCTGTTATGCATAGGGATCTGAAAATATAACATAAAGTTTAAAATTTTATTTTGGAAGTGGTAATACTCAAACTCTATCTTGAGAGTGTTTATGCATCAAGTCTCTTAACTCAACATCCCCACTATCTACTTTGACAACCAGAAAATTTGCCTAATATGTGGGGGTTAGGGTGTGGTGTTTGGGTGTAAACTCAGGCTGCATACAAGCAGGGATTTGAAACTGAGATCCAAACAATCAGACCCAAAGAATAAGAGAGAAATTCTCTAATTTTATAATCCCTTTCCTTATATCATTCCTTGAGATACAAAAAATGTCATGTTTCATGATAACTATGCACTTTAAGTTTAAATCAAAAACTATTCCAGAGATTATGAAATTGTATCCCTGTTTCTCAAAGGGTTTATTAATCTTTATTAAAAATTGTTCTTGTAGTTGTATCATCTGTGCTCACTTATTTTTATGCCACAGATATCAATTCATTATAATGAAGGAAATTGCATCAATTTTTGTAAAATTCAAAACATATCTAAAAAAAATCTTTTTTTTGGTGTTGCTTATAACCCAATATTTTAGGCGATTGCATGCCCCTCCCTGACCAGCCTGACCAAAAGCTGGCTACGCCCCTGGTTACTTACTGGATTGCGTATCCCCATATCTTGCATGGAGACAATATTATTGCGTCTCAGGTAATCTTCTATTTTGTTATCGTCCATACCATCCACTGTGGTAGACCTCCATAGTTTCACAATATCTGCAGGTGTTTGAAATTACAAAGACATAATCATACTAAAGGGCTGGATCCAAATATCAAATGTGTTCAATTTTAGAGAAATGCTTATACAAGGATTTATAAGAAAAATTAAATGTTTTCGACAAATTCGAGCCCAGTTATGAAAGATGCCATTTATCAAAAGGGGGCTTTAGGATCAGAATTTCAAAGACTTCCCTTTCAACAGTTCAATGTTTGAAAACAACACTCAAGTCAGTGGTACCATAACAATACATGTATTTAGGGCAGGGGATATTTTTTTGCCATAATTTACAGAATTTAGAAAAAACTGTTGGAGTAGATATATTACAAAAAATGCAATAATAATAAGTTTAATACATTACATACCTTCATCTATTTCACAATTATCCAATGATTTGTCATTGTAAAACAAAATCTTTTTCTTATCATTTGACCTTGTGATTATCAATATGTCATCTCCCAAAACCTGAAATGAAATTTTTATAAAATATAATCCAGGCATTTAGATGCTTGGTGAGTATGTTTAATCAAAGACATGTACTTATGTTAATTTAATTTTTAATTTCTATATTATGTCTGGTCTAATGTTCATATCAATTTAGTAAATTAAACTTTTTGATCAGTATGCCATCTATTTTCTAAAAAAATACCCAGGGCTTGCATTAACGGCGTCCCTTACATGTAAGTGACGCAAAAAAAAATTGTAGGACGGAAAAATAAAAAATATTTCCGTTTTTCGGACGGAAAAAAAATTGAGTCAAAACTTTGAACATTTTTTGAAAATCTTGAAAATCTCAATAGTTGATCATGTTTGACTTCTTTGAGGTGTATATTACATTATTAAGATCAAAATATGTGAGATTTACAACTTTATTTTGAGTAAAAAAGAAAAAGAATGCAGAAAAACGAACTATTGTAATGGGCGATAATAGGTTATCAGTTTGCATGTGACATATTTTTCTCACTGAAAAGCTGATATAAAACCTTCAAAATGAGTTCAATTGTACAAATGATGCATACTTACCTAGGTGAAGTAGTCTATTTGTGATTATATAACGTCAAAATGGTCTAATTTATGATATAAATCAGAGGATTCTGATCATGTAGAAAATGTAGTGATACACTAAATTACTGAGCGTCAGACAAATTCATACTAAAAAAATGTTCTTATTTTTTCAAGCAGTTGTTCAGTGCAAACAGCAAGTATAAAGATAATCACAGTATAATAGTACTTACTATAACAGGCTGGAGGTTACATAACATAAGTGAATTGAATATAAAGAACATGTTTAAATAAATCACAGGGCACGAATGGCAACATTTTGAAAACACATAAGACATGTAAGATCAAGTCATGCACATTCCAATAGCCCATTATAGCTAATTTAGCTTATATATTGGAGGACACACTTTTTTCGGTCAGGACTCACTTTTTAAAAAAATTTCCTTCATTGGGACTCACATTTTTCAGAGCCTAATGCAAGCGCTGAATACCAAAAGAAAGTATTTTTATACTTTCTGAAAAAGTATGCCATCTTAAAGTGAGTCATCTCAGCAACAGAATGTGATATCTTATTTGCGCACCAGTTGATCACAATGTTATCAATCAGTCGCCATATTTATCCCTCTTCATACTAAACATTGATTCACATTTAACCAAAAAATACAGGTGAGATAAAGATATACCTTGATAGCTTTATCACATTTGGGCAAAGACTCTTCTACATCATCCAAAAGAACTCCACCATAGCCTTTCAAGTCATGCTTTTGTAGTAGACGTAGCAATGCCTTCTTGTTTGGAATATTATACATTGGCTTGAATTTAAATTTCTCACCAGGAAGGCATTCTATTTTTGGATTGTTTTTTAAAGCCTGCAAGCAAAATAAAGGCGATGTAAATGACGAATGAGAGTCATACATTTATGTATTTGCCACATCAATTGATGTAAATAGGTCTAGCTTAAAACTTTTTAGCAAGTAGCTTTTAATTGTAAGCATGATGAAACTTTGGCAGGACTACCAATAAAAAGAATGTACAATGAATAAGACCATCGTTTTAATCCATATCTAATTCATTATACGTCTGGCCATTGTTGAAAACTTACCTCATTTTTTAACCAGAGTTTAGTGTTATGTCCCACATCAGTTTGATGTGTCTCATCCAATATCTCATCTATGTCTAGTTCATGTGTGTCTCCCTTCTGATGGCGGGTCTGCAATACAGAAATATAGCTATATAAAAAAAAGTAAAATCATGCCATCCTATCTCCAACATTGTCCATTGGTCATAAGTGGAAAACCCTTGATTCTCATTTTTGGAGATACAAAACCCAAGATAGATGACTGCTTCAAAGAAACAGTTCTAATAATAAATATATAAATAAGAAGTATTAGAAATAATAGAGAAATTATCATTTTACAAGTTTCTAATTTTTTTTCTCGTACAAATCATTTCAAAGCTAGATCCAAAGAAATATATCAAGAATATATATTTGCCACTTTTATTTGAGAGTACATCGTTCTGTCCCGGGACCTTAAATACATATATTGACATCCAGCAAGTTCCCCCTTATTTTGGCTATATGGTTTGAGGCATCATACCTTCATATAATTGACAATTTTAGCGAGTACTCCAAACTTGTACTGAGAGCTGCTACTCATAGATTTGTATGTTGTTGGCTTGCTGCTCAGTGGTTGCTTGGAGCTCATACCACCTCCCATCACCTCTGTAATAAAAGAACAATACTAGCATATATACAGTGTCATATATTTTTTAATTTTACGTGGGATAAGTGGTACCTATAGCACAGACCTGTTCAAGGATATTTTACTAAAATCACCAGTTTTTAAAGTACTAGTATATTTTCTCATCAACAGTTAACCCAAATTAATTTAAACTCTACATATGTAAAGGACACATCATCAGCTTTCCAAAAAATAAATTTGGTTGCCATAGCAACAGTGGTTTGACAATATAGTCAAAAAGCTCATTTTTACCCCCCAAAGATCAATTTGGTGAAAAATATTTTTTTCAAATAAATGTTAAAAGTGATAAAAACCATATTTATAAGTAATTTGATGGAAAATAAGGTATTTTAGGGTATTTAATAGAAAATCAATAAAAATAACTTTGACATTATATGCCCCTATTGTGGATGCATCATTTGGGATGATTTCTGGCCAAAGTCCTTGAACAGGTCTGTATAGCAGAATATAACTAATAAGATAGTGGATTTTAGTAGCATTCAACCAGTGATTTTCTTTATTCATTTTTATCAAAATATATTTTGAGGATTTTTGCAACTGTTTATATTTCAGAATTACTTTTTTCTATAATACTTCCAGATAAATTTCCTTTATTTTACATGTTGCCAGAAACTGCAATGAACAAAAATATGTAGAGTATGTTAAAGTTAGTCTAAGTCAGATAACAAATTGTACTGTTTTCAAGGATAAATGAATGAAAGGCTACTGATAGAAAATGTTTTCAACATTTCTTAGTCCAGTGAGTTGTATTACAAGATCATTTCTTATTAGTAATATGCTAATACAGTACATTGCTATTTGAAAATCTCAAATGTGTTCAGCTTTTCAAAGTAACATTTTCATAAATGTTATTTTTATCCAACTGATACTTATTTTATATCTTTGGCCCAACATACACATAAACGTTGCATAGTGATGGGTGATATTATGAAAATTTTATAATGGCATCAAACAAGGTAGGAAAGCTTTTATTTCTGGGATGGTTGGTTGTTGATATTGAGGAAAAAAGCAGGTAATATGTGAGCAGCTTGAGCATCACTTCTGCTCTGTTGAAATAAATTCTTATGAGTTATCTACTAACTTACCTAACCGGCCCCCTTTGCCCTTAGTAACTTCAGGTCCCTTGCGTCTTTTCTTTGCATTGCCATCATCTCCCTTGGATTTATTCTCCACAGAAGGTTGAGCCAAAGCTCGCTTTTTGAAAGCCTCTCTTTCTTTCAGCAAGGATGGATCCATAACCTGAAATTATAATAGAGTATTTTAATGAAATACAGCAGTAAAGAGACACCACACCAGAAAGGATTTGGGCATGGTGTTCTGTTTTAGTGGATTTTGAGTAGATGAGTAGATGAGAAACATGAAAGAAAGTTTAGCAGCTATCGCAAAAAGGATCAACTGATTGCAAAAATCTGTCACAAAAAAATAAAATTATCCTTCCTAGGCTTAGGCCAGGCTAAATAAACAAGTAAATGAGTTATATATATATCTTTTATTGACTCTCTGATGTCATTACAATGACATATTAGTCACTAAAAACTACCATCTACAAAACTGACCTAAGACTAAACTAACTATTGAATACAAAAATAAAGTTGTTGTCAAATACAATTCTAATTACATCATCAAATGTAAAATACAAGATAATTGTAAAATACAAATATAACTTGACAGAAATTTAAATATCAGTGTGATGCATCGTTGACACATTAATCCAATTTTTTGAGTGAATGATAGATGAACTTTGCTAAATGTAAAATTACATAAGAATTTTTGTTAGACATTAGTTTTTTAAAAATAATGTCAGGACTGCCTACAAAATTAAATCGTGTAAGGGTGTCAAACAAAATTTTTCTTTCTGTAGTGTTTTTCTTACAAATCATGATGAAGTGTTGTTCATCTTCTAAATTACCACAAATATTACATAAACGTTCATCTACAGGTTTTGGCTTTGGCTTTAAATGACGACCAAGTTCTATATGTAACTTGTGGGAACTAAGCCTAAATCTACAAATTGCTTGCCTGTAATTTTTATTTTGGATATTTAAATAACTCTCTCTTTCAAAGACATTTTTGAATTTAACATAAGTTCTCAAGACAGGGTAATTTAATATATCTTTGTTCCATTGAGTTTTATAATTCTGATACAGTGTTTTTGTTATTGTCTTGATAAAAATATTGTCATCATCAATCTTTTGAGTATCCCAATAAGATAATAAATCACACTTTTTTAAAATATCAATGACTTTGTTTGACCAAGTGCCTTTAAAACCAAATTGACTCATTTCACGGTCATATATATATGTTTTATGAAGAATGTTTCCTGGTGATAGGTGAAGTAAACGGAGCCAATATTTAATTAATTTGAGTTCAAAAGTTGTTATTTCACGTTTCTTTTTGATGATTTAGATATTTGTTATTTTAGATTTTTTCAACATTGGGACTAGGTGATTGCTATAGGCCAGATTGCAGGAAACACTTTCCTGGCCTGTCTGGGAAACTAAAGTCCTACACATCATTCTTAGTATATACTTTGATCATTAAAAAGGAATTATTAAAACTTACCTTAGACATGAGAACCGCTTAATAATTGACGATATGTAATGAATTTGAACACATTTCCAATATGGCGCCCTGGTGTGTGTATTGAATCCCATTGTAATAAATAATTATGATTTCGTTAAACATTACATTTAGACTACCGTCCAATTTCCATATTGGAAATGTGTTTGAAATACATAAATCACATTTCGCTAATTATCAAGCGTTTGAAGTGTTTAAGGTTACTAAGGGCGAAGGGGTGTAACGTCGACACCATTTTTGGGTAACTTCAACATGTGGGGTAACTTTGTCACCTTGTTGTTTATTTGCTCTAACTTCCAATCTAGGGAGAAACCATGTTTTTTTTCTCGCATGGATCGAGATCTCGAGAGATTTTAATTTTTCCTGAAATCAAACATCGCGGAAAAAAGAAATTCTACTTCCTAGTAAGTAAGTGTCGAAGTTACCCTTCTCATGTTGACATTACCCCACACGTTGACGTTACACCCCTTTGCCCTAAACACTTTAGTTTATAGTTGAAGCACACATTCTATTAATTCATCATTTTGTTTGCCAGGCCAGGAAAGCCTTTTGAGCAATTTATTCTGAACTAATCAACTAATCTGCTCGACCTTATGTTGAAAAAAGTCTAAAAAACTAATATCCAAAGCATCAAAAAGAAACATGAAATAACAACACTAGCCTACAGTAAAATTTAAAATGTTTGGAACTACTTTGAATTTAATAAATAAGCAATCAAATGACCATATTGAACAGTTTATATGTAAAAATAGAAACATTTATAGTCTACATGTCCTAACTTTTGTATATTTTAGTTTGTTTTGTAGTTTAGCTATCATATCTGTGGCCTTTTATATTTTGATACTTCTCTGCCATGTTATTTTCGGAAAAATAACATGGCTGAAACTCCCTAAATTACAAAATGCCACAGCTTTACTGCATATAATACATAACTATCTGAAATATACAAAAGTTAGGACAAGTACATATTTTTCAACATTTTAAATTTTACTGTACATTGGTTTGAGTTCACTTGCCTAGGCCTATAATAGATTTTTCTAGCCTAGATCTCTAGCCTAGATTAATTAAAATATTTAGAAAAAAGAAAAGAAAAAAATCAAAATCGAAAAATGAAATCTGCTCTACTTCACCGGTTTTGGCCAAATTCAATAAATTTATAATCAAATTATACGTCCAAAATATGAGTCCTTACTCACTGGATCTGTTCAAATCGTTTAAATCGCCTTGTAGTTGTAAATATTTGGATTATGTTTGAACCAAAATAAAAAATCTGAATCTGAAATCACTCAGCCATTTTTGTTAAGGCAAAATTACGAACGCTAAAATAACTTATTTTAGCTAACGATAAAAATACGATCTATCTAAGAGGCTAAATTTCAAAAGAGATACAAATTATTCACTTTTCTCTGTGTTTTAATATATTTGTCCAAAAGGTATGTCATACACGGCATAAAGTTACAATCTTAGCACCTCGTTTACTGCACGACCATCAACTAAATTTGAGATCGTTCGCAGTTATATTGGTGATCAACAAAGTTTACAAAAATAATGGTGAAATAATGTTGCACCATATTTAGGAAATGAGACTAAACAGAGCATACAGTAGATTTAAACCATAATGAACAGTAATAGGGCTATATGAATATATCAATTTCAGCGTAAAGCCTACCTTAACGAGAAGACAACATAATGGAAGCATTCAAGGTTCTCAAGTAAGTTTGTTCTTCTCAGACAACAATCAACCAAACTTGGGAATTCAGTACAATTTATAATAATGATGTATTGGAGGCCTAGTCCAATGGTTAAGTAGTGTAATGTAACACCCTAGATACTCTGTACTAGATATTAAAGGGAGTGTGCTAAATTCAATGCCCATATGGGAATCAAAGTAGACCCCCGATTATTGCTCGTGGCGCTAGCCACTACAGCTAGCGTGTAGCAACAACGTGGAATCGAGGATCATTTCACCATCCCCCTGAAGGAGGAAGTCCCATCGAGACCTATCTGTTGCAAGACTTATGCCTGGCGTAACCGTCACCATGTTATTCGGTGTTTTTTAAGTAGCGCAAGGATCCTGCCATGACCGTGATAATGTTATCGTGAAAGCCTGGTATAACCGCGACAATGCTGTATTATATTAAAATGCCTGCCATGACCGTGGTAGTGTAATCGTGTAAGCCTGGCGCGACCGTAACCTTTATATGACATTAATGACCTTCATGTTTCGCCCATTGCTGTTGGTATTTTTTATGGATAAATCTTATTAGTTGATCATTATAGAAAGTATATGCTTTCGAATCGAAGCTCCTTGAATGAGAGTAAAGATATAGTTTGTTCGCAAATTATTTGTGAGAAAAAATTATGTTTTCGTTGTGAAATTAATACACATTTTTAGTAGTCTTTATTTACATATTTAAGGTAGTTAAACACGAAGAAATTGTCATTACGGTGTTCTCATGCTACTTTAAATACAACCACGGTCATGAGAGGCCTTGCAACTATTGTCACGGTCATATCAGGCTTTAACCTTACCACGATCATGACAGGCTTTAACATTCTGACGGTCATGACAGGCCTTTCAATCATTATGACGGTCATATAATATATACGGCAATATAACATAACATTGTCACAGTCATGGCAGGCTTTACAAGCGTTGTCACGGTCATACCAGGCCTAACATTACCACGGTCATGACAGGCCTTGCAACCATTGTCACGGTCATACTGGGCTTTAACATTACCACGGTCATGAGAGGCCTTGCAACCATAATCACGGTCATACGGGGCTTTAACATTACCACGGTCATGACAGGCATTACAATATAATATAGCATTGTCACGGTCATGACAGGCCTTGCAAGCATTGTCACGGTCATATCAGCGGCTTTAACATTACCACGGTCATGACAGGCCTTGCAATATAATACAGCGTTGTCACGGTTATACCAGGCTTACAAAATAACACTGCCACGGTCATGGCAGGATCCTTGCGCTACTTAAAAAACAGCGAATAACATGGTGACGGTTACACCAGGCGTTAGTCTTGCAATAGATAGCATGTGGTCCCATCGTAACTGATACACAAGAGCAAATCCCACTTCTGGCACTAATGTAATGTTGCGACAACAATGTTCAGTTCGTTAGAGTAGATTTCATGGCCTGACTTCGTCGGTAGAACTTGAAAAATAAGATTTACCTGAAGATTAGGAGTCTTACTTACCCTCTAGAGGTTAGAACACACATTTTAATGAAACTCTATCACCTTTGTTGCGTCAACTATAGAGCATTTAGCACAATATCCAAGAGGTAAATTATGGATCGTGAAAATGAATGATTTCCTTGTAAGTTCCGGAAGTTTCAATACGATAAATTACCGAACATTTGTGAAAATTGAATCTTTGTTCGTTGATTTTATAATTTACATGTGCGTGTATTCGTCTACACTTTGGTCTATTATAAAGCATCACAAACAGGTCCTAGAATATTAATAGACTAATACAGCTGACGACCCATTCATACTTTCCGCGCAGCATTTCATTCAGACCAATAGTTCAACTGTAGATCATGCACCTTTTCTATCTTAGAACAGGCCATCCTCCTCTGCCCTGTCCTAAACTCGTCTGCAGAAGAGACCACAAAACATTATTTTCAAATACTTTTAATTATACATCAGACATGGTTGGATGATATGTCACAAAATTAAAGTTCAAGGTCAATACAGTATTTCGTGATAGAGGCAAAGCCGTTTCGGAAGTAAACACGAGGAAAATGGAAAAGTCCAAAAAGCATTATCACAAATTTCAATCAAGTACTGTGCTTATGCTTCATCATGAACAAAACATAGCTGATATGGTTTCATTAAAATGAGTGTTCTAACCTCTAGAGGGTAAGTAAGACTCCTAATCTTCAGAAAAATCTTATTTTACAAGTTCTACCGACAAAGTCAGGCCATGAAATCAACTCTACATTACATTATCACTCATTGAACTTTTGATTTAATTCTGTTATAAAAAGGATTTAAAGAGGCCTTGACAACTTGCTCTATAAGACTTATGGTCAAAATTTGTAAAATTACCCATAAAATCAGATCATTAATTGAATCATGCACCTGCGTGATCTGAGATATTATAGTGATTAAGTGTCAAGGGGATCTGACCAGTGGTTGGTTTGAAATATATTGCCAAACCTGAATGCCAAACTTTATGACTTTACATTTTAGTCCTTCCCAACACATCATTGAAGAAGATCTAATATCATCAGCTAATGATGCAGTTCAGGCACATGAACGTTTTCATCTTGCAATTCGTACAAAGAAACAGGCACCAGAAAAACCACATGGACTGGACACCTATGCTCAAAGTAAAGTAAATATATACCGTAACTGTAGTTAAATTTGTTAAGTCAGAGACATAAAATATATGTCTCTGGTTAAGTAATAAATAGATCAAAGAGTATATTGTAGTTATTTGAATTTGGCGCTATCATCCTATTTTCCCAAACATTTATTGAATGAGAATACAAGAATTAAGTCCCCAAATCATATAATAGCCTATACCAGATCGATCAAGTTTATCACTAACATTGGCATTAATAAGCAAGATGAGGTTTTACGATACCATGAGATTATTTCATGTAAAATTTGTGTAAAGTATTATTTAGATATTAAACAGTCAGTATATATGTAAATGTATATGATTTATGTATGGTTTAGTGGCAGCAAAATCTGGTGCGACTTTGGACAAACTCAGAGCCTTGAAGAGTGAAGTGGAAGGCACACATTATGACTATGTACCTACTACTGCCAATGAAGCAGCTCTTCAGGATTTGAAAACCCTGATGTTGATGCATATTCCTACCTCTGTAACTGAAGATGTCAGACAAAAATTTGAAAAGTTGATCTTATCAAGTTTGTCAGGTAGGGAATACCTCCAAGTGCTTGTTGGTCTACATACTTTTTAGCTAGCCCAAATCGTAAATGCTCATACTTTACATAAAGTGCATAAGAATAGGGATGCTGTGATGCTCAGATTTCCAACTTCACGAGAGGATTTTAATTTTGCCCCTCATCACCCATAGTATATGTATTTGTAGGTCACAAAAAGATTATATTTGGTTGCCTCATGACATGCCCATGGTACCAGTCCACTCAACCTGAGAGAGGACAACAGGCCAAACATAACATGATATTCATAGTATTTGTCAGTACAGATGAACAGTTCTTCTCAACAGCAAATCAGCATGTGAGAGATCAGAACCATGTCATTGATTTGGTATGTTTTCATTTTTTGGTTATTTACAATGGTTTTGTTCATTATTGAACAAAAATGTTTAAAGTATTTTGATTTACTCTTTTAAGGATGACCATTGTAAGGTTAAATCATGTAATGGTATTCTGGGCTGGCCTAAGCCATTGTTGCTACATGTACATATTTATCCATCTTTAAGTAGACAATCACCTTTTTATTTCCAGGGCTGGTTCCTTGCAGTTGAAATATTTCACTTTGCCCACTATCTCACCAAGGGAAAGATGCGTTTCATAGAAGCATTGCTAAGTTCTCGAGGTGCTACTGGATCTCTCCTGTACCAGACTGATGATTGGTCAACTCTAAAGAACAGTTCACTAATTGAAAAACTCCTTGGTGAGTTGTCCTGCTCCTTTGTTTCATCTTTGTCCAGTTTTTTAATAGGAATAATAAGTATAAATGTTTTTCATCTATTTCTTTGTGTGTTTCTTTTGTGAGACAAGGCTGTGTTCCAATCGATAGAATTAGCATTAATCACTTATTAAAACCCTTAAAGTCCCCGTCTAAAGTTTGAAAATATTTTTTTATCATTCATTTACTATTTGTCAGGACTTCAAAAGTGATTTTAGAGATTTTTGAACAAAAAACATTTTTTGAAAAAAAAGTTGTGAGCATTTCATTTCTTAAATATTCAAATTGAAATTTCTTAATCATCAAATATTTCTTAATGCATTTCAAAAAAGATTATCTTTTTAACACCAATGCAAAGATTGAACAAAAGACACACTATTTCAATAATAAAATGTCATATTTAATTGGCCACTTCAATGTTTTAGCTTATCAAAAATATTTTGAAACATTAGTGATGTCACTAAGGTAACAAAAACTTTTTGAAAAAAATTGAATTTTTTTTTTCGATGTCAATCTTTTCTTAATATGCTAGACTTTCATAAAAAAACAATGTTGATTGTCTAACCAGGTTTAAAGGAAGAATAAATTATGTTTTAGATATCATTGTACCATTGGTTTCTATGAGAACTAAAATTTTGAAATGCATTTTTCTCAGAACCATTTTCATGCACTGATAAGTTCATTTCTCGCTTGTTTATCAACCGATTTTCTTAATTTTTCGGCAAAAAACATGGGAGGATGAATGCTATGCATTGGTATGAATTGTGGCTAATTAGAAGATATGAGTGACCTCTAAAAGTTGGTTTTAAATAAATTCACAAATTTTGGAACAAAAAGTCTATCAAAAACCACTTTTTGAAATTTAAAAAAAAAGTTTCACATATCACACTTTGATAACATTGCGTAAGACTACAATATAAGCCAAAGTGGTTTAAACTTTACATGGGGCCTTTAATGACCAGAAATTTTGTGATTTAAGGTTTGAGGGGATTTCTTGAGCAGTGTAGAGGACAATCTATTGGGGGTGTGGCCAAGAAACGCAAGAATGGATCACTTGGCCTCAAAGATACAGCTACACAGTATGATCTCTGTGAATCTCTCAGGTAGTCGGTTATCTGGCCATATTGATCATGTGTTCAGTGAAGTTTCATAAATGATAAACTCAATGTACCACTTACAATGAATATAATTCAAACTAACAATAACCTCATATTTAAACATTTAAATATGTTGAACAGTACAATAATGATGTATCCAAGTACGATTTTCTCTTGATTCATTATACTCTTATTGATTAATATCAATTTTAAAATCTTCAGCATTAGTTTCTTGGGCCTTCAGGCATACTACAAAACACAATGTAGTGTATTGTAGTATATTGTACATACCTGCCTGTATGTTATGTACATATCCAGTGTAATGTTTCTAGGTTACTTCACTATGGTGTCTCTGCACTAACAGAGCATGTGTTACATACTTCATCGTTAGATAGAGACAAACTGCCTGAAGTTGGACAACAGGGGTTGGACCTCATTACTAGGCTCTACCAGGTAAGAGAAGGTCATTTTACATCTACACGCCTCTCTCACTTATGCACCATTCAAAAGTTTGCGTGAGACCCCCCCATGCGGGGAGGGTAAGGAATTTGAAACACAATATTGCCCCCAGGGATAGGAATTTGACGAAGATCCCGGGGTGAGGAATTTGATTTACATGTCATGTTCCTGGAAATGGGGATTTTTGACTGAATTTGTTTCATCCAGTATACACTTTAGGATTCTCTGGATTTGCAAATGATTTGTATATTCAGTGAACTAAAGATCCTTCATATCGGGAACAGAAGAAAGTAACTCATCTACACTTTGGGTATAGTTTCAGGGATGGAATTGCCGAGAATAACCGCTGGAGAGAGGTATTGTAGAATAAATCTGAGCAGTGTCGTAATTATTGGTTTGTCAAGAGCCCTGGCACCAGATAAGGTGGAAGGACCCGGAGGTCGCAAATATTTGACAAGATTTATTGCTCCAAGAGTACGGAAATTGACACATTTATTTGGCCCTGGGGTAAGGAATTAGACAGGCCAAATTTTTTTTGTCAAATTCCTCACCAATGCCCGCATGAGGGGATCTCAGGCAAACTTTTGAATGGTGCATTATATAAATACATTTACTCTTAGAAGGGAGATGGTCATTAAGGATTGTGGCAGGAGGAGCAGAGAATGCAAAAGAAGGAACAAATGAAGAATTAATTAATTCTTCTGTCAATTAGTGTAGTAAAAACCTTTACAATTGATCTATGAAATTGTTGACATTCAGGAATATTATTTTTTCCAAATTGATTGTTAAAGTGAACACTGCTTGGACAGGCTAATATCCATATTGAACAGTAATATAAGTTCACTTAAAGATGCAACAAACAATAGAGAATGTATTTGAAATTGTTTTGCAATTGTTTTAAATGATCAATTACTTCTATATTTGATCAAATATCTCAGTTCTTTTTCAGAAAATAAAAATAAGATTGTAAAGGAAACATAGGCATGTTTTTTGTAAAGAGGGATTAAAATCATACATGTATTTGTTTAAATATCTGACAATTGATTTGGTATTTGTGTGTAATTTTTTGTCAAAACCTTGAAACCATATTTGTCATGTTTATACATCTTTTGCAGGATGAGGATGTTACAAGACAAGATGTCTTCCAGTTAATTTTAAGATGGAAATCAGATTTAGATGAACTAATGAAAACTCACAAATTCACGAAGATAGAAAGTGTTGATGAATGCATCAGAGACTGGTTGATGCATGTCAGAGCTGGACCAAATCCAAGCTTTAGAAAGATTTGTAAGTGCATTGTACTGTCAAACATTTTATTCGAGCAGTTTTCACAAATTCTGAATTTCACAGGATTTTGGTCTGTGAGTTATTTAATATTTTATACTTTTATTTGTCCACAAATGAATCATGAAATCAATGATAAACCTGACTTTACATAGCTACATGTATTCCAAACCTACTAAAGTTCACGTTCATCGTTTTACTACAGTACATGTATTTGAATGATTGCATGGAAAAGATATTTCTGTATGTAGAATACAAGATACGCAATTTCCATCACATTCAGTAGATACAGTATGGCCATATGCTGTCAACTAGAATCTTACTAGGTATTAAATATATACTAATAACAACCTTTCAGGTGTAGAAAAGGGCCAGGAAGAGTACTTAGGGAGTCTAAAAAGGAAGGTAGGAGGACATGTAGAGGCAATGAAACCTGAACAGATTCTGATGGTGGCCCAAGCTGGGAGTAAACTCTATGATCTGGCTACACCTGATAGTGATGTTGACTTTGTTATCATATATGCTGAACCAATTGAAGTACGTATATGTTCACCGTGTTATAGAATAGAAGCTCTGTCCTCATTGGCATATTAATGAGAAAACCTATTAATTGGGAGTTGGTTAAGTCACTATTTTATGGATTTGCAAATATTATGACGAAATGAGAACATGATACATGCGCTCTTCACAATAAAAATAAAGCTGTCTCGTAAATGAGGCCTCTGCCACAAATACAGTCCAGGATCCCTTTCATATATCTAATATTTAGGTATGTTACAGTAACTGGTATTACTGGATTACTATTGTTATATGGTCTAACAAGCAAGAATCATGGTTATTGAATGACAATTTTATTTTTAGAAAATTTTAGGCACCTCTAAAAGATTGAATGAATGTGATGAAAGCCGTGGTCCGAAGAAGCAGTTTGAATATGGATCCTATGAGGCCAGACTGTTTTGTGAAATGTTACTCAAAGGCAGTGTAGTGATTCTAGAGGTAAATTTCCCCACTTAGACTCCTCACGTCGACTCTCTTACATGAAAATCTTGTAATTTTTAATTGATGAAAGGTTCATCTTGCAACAGTGTCAGTATTGGAAGACAAAAAAACATGAATGAAAAGTAGGACTAAAGCGATGAAAATTCATCTGGATCTACATTGTAGATTGAGTGATGTTATTACATGAAATTTCTGTTCCATTTGCAGCTTTTATTTGCTGATGATCTTGAATATACCAGTGCAGCCTGGAAGGTGAGATACAATTATGGAATGTCCTTAAAATGTTGACGAGGCTGGAAATACTTGGACTCTTGTTATGTACACAAGATTTTAGTCGTGACATTTTAATATTTCTAAACTTTACATGGGACCTTTAACCTAAAATTGACTGAAATGGAATGAATACCCATGTAGATTGTGCAGAGGCTGGAAATTCTTGGTCTGTTGTTATGTACATAACATTTTCGTAGTGAGAAATACTATATGATAGTTTATTGATATTTCTAAACTTTACATGGGACCTTTAACCTCAAATTGCCTTAAATGGAATGAATACCCATGTAGATTTTTGAGAGGCTGGAAATTCTTGGTCTTGTTATGTACAAACCATTTTAGTCGTGAGAAATATTACATGAACGATTTTTGAATATTTTTTGATTTACTTTGGGCCTTTAACCTAAAATTGGTGATTCTAGTTGATGATGTCATACAGTTTACGTCGTCTTTAAAAAGAGAAATAACAATTGACCTTGTCAATATACAGTATGCATTTCAAAGAAATATACTTGATTATAGGAGTTATCCTCCCACAAAGAACTATTTGTGACAGAGCGTGCCATTCTTCAATACTTTGGTCTCATCAAGAACAACATGATTATGATAGAGAATGAGAAACACAGGGGAACTAAACGTGAGGGAAAGCTATTCTACCAGGTAAGACTACTCCGATCTATAATTAACTGAACGAATGAAGTTCTTATCATATTTTCATTTGACATTAAGACCATTTGTTATGAATTAAGTGTACTCAGTGATATTGTTTCGTTGTAGATATTTCACAAGTTGAACAGTCTGGAGTATTTCTTGGCTGGTAAACCTCCTGTAGTCAAGTGTTCTGGTTCTGCAAGAGACTTCATCATGAGAATAAGGACAGGTCCTTTAGAGGTTTGTATATGATTAGTTAGTCAGTTAGATTAGAAACCATTATAAAAATGTACCACATAAAGTTTATTCAGGCCTGTAGCCAGGATTTGCCAACGGGGGGTTCAATTTTCAAAAAGTTCCAGGGGTGGTTCACATTTGACAATTTTGGCCCAAATATTGCTAAAATCACTTGAGAAGTGCTCAAAATGATGAGAAAATGCATGATTTTGAAAGAATTTTTGGCGAGGGGGGGGGGGGAGTTCGCCCGAACCCTGTGAACCCCCCCTGGCTACGGGCCTGTTATTTATGTCATGTGTTCATGAATCTCATAAAATTTAGCTGAAGTCAAAAATGGTATTTAAGATAAGCTTTCTTACAATTATGAATGGGAGTTACTCCGAATGTACATTTACATTGTATCAGTCAATTTTACTTTTTAATTGTTTCCAGGGTGACATCTCAAGGGAAAATCTATATACACTTGCTCAGGAGAAAATTCTAAATATGAGGACATCATTAGCTAACAGGACTAAACGATTGCCAGAAAATGGAGACTATAGGTATTTGACTAATTGGCTTATGAGTGTTAGAGGATGGAATCAAACATGAACACTGTAGATGCTCTTAGACACCGTCCTCACCTCACCATCATCAGCATGAACAATATAAAAAAAACACTAAAGAGTGTCACTGCCCTTCCCTGGTATTTAGCATACATTGTGAGCCATGGATGAGAAACAGACATGTAGGATAGAGTAAAAAGGCACTCCTCACAGTTTTTCATTTCTGCATAGGGCCTAGTGCCCATGGATTTTCAGAATCTTGATTTCTCATATGATGATACATGTGATATCAGCCTCACTTCTGATATTTAATGGTTTTTCAGTAGTAAAGTCTCCGAAATCCTGCAAAATTCACAAGAAATTGACCGTTGACTCTTTAATCCTGGTGCAGAATTCAATTCAACTGAGGGGAGTGAAAATGAACATTATGCCTATGCTTTTGTAGCATGAGGAGTACATGTATACCTGTTTATCCAAGATAAGGTCAGTTCATCTGACATATAAGGGAAATATGGAAGTATTCATAGACTCACAGCAATTGATCAAGTCACATAGACCTAAAATACACTTAGCATTGATTTGCTACATACCCGGGGCTACATATTAAGTTCTAAAATTGTCTTTTCTCTAAACTTAGTAAACGTAAGGTGCAATCTAATCAACAGAAATGTATTTAGAAACTATATTTTTTTTATTGATTTTACACATACAGTAGTCCGTATGTAAATAATTTAAATTCTATTTATTACTATAGACTCTGGCCTAATGTACAAAATAAATAATATAACTACGTAATACACACTATACATGTGATTTTATGGCCAAATACATGATAAATTATTACATGTTCCATAAGTGTTTGTAAATGAACACAAAATAAATAGAAATGATATTAATAAATATTACACTTTTTTACAGTCAATGGTATTTCATTTCTTGAATACATATTTTACAAATACAAATGTACAACTTCAACTTCATAAAAATGAAGGCATGAAAGCAAAGCACATACAATATGGTAGCTGCTAGCCTTAGTTTTGTTTTGATTACTAGAACATCCAGTATAACAGAATAAGAACATGTATATGGCAAAGCAGATGTCAAAGTCAGCTTATATAAAAACACAAACCATATTCAGAATGATGTGATTATATGTTCAAAATATGCAACGTGTTGAAAGCACCTAAAAGTTGATAAAGCGAGTATATATAGACTTAAGTCAAATTTTCCATTCCAGTCAAATAACTGATCCATTCTCAAACGTTTGGTACATGACGTGATCAATTGGCTACACGTATACAGTGGTATAAAATGCCTTTTGTAACAATATGTACACTTTGTAATAGGCATTTAAAAATGCTTTAAATAAATATGCTTTGATATTCCACTTTGATTAAAAATTATTTCATTCTCAGATCTACAGATGTCATGTCTAAATAGCAAATATATCCTGGCAAGAAACATTATCATATTTAGGGTCATTGTGTAAAACAGACTCCAATCCTCTTATATGCTATTACTCTTGGATTATGTATTCTGGAGGAGGGATTTATGCTTCATTAAATTGAATTCATGACTAACTGATAATCACAATGATTCACATGATAAAAAATACCCATGTACTATGACTCCAAAATATGAACTAAAAATCAGTTGACTCCTAAAGGAGTGTTCAGGTGCCACAGTAAAATTCATATTACGTCCATAAATACTGAGATCGCTGCTCCCACAATAAATAGAAGAATGTCATAGCACCATTCAGTATTGCCATAATGTAGCTGCTATGGAATGTATGACCAGATAAAGCCCTGGAAATATAAGATATATACAAACATAAAAATTTTGAATAGATGGTACAATATATGGTGCAGTATATGCAATAACTCACTGGCGGATCTGGGGGATTACTGGTCAAATAAAGTTATAGGATGAAATCAGGGGCCCAAAATTTCAAATGTGGGGCACCATGCATGCATTAAAAGTTAAATATAGACTTAATTTCTGGGGGATGAACTTTTAGCAAATCAAAATTACAATTAAATATCGAAAATTGTGACCTACATGTAAGATCATATTAGTGATAGAAGATGGGACCTGAATAGAACTGCATGTAATTCAGTCTTTTGTCAGTCGAAACAGGATGTTAAACAACCAACTAACATTGAGTGGCATTAGCCATTAAAATATGGATGATTTCAAAACAAATGAGGTATGATAAAGGAAAATAGAGCCTCAAAGTGCGTTCCTTAATCTGTTGATAAAAAGAAGAAGAATGTCATTTGGCCTAAGGTTCCAATACACCATTGGATAGGTAAGAGTTTCAATCATAATTTTTCAATCTCAATTTTTTTTGTCAATTACTTTCTATTTTCAATCTAAATGTCCTTAATGACATATTTAGTGTTCTAAGCAACCTAACAGTATAAAATTAGGATGTTTGACCTTTATGGTTATTTTAGCATTTTCTCTATGAAGTTAACACCTAAAAATTGTGAAAACAATGTTAATTTTATCAGAAACAAGTCAAATTCTTTACTTCAGAGAATATTTTTACCAGAGATGAACTTACATAGAACTAATGTTAATTTTGTATATTATACAGGTAACACAATACATTTTACTTAATGTAAATGAATTATTAAAGCCCCTGTCTATAGTTTGAAAATATTTTTTTATCATTCATTTACTAGGCTATTTGTCAGGACTTAAAAAGTGATTTTAGAGATTTTTTCAAAAAAAGTTGTGAGCATTTCATTTCTCAAATATTCAAATTCCCCGCCATTTTTCAAAAAAAGTTGAAATTTCTTAATCATCAAATATTTCCTAATGCATTTCAAAAAAGATTATCTTTTTAACACCAATGCAAAGATTGAACAAAGGACACACTATTTCAATAACAAAATGCCATATTTGATGGGCTACTTCAATGTTTTAGCATATCAAAAATATTTTGAAACATTAGTGATGTCACTAAGGTCAATCTTTTCTAAATATGCTAGACTTTCATAAAAAACCAATGTTGATTGTCTAACCAGGTTAAAAGGAAGAATAAATTATGTTTTAGATATCATTGTACCATTGGTTTCTACGCGAACTAAAATTTTGAAATGCATTTTTCTCAGAACCATTTTCATGCACTTATAAGTTCATTTCTAGCTTATTTATGAACTGATTTTCTGATTTTTTCGGCAAAAAACATGGGAGGATAAGTGCTATGCATATGAATTGTGGCTAATTAAAAGATATGAGTGACCTCTAAAAGTTGGTTTTAAATAAATTCACAAATTTTGGAACAAAAAGTCTATCAAAAACCACTTTTTGAAATTTAAAAAAAAAGTTTCACATATCACACTTTGATAACATTGGGTAAGACTACAATATAAGCCAAAGTGGTTTAAACTTTATATGGGGCCTTTAATGATTCCCTGAAGTATACTAAATTCGAATTTGTTTTGTTTCACCAAGTGCATGCTTAACCTACCTATATTTCCTAGGTGACAAGGGTGATGGAGGACAAATCCCTGGTTTTAAACTGTCAAAGTAGGTCACTGTGACCCCAATATAACATATTCCTAATCCAGCAAGGAATGACTGCAGTACATGCCATAGGAGGTCTGGAATATCAGAATAGTCAATCAAAATCATATTTTTATTTTATTTGTAAGGCTGCTTGATAAAATGAAGTCGCATTGATGCTAAAGCAATTTCAATTAAAAGTTTTAAATGTCATGTGTTCAAAATAAATTTAAAATTTCATAAATAATCAGGTATAATATATACATGCACATAAACTTTGGGTTCAACTAATATTCAATACTTACACATTCTTATGAATGGATAAAATATTCATATATTCCCTGATGAGTGACTTAAATTGACTAATAACTATTTTATATTTTCATTTGATATTTTGGTGTCTGATTCATAAATAAACCTTTGAACCTTTCTATGTTTAACTGTATGTGAATATACAATATGTCAAATTGAAATACAATTACAATTTATTGTAATTTTGTCATTGAAATATTGTAAGTTCAATATTAAAAAATAAGTCTGCACATATAAAAATACTTTCGATCTAGTTACTTTGACTTCAGGGTAAAATGCTGTGTGGGTATGTGCTCTTTAATGAACTTAATTGATTGAGCAGTGACCTCACATTTCTACATGATACAATGTGTTTTGTGACAACCATTTGGCACCCAAGCTTTGGCAACTGAATTATTAGATACATACTGGAATATATAAACACCATGTACACTCAGTGTCAATGTATATTGTTCATGTATGAAATAGACAGCATAATTACAAGGAATTCAAACCATCCCCTCCCCAATACTTGACTAGCGTTATTAAATGATTGTGTAATTTTCTTGGTATTGAGCAATGTTAATTTGAATAATGCTTTGCCTGGTAATGAGGGTGGGGCATTAGTAAGTCACTAAAATGGCCTTAAAATAATGCAGGATCTGACTTTCTGTTAAAATAAGCAATCCTTAGTCAGTATATTTCTATAGGATCTTCTAAATAGCACTGGACATGTAAATCTGAAATCAATCTAAAACCAATTACAAACCAATCACTCCCCTAATTTGTTATCTAGTAATCTAATCTTGTAATATATTGCTAGGTTAGCTGTATATAATATAAAGAACCCATTTTATAGTTAATAATCAGATTCCCTGCTATCTAATACAGGTAAATCTACACTATGTAGCTGCAGATATTGTGAAGTACTAGACATTTTGGAGTCTTCAGCTACCAGAGTTATCTTTTGTAATCTTATCTACTGTCAAATAGGTGAAATTAAATACTACTTTTAAGACTACTTTTTTAACACTCTGATATTATGGAAGTACATTATGTATTAGTTAAGCCCATACGATTCACTCTGTTTTTGACTCAGTGGATCTAAAAATAACATTTAGCCAAAATGAGTAGGAAGGAACGATAAGTGGAAAATCATGGAATTTAAATCAGACTTATGGTACTTTCCTTTTCCAAATGCCAAAGGCATACATATCCCTAATACCGATGTGTAAACAAGACATCTTGTAACTTTAATATTTATGCTGTTCTGTATTTTTATTCCTTTTTACATATTTTTCTATGAAAAAAAAGTAATTAAAAAAACTGCTAAAGAGAATCAACAGGGCAAGATAGTTCTTGTTTGCTTTCAATATCTCATACAGAATATAGAAATATTTAAAATCATCAATAACTGCATTATTTGATGAGAGATCATGAATCCTTTTAAGATTATATTTTGATAGTAAAATTGGTTAGAACATCTTGCTTACAAGATGTTGCTTACAATTGAGTTACTGTCTATATCACTATTACAGCTTTATTAATCATATGACTTCACATCTCAAAATGAATGTAGATTCATACATGTAGGATCAACAGAGTACCAAAGAAAATTAGAGGAAATTCTATATGGTATGACTAATCACCCAAGCATTAAAAAACAAACTATAAAGTAGTTGAAACCCTACTCCTTGTTTAGCCCAGCCCAGCAACATTGATAAAACTCTGCACTTCATGAACATATACAATACATATTTTTAACTTACCATATACTGAAAGTTTAGCACCATTGATGAAGAATAGAGTAAAATCTCCAGTCAGATTTTCTACTTGCACCATTTCTCTGAGATATGAGTCACTAAATGCATCTGGTGGTATTGCTGCAACAAATGCCAATTTCAGATTATGCCTTTGAAAACTGCAGTTGAAAGCTGTTCAATGAAATGTGGTTACAATAAAACCCATCAGATGGAACACCTCTTTATTTTTTTAGTTCTGGACTTTTTGACCTTGTTTCATCCCTAGTCCTTATATTTTCTAAGATTCATATTTCAACCAAGAAAAGATTTTTTAACATTCATGTTTTTTTCATTAAATGTAAGAGAACTATTGGAACTTTGAATCTTGAAATACCATTTGATCAGATATGTTGATCTTTGGGATACATTTGAGGTGGAAAGGAAGGAACACATGCTACTGTTCTGAGAAAATCCATTTCTCTCAGTTTTTTTATTACACTGATGGTTTGGGTAGATGTTCAGGACAATGTTGTGCCTGTGCTCTATATCTGAGTCTGATGAGGCTTTTAAGCACAGGCCCTGGAAGAAGATTTAAATCCCCCCTCCACTTAGTGTATAATGTAAGAAAAATACCTTATACATACATGCAGTGAGTGGGAGGGGATGAACTCATGTGTCTGTGCTTTTAAGATTAACCAGCATTTTCCTGTTACAGTAACTAGTGAATCTGGGGGGGGGGGGAGGGACCTCATCCCCGAGCAGGGGCCCGAAATATTTTGTTAAGATTCCAATTAGTGGGCCTTTTTCAAAATTTGGGCCCAATGGTTGGTTTTAGGAGCCAAAATCAAAAGCTGAACTTTTTAAAATTTGAAATGTGGGCAGTGAGCACCCACAGGCATAGCCACCAGTACGCCTGGTTCATACAGGTGTACAGATGTTTGCAAATACACTCCAAATACAATCAAACTTCAAAATTTTCTGGGGAAAAAACCCCTTAGACGCCCCTGAACACTCATTTTTCCCCCTTTTCTTCGCTAAACTACAGTGGTGGCGTACTACTCATAAAAATAGGGCTACGCCTATGGCAGTGGCACCCTTCATAGATCCGGCCTTGCCAGTCATTCCCATATTTACACTTGTTCTTTTTGTCTGATGTTCCATCCTAGTGAATGAAAAGTCAGATTCATAATGTACAAGGCCTCCATGATAGTGTACATGTACAAATACATGTACATGTACATCATGCACATTTGTCTTCTTCTATCTTCATCTTCTAGATCAATAGAGCAAGCCACACATTCAAATAAACTACTCTTCTTACCTAACATAACAATGCAGATCTTTAGTAACAGCACCAATAAAATGATTGCTTTCCAAGGGACACTTTCCTCTGTAAATGTAGATGTACATGGTTGGCACTTGTCAGTTCTCCTATTTGAGTTTTGTAAATATTCCGAAGTTTCAGAACCCTGTAACTCCCCATTTAATCTGGCTTTTCCTTCACCGAATATGGATACTTCATCACTAAATAGTACTCTCTTTGTATCGCCAGTTTGACTTCGTTTCATTCTAATCGTGATCCATAAGCATTGAAAATCCAGAGCCACCAAATGATGCTTTTATCAAAATTTCTTTGTTGATATTTTCATAAGTAGGTCAAGGTCAACGATAGCTTTCTGGGTGTGACATGAAACGATGATTATGATTGGTTAATTGAACAAATCTTATTTTTGGTATTAGTCTGTTTTCTGTAGGTACAGTCTATAAATGATGTAACACATGTTTTTGTGTACTCTATTTATATCAAATTATGTACCAATGGAACAATTGTAATCAATTTATGATAAGATAATTTGAAACAGCGCTGAACGAAATACCGCAAATATTCTCACTTGACCAATCAAAGAACGTCTTACTAATTTCATTACGGAAGTAGAATCTAGTTACAAGAAAGCCAAGCATGGTAAGATTTCGTTGTTTTTGTCATAAAGTATAGGTTATCTTGCGAACATCGTAATGGAATTAGTACTGTTGTGGAAACTGCCTTGTATGTTAGATGTTGGCCTTGTTTGCTGAAAGATTTCAACCGAGAGGATCTCTCAAATGTTGATAATTTTTCATATTTCGCCCATTTTTTTCTTTTTTTGTAGGCCTAGGTATTTTAATTTTTTTTATTAGGCACTAGATCTAGTCTTTCAAACATGTAAGAAAAGAAAGTAAGATAAGATACACAGTGGCTTGTAGGCTTATGTAGCCTTACCTTCTTCTAAGGCCACTAATCATATATCGTGGCCTTCCAAAGATAAATCCCTAGACTGTATCCTTCGTCTGAATAAATATTCAGACTGTAAGTCACCTATTGTAAAATGTGGTGTTGTATAAATGTTACAAATAAGTTTGTTTAATGATAAAATGATTACCTTATAAAGAACTTACTTTATTATTTTTTCGTATATTGTCCTCTTACTGAAGATATTCATAAAATGTACAGACGCTTCTTGTAGCGAAGCCATTGATTAGGTCAAGCCATTTTGGCAATGCCAATTCTCACGATAAACGAGATTTAGCCAGTGACGTCAGTCTATTTGTAAACAATAACACGTGGAGCGGACGGAGCAACATTACGGAAGCGTATTGATAAATTCCATTTGTGCGGGAATTTATTAGATCTAGTCATTTATTATCATTATCCCGATTAATTTTCTTCATTTATAGTAAATAGAGCGGAAATATTCATGAAGAAGGCCGAGGTAATCAAGTGGCCATGTGTTGTCAAAATTCAAAAATTTGCATATCTCGTTTGGATCTCGTGAACTCAAACGTCCTTGACATTGATTTCGCGATATACTTATGAACACATCCTGAAGATTTGGTGAGTCTGAACATTTCATTATTTTATATCAACTTGTACCCGCCTTATACAAATATTTTTGCTTGTAGTTTAAGATGAACATCTCTTCAACATATTCACCAATTTTCAAGGTGAACATTCTTGTAATAAACGAGAAATTTATGTGCAAAAAATATCACCGCGATTTCCACAGGAAATATATCAATCATAACAGACCGAATATTATATTTGGTCTGTTGGATACATACTAGATAAATCCCTGCATGTTTCTTACTGCTGTAGATCCACGGATAGTGGGAAGTCCTCCATATATTACTTATATTATATACACCAGGTAACGCAGCTTCCATCCAAAATAAAAAATATGTATTTTTAAAATAAATTATTTGTCTAGTTTTCGTTAAACAAATATCCTGAGACACATAGGGCCTGTAGAACACTAAACAGAAAAATAAAAAAAATATTCATACCTCCAAATCTGCTTTATTGGTCAGATAATGCACCAAATCATAATGGTTGTTCAAAATAAAAATTTAAGGGGACGGAGCGCCTTATCTCGCGAGAATAAAGCAAATCACGCGAAGGCGCGCATGCGCACAATGGTACCCGGAAACATGGCTCAGTTTGTGAATTTACCACAGGAAAATGTCAAGGATTTAGTTGCCGCTGGTCATAATGTTTGCATTGTAGGTCAAGCAGGAACTGCTAAGACAACTCTTCTTCGAGAAGTACTTTATGATGCCGGAAAAAAGGTAGAAAACGCAATAGTGTTCCCAAAAATTTTCGCGGGTTTTTTATGACACATGCGCAGTAGAAATTGTCAATTTACTGAGCGGATCTTTCAATGGCCTGGAGAAATTTTACTCACGAGAATTGATGATTACTGAACACATATAGGCATAAGAGGTGAGCGACCCAGTTATTTTTGCGTATATATGTTTCAAGAATAGCATGATATCAAATAATCTGTACATTATGCTAAGATTCATTCAAAAATTGAATCTAGAGGACAGGTGACCATATTTTTTTCATATTTTTTTAATTTTCACTAACATTACCTGGTGTATATAATATAAGTAATATATGGAGGACTTCCCACTATCTGTGTGTAGATCTATATTGTTCATGTCGTAATCATAAAATTTGAGATCAAATGTTCGCCATTTTTCCACATCACAATTTAAATTGCAAGTTGTGGTCTTATTACCTCACCAGAAAGTCCAAAACACACAGTAAAAGACAGATGATGTGAAACACATTCCTCTGGCTGAATAGTGAATAACTGTCAAGAATAACCTTGGTTGTTGGACTTACAAGATACTGGCTTCATTTTGCCAAAAACTGTCAAATTTTTACTGTACCAATACATGTGTGATCTTGTGTGACGTATCAATATTCTGTGGTAAAAAAAAAATTGCCAAGGGATAAAATTTCTTAAAGACTAACATTTAACCAATACTGTACTGTAAAATTGTGAAATGTGTGTTCACCATGTAACTGTATTGTAATTGTTTTTTGCAATTGCTTTAACATGTTTTTTCTTTGAAATTAAAAAAAATTAAAAATAAATTATTCGGTAGGTTTTATAAGAACACATCTATGTATGTACAGTTGACCATTATGGAGTATGTTTTTTGTTTTAGTCATCAAACAACCAAGGGCCTGGCCCTGGTGGACCTGGTGGGCCTGGTGGCCCAGGGGGACCTCCTCCGATGATGGGAGGGAATAGACCTCCTGGAATGCCTCCTTATGGGGTAAGTGAGTCATGTAATAGTTGGATGTAAAAGTATGAAACAACATTAAAACCTGTCTCTTGTGAATGCTGCTATTACCAGCAAAGACTAAGAGTGTTCTCATTTTGATGTTAATTTGATTCAGAAGTATATCCCAAACATGCACCTTAAAAAGTGTAACAAAATGTAAGGTATTTACTTAATAAGCTATGAAGGGAGGTGTTAACATGTTACTATCTTAAGGGATTGAAACTCTTTTAGTCAAGTTAATATTTTAACCAATTATTGCTTGATGTAATTTATTTTAATTCTGTTCAGAATACAGATGCATTTCCATCAGTCTACCCAAGTCTACTTCAAATATTATCTCATTTTTACAATTTCAGATGAACCCTAACCAAGGCCCCCCTCAAGGAAACTGGGGACCACCCCCAGGAATGGGAGGACCAGGGAACATGCCCCCTAGGAATATGCCCCCGCCAGGATTCATGCCCCCACCTGGTATGCCACCCCCTGGGATGGGGATGAATATGCCCCCGGGTGGAATGCCACCATATCAAGGTCCACCTGGTAAGAACCATAATTTCAAGAAATTGAAAACACAAATGTCATACAGAAGAATAAAGTAAAATGCAATCCAGCAAGTGTCAGTTTATTAACATGTTGACCAAAATTTTTATGAGTTCATGACCATTTACCTCACATACTTAAATATGTACATTCATTAGTATAGCTTATATCTTTAATGTGACAATTTTCAAATCTAATCAAATCATGCAAAATGTACATTGACCACTCACATATAAGATGAGGCCAAGCATGCTCTGAACTAAACAACATATGTTTCAATAAACATTTGTGTCCACATTACAGGAGGGAATATGAACAATCAGATGGGGGGACCAGTCAGACCACAGGCACCTGCTACTGACAAACCCGCTGAAAAGGTACACATGATAAACCTACACCAGTGTTCTCTTTAGGAGCTGTTATTTATAAACCAGGGGGTCATGACCAACACATTTCTAAAAATGTATCAATTGTATTAATCATGGCTTAGAAATGGTAATGACCCAGTGCAATAAGTCTTTTTTCACAATTTGATATTCAACCAAGAAATGCGCCCAGTAAGATAATACTTGAGAGATCACTGTACCTTTATTTAAATGCTACATTGGGTTGTCTATAACATGTTGAAATAATTTACTGACCACACATTGTATAGATATAGAAAGAACAATATTGCCAAAGATATGTGCTTTATTTACATTTCCTTTGATTTGAATTGAAATTTTGAATAGTTAAATGTTCATTTCATTAGTTTTATTGTCTTTTGCTTTGTTGTGTATATTATTTCATGTACAATAAAGCCCTGGGCAGACTGACATACAAGCTAGGGCTCCAGTTGGGTGAACATACTTTTACAATGTTGTCATTTTTATGATTCATATAGTCTATATCTTATCTATATTATGTTGTATTTAGAAAACACCTTGGACAGAGCACAAGGCACCAGATGGAAGGACATATTTTTACAATTCAGTCACAAAAGTCTCAAAGTGGGAGAAACCAGATGAGATGAAATCAGATTCAGAGGTCAGTCAATTCACTCTTTAACAAAATATCAATAGGACACAATCGATATTAAATTAATTAAATAAAAGTATCTGATCTTTTTTTAGACAAAAGAGCTGTATTGCAATAATGAATCTTTTGAAGTGAAGCCTTGGTGAAATCATGGGCTTTCAAAAGTTTCTTGAAAGCCCATGGTGAAATACAAATCCTTTTTTGTCAGGTGAAAAAATCTAAGTAGTAGATGGCTGACCTTTCTTCCTTGACATTAATTGCATCTTAGAACTTCCCATGCCTTCATGTAATATAAATGTATTATATGATTGCAGGTTGCAGTTCCTAAATGCCCCTGGAAGGAACACAAAAGCGACACTGGGAAGGTCTACTACCACAACCATGTCACTAAAGAGTCTAGGTGGACCAAACCTAAAGAACTAGAGGATTTTGAAGGTAAGGCATATAGGTGGAGTAAAAGAATTCAGTATGTTGATTTGTTGATTGCTGAGGTTTGTTTCACCAAGCTGCAATCAGATCCAAAGATTCTGGTTTTGTACCCTCTAAATGTAATGTCTGAATTGACAAGTTTTATAACTACAATACTGAACTTCTGGAATGGAGACTTTAACCCTAGGTTCCTTAAACCCTTGTTTAGTGATGGTGTCCCTTGTTTAGGGATGGTGTCCAAATATCAACAGTTGTGAAACAACACTTTTAGTTAAAAGAAAAATGAGAAGAGCAATCAGTTAAATTCATCAGGAACCACACAAGTTTAAACATTAAAGTTGCCAACTCAGAAAAATTCAGAAAACAGTTTCTGGCAAGGCAAGTTGCAATTGTATATCGATTAGTCATGTATTTTCAAATGTTATTGCACAAGACCCAGGTTAACTATCCATAGTTATCCATCTCTAGAAATCATTCTAGATCATAACTTTTTTTGTGTTACAGCAGGTAAAACAGGAAGTGAGGTTAAGAAAGTTGAGCCATCCACTGCAGGAGGGACAGCTCTCCCTAAACAATCCTCTAAACCATCAGATGCCATCCAAGCCGCAATGGCAGCCACTCTAGCCTCGATCTCACTCCCCCCTCCACCAACCAAAGCTGAGGTAAAAGTGGAAAGTTCAGAAGAAAGGTCTGTTGAATTTCCTGAATTTATCAATTTTGTTGTAAAGTCATCAATATAGATTATGACCTTCAATTATATCAGTATTTTTAAAACACTTTTTTACCACTTCAAAAGTTTGTATTCACATCGTTAAAAGAGAGCTCCATCTTAACTCTCTTTCAATAAAAAATAAGTAATCCCATTTTCTACCCAATATTTTCCATACCCAATCAGATTAGGTTGATCAATTTTCAGCTGCCCAATCAGAATTGCAGTCATTTCATTTTTGCATTCATTAAATAGCTGGTATTTATTCAAACTCCTATGAAAGGCCATGACAGGTCTTTTGAAGACAGGGGTCCACATCCACTTGTATTCTCGCATTCTAAATTATACTCCAGCTCAAGTGAGGAAGAAGAACCGCCACCTAAGAAGGAATATGTTTACAAGAACAAGAAGGAAGCAATAGAGGGCTTCAAGTCTCTCTTAAGAGATAAGGTAGACAATTCTGTAGTTGATATTGAGATTTATCCAACTTTCTGATATGTTGTCTCTCTGATGTACATATTTGACAGCATTTTAAGTTAATTTTATTTTATAAAATTGAATGACAATGTTAGATATTTTTAGCTGAGGGGCAACACTTTATTACATCTACTGTACATTTAGTTCATATATGTTTCAATTGATTCAATAGGGTGTCACAAGCAACACAACATGGGAAAATGCCATGAAACTGATCATCAACGACCCACGTTATGGTGCCCTGAAACATCTTAATGAGAAGAAACAAGCATTCAATGCATATAAAACACAAAAAGCCAAGGAGGAAAAGGTAGGTCATTGTTTTCTGATTTTAGTTTTCGTATAATATATTTGTAGGTAGGATCTTAGGATTTCAAGAGATTTCCGATTTTGTACTTAGTATAAAAAAGTATAGAAATAGACACAGATAGACACAGATCTGATATTGACTTGGATAAACAGCTTAAATGAGTTAAAACCAGAGATGTTATAATAAAAAGATGCAAAATGTTAAAATGCTGAGTGTTTTTTGAGATTCATACCTGTCCAATGTATGATTTTTTGCAATTTGTTATAGGAAGAGAATAGGTTGAAGGCAAAGAAAGCTAAAGAGACACTTGAGGAATACCTTCTTAATCATGATAAAATGAATTCAACAGTAAAATACAGGTAACAAATGAGATTTAGAAACTTGATATTATTTTCTGTTGTCATAAGAGAAAATTAATAATATTCACACAATGGTGATTCAGAATCTGTTCAAATTCAATGGTAGAAAAAGTTATATTTTGTATGTGGTGATGCTATAAAAAACGATGTGGTAAAATCAGAAGTCCCTCAAAAATAATGATGATTTTGAAAAAAAAAATATGTGGTACTTTTAAATTGAGTGGGGTAACTTTGGTCAGAGTAGTTTTATACCACTCAATGCTTCCTTATGTAAAACACTGTAATTGAATATATGAAACATGAAGATAATTCAGATGAATATTCTTTTCAGGAAAGCCGAACAGATATTTGCTGATGATGCAGAATGGCAAGAAGTTCCTGATAGAGATCGCAGAGACCTCTATGAGGATGTCGTCCACCTCTTAGCAAAGCGTGAGAAGGTAAGCATATAATTACCCGGTGATGTTGTATGCTTTAAACATTTTTATCCCATCGAATGTATATAACCCCTTTGCTGTGATCTCTTTGGGATTTTTTCCTTAAAGGGACAATCAGAGCTACAGTTGATGACAATTTTTGAAGTAGGTTCACCATAAACAGATTGATCTTCAAAACTACACACATTTGACAAGTATTAAAGCGAACCGACTCTCACAATTGCATTTCTCATTCTAGGAGGAAACCAAAGCATTAAGAAAGCGCAACATCAAGGTGTTCAATGAAATATTAGACAATATGGCTAACTTGACGTTTAAAACCACATGGTCTGAGGCTCAGCAGATGTTATTGGACAACCCTCGTTTCACAGAAGATCCTGACCTACCAAGTAATTGACCTCAGTATTTTAATTTCTTTGAAATGTCGAAGCCAAGACATGCTTGTGTGCCAAATTTCAAAATTTTCAAATCAAGTAATGCAACGTAAAATAAACAATATTGCGACTCATATCGTATCACAAAAATTAACAAGATCTTTTCAACACTGCTAATTCCTTGCATAAAACAGCTTCATTTCATCACAAAATAAAGAATGCAATATAACATTTAAATCTCCATTGAATGATAAATGTTGCAGACATGGACAAAGAAGATGCTTTGATTTGCTTTGAGGAGCACATACGTATGTTGGAACAGGAATGTGACGATGAGAAAGAGCGTGAAAGACGTCGCTTAAAACGTCAGCAGCGTAAGAATCGTGAGGGTTTCCTCGTATTACTAGATGAGTTACATGACCAGGGAAAATTACATTCCATGTCTCTGTGGATGGACCTCTACTATACTGTCAGCCAAGATGTCAGGTTTCACAATATGCTGGGACAACCAGGTTAGAATCTGGACAATATCATTCTAAGTCAGGTGTTACATAAGCACTGGCACTGATTCAGTTTCAAGCATGTAAAGGAAAAAACATTGAAGTGGTTAAAAATTTATGGCACACCCTGTTTTGAGTAATTTTAATGGATGCAGGCATTGGGTATTTCTGTTTGAATCATAATTCACCCTTTTCTATTTTGTTTGGTTATTCTCATTTTAGGGAAAAGATTGACTTTTTGCCACATCATAATTAAAAGTACCTTGGGAAATTGACAAAATAAATTCTTATCCATTGATAAGAAATCTTTGACGAAAATCTGTATAAATGGTAAAATATTTGAAACATGCTGTACTATAAAACTTTACTGCCCTGTTTCAGGTTCAACACCCTTGGACCTTTTCAAGTTCTATGTTGAGGATCTCAAAGCACGATTCCATGATGAGAAGAAAATGGTGAAAGAAATCCTGAAGGTTTGTTTACTCTTAAAAAACTGAGCTCAATACTAAAACAGTTTTTACAATTTCATAATCAATTGTTATAACCATGAATATCATGACATCGTAGCAAGGGGCAAGCAAAAGACTATTTTGCTGTTTGAATCAAGATTTGGTCAAGATTAATGACACATGAAAGACGCAATCCTAGTACCATTCTAGGTGCTCATATAAGTACTTTGTATAATATCATGATCATAATCAATATAGAGGAAATCTCCAATCATTGGACATATAATCAGCTAACTACTGTTCATGTTTAGTTTTTATCGCATCTTAAAATATTTGATATTGTAATCACCTGGAAATAGGGTGGATACGTGATGTTTATGATGGCATCACTTGATTTCTCTAATTGTTTGTTTGTTAATGTAGGACAAAGGCTTCCTGATAGACGTGAACACTCAGTTTGAAGAGTTTGCTGGTGTTATTAGCACAGACAAGAGAGCCACTGGTCTGGATGCTGGCAATATAAAACTAACATTCAACAGTGTAAGTGTCACAAAGTTAAAAAGGATTAAATTCAGGACATCCTGCTATTATTTGGTAACCAGTTTTAGTGAAATTAATGCATCTGTCAATTCTGGTGACCTGGACCTTTTGTTTTGTCACCACCATTGTTCTGGCCTGGAATTTCATAAAGTTAAAGTGAAAATGGAAAATTGCAAAGTAGAAATAAACATTTTTATTTTGTCAATTCGTGTTACGGGAATTCATCTCTCGAAAATCAGTTTGAAGATAGCAAGAAAAGCTTTAACAGAAAATTATGAAATATGTATTCCAGAATCTATTTCATGTTGCATTCTATTAAATGAACTATTTGAATTTTGAAGCTCTCACATTTTATATAATTTTATGACATGATTGTTCTTTATTTCACAGTTGATAGAGAAGGCCGAGGCTAGGGAAAAGGAACAAATCAAAGAAGAAGTGAGAAAGGTATATGGAGAACTTTAATCTCTTCTGAAACTACATTTTTGAAGCTAACATGGATGTTAAATTGTAGCGCACATTTGTAAAAACAATACCAAATATGATTTGAAAAAGACAATTAATCATTCATTGAGTATATGTTGATGTAGGGATGAAGAGACCGAGTCTGTGGAATCTGTGGCCATATCAACTCTGTATTATGTTTTTATCACTCTCTTCAAACATCTTTTCAAAACATGATACATGATTAATGTTTGATATAAGTCTATCTCCTAATCACTTAGACACACAACAGAGTGGAAGCAGCGAAGTTACTCACAGTGGGTTTCATAACATAGCCTATACACTAGATAGCTAGATAGCTAGGGGAAGGGTAATTTAATAGCCATACTAGAACAGCCAAAGTTTATTTAAAATGATTAAATCTTCCATTGTGGGTCTAAGTGTAATGTCGAAACATTATGAGCTTCATTGATCTTTTGAGACTTTTTGACTTAATATGTTTTATTCTTGGTATGTTTCAGCTAAAAAAATTGGAGAGTGCATTCAAAAACATGTTGAAGTCTGCAGAGCCACCACTAGAGGTCGCTTCTAACTGGGAAGATGTCAGGGAACGCTTTGAGAAAGATCCCGCATTTGAAGCTATTGCGATTGAATCTGAAAGATTACGATTATTTAGAGAATTTACAGTATTGCTTGCTGAGGGTTGCATTCACAGGCATAGCAAGACATCAACATCTTTTAAGAAGAAAAAACATAAAAAGCGTAGATCTCGTTCCCGCTCAGTAAGTTAACTTAAACTGTCTGTTAAAATGATGAGACATTCTATCGAAATGTTTTCCGTTACATTTTTGACATTGAAATAACATTGCGACCAGATGAGAATCTGAAAATTGCCTTGCTCCCAGTTGAAAATCCTATTGCAAAAATAGAATTAACTCAAATGTCTAATGTATTTACTTGTATTTATTCCAGCATTCTGACTCAGATGAGGGCCAAGAGAGGGAGAGAGAAAAACACAAGAAAAAGAAGAGAGTCTCAAGGTCCCCCAGCCCTTCACTCTCAGGTAAATGTATATCTTTATTATCTCATACTTTTTGGGGTTGCAGGAAGAATAAACCAATAGGAGTGGGAGACACATTGGAAGAACTCATGTAAGAGGATACATGTATGTTTTTAACTCTAAACAAACCCTCTACCTAAAATATGAATTTTCTTTGTAGTTCATGGAAAAATGTGTGGTAAATACTAGAGGTGTCAAGTATTAACCGGTTAACCGCCGATAATGCCTTGACCGGTCTGAGTTTTTATGGGCGGTTAGTTGACCGTGTATAATTCTGTTATTTCCCGCGCTTATTTTGCATGCTAATCCGTTTGGTTTTATGGTGTCAGTTTCACGTAAGCTACTCATACATGTCATAAGTCCCATAACTCCTTACAAACATCCAATCAGCAACTTTAATCCCTGCCACATTGCTTTCCCGCGCTTACTTTGCATTTTAATCTGTTTGTTTTTCAAGCGTCAGTTTCATGTGAGCTACTCATACATGTGATAGGTCCGATAATTCCTTACAAACATCCAATCAGCAACTTTAATCCCTGCCACATTGCTTTCCCGCGCTTACTTACATAGAATAGCGTAAAGCTTGACGAACGTAAAAAATAAACGCCGATATATCATTTTTCCAATTTTTTCAACTTTCAAGATCGGAATGAAGATTTCATTTGAAATTATAAGTTCAAATTTCCCGCCGGTTAACCGACTTTAACCGGTAAAAACCCCCAGTTAACCGGTTAATGCTCAAGCGGTTAATTGACACCACTAGTAAATACTAAATAGTTTTGTGCAAAGAAATATTTTTTTCAAGATGGACGCTGATTTGTTTATAATAATTATTGCAAAAATCAAACCAAAAACCAAAATTTGTATTTTGTTTCAGCAATATGAGTTTAAAATGCTTAAAACACCTTCAATGTGCTACTAGTTTGAGTAAACTTAATCATGTTTATTAAGCTTAAGTTGTCACACCAGCCTTATTTTGTAAGATCTCGTTTTCAGAAGGGGAACACGAGAGACCAAAGAAACATAAAAAGTCCAAGAAGAAGAAGAAAAAGAGGGATTCAAGAACAGTAAGCACTTCAATTCTGATCACTTGAATAACATTAATCATGATGCTCACTAATAAAAACATGGGTTAGGGACCCCTTGCTTTATTCTCTTTATTAGAGTATTTTCAGCCTTGAAGTCTCTCACTTAGTAGTTTGAACTATTTCAGTGAGATATCTGCTCATTTGGTTGCCCTGTGAGTTCTATAGGTCAATATGTATCATTATTTCAGCCTTCTCCATCCAACTCAGAAGATGAAGGGAGGGAAAAATCCAGAAAATCCAGCAGAAAACACAGGGATGATGATAAGAAAAAGGTAAAATACACCCCACTAAAGATCCCATATGGTACAAAATACTCCCAAGTTTTATAAAATAGGGAAAATGTATTAGGGATGGGTAATCTTGAGTGTTTTATTAGGCTTTCTCACTCATCAACAAATATTTAATTAATGAGTCTGATTGAGAGTGAAGATCATCATTTCATTTAACAAACCCATCATTTTCAGACTGCTTTTTGCCAGGTTCATTTTTGTTATAATTTATTTCATATTTATTTCAACACATCATAAAGGAAGTGGAGTCAGCTACAAAATTAGGTATGTTTACATTCAAATGTGATTATGGTTTTGGGTTGCCTTTCAACTGTGTTGAGTGGTTTTGGGTTTAGTCACAAGTGGTACATTGTGCCAACAAAGGTCAAATCCGACTTCTCTCGTGAATTTTTGAAATCTTGAAATCACATTGTGAGATGTATGGCATATCTAAATTGTAGCTGATGTATTTTTCTTTCACTTTTGCTTAATTTGAATTGGGTCAAGCTTCGGTCAGGTGTGTAACAGGGTGGGTCAGGTTTGGGTAAAAAAAAAGGTCATGAGTGGATAAGAAGTGGGATCTGTTTGGATAATGTTTTGTGCTAGGTCAAAACTAGATTAAATTAAATAACAAGTTTTGATAACTTGACACAGGGCCTTCTTTTGCAGCATGGAACAGGCAACATTTAAGGACTGTTTTTTTTAAACTGCCACTTGTTTTAAGTATTTTTGAAATAATTATGCCTATTGTCAGAAAAATTCTAATGAAATCTCTGTGATAAGCAAGCATTGAAAACCTGATGGCCAATAACCTTACCCACTTTGATTTTCACTTTAATTGAACACATTGGCGAATTTCTTGAAATATCTGCAATGATTGCAAAGGAATGGCTTGGCCATTTTTCGATTCAAACCAGTATGTTCTATTTTTATTCTATTTTCACTATAATTATGATTTTTCTCCATCTATTCTTGCTTGGGTTGACCTAAGGGTATAATAGATCATTTGCTTTATAGATCTTTATAGATGGATAAATAGATGGCAGACAAATGTGTTTTAGTCAGACGATCTTTTCTTGATATATCAAATATTTGTCTTGGAATAATGTAACGAGATAACCTTGTTGACATGTGAATAATAATTTAACCTCATCATTGGGTTCCTTAAAAAAATAAATCAACTGAGGAAAATATTACTTACTTTATTGTATTTTGTCTTTTCTGTTGAAGGTATATATATGGCAATGACTCAAATGCCGATTAGCAGGTTTGTTTAAATTTTGTATGCTGTTTTGTAGACTTATGTCATAGGCTTGGGAATAGAGAGATAGATAATATGTATTTGTGTTTGTTTTCAGTATGAGTCATCAGAGAGTGAGGGACAGATCGAGGGCAGTGAAGATGAGCTAGAGAACAGACGTCGAGAACTTCTGAAGCAACTAGAGGCTGGTGACTAGACTTTGCAAAGTTCAGAAGCTTAAAATATGTAATGAGCTGAAGCTCACAAAACAGTGTTTGGAGACATGCATGAGGAATTTAAAGACAAAGGACGAAATCTAGCATTTCATATTTGGATGAATAGAATTCATACCTGATATTAAAATATATTCATATTGTGACAAATGACAACCTTGTTAAATCAGATAGTGTTGAGATTTCAGTTTCTGAATGAAGACTTTGTTTATGTTTGGATGTCTATATTGTCATATTCATTCTTATATAAGGGTCCAAATCAAGTAACTATCAATGTCAATTTTAAACAAATGTAATATCCCAGATGCGAGTTGAAATAATCTTGATTTACGTCATTAAAATTCACAATTCGGTCAAACTGATGTCATATTTGGAATCTACATGTAAAATTACATTTAGAAATGTGGTTTTGAAAAGTGTTTATCAACTTTGAAAATTTAATTTTCTTTGGAAATGTGACTTCTAGGTCGGGAGATTCCCCATAGACCCCACGTTGTAAAACCACAAAAAGTGAAATATCTTGTGTTGGGCAGATAATATTTCCTTTTACTGGACATATTTTAATTTGTATAACTATCAGATACATAAAGGTAATATGAAAAGTGAACCACTAAAACTGCTGCATATTCAAGTTTAAGGGAATTTTGTAATACCCTGCCATGTAAATTCCCCCGAATCAGCCACCTGGTGGCGAACCTGGTAACTACCTACTCGCATCTGTGTAATTACCCCAACGAAGGTGAAGTCATTTGTCAGTAAGTTAACCAGTTTGTTTTCTGGTTAGAAAATAAATCATATATAAGTGAAATTAATGATGTTCTTCAAATTCAGTGGAAAGATATATACTATATTATTTTAGCTCACATGGTGAGCTATTGCAATCATACACTTGTCCATCTGTCTGTCCATCTGTCTGTCTGTCTGTCTGTCCGTCTGTCAACAATTGGCCTGTTTTAAAACCTCCGTCAATAGGATTCCCGTTTTAAGTTATTTTTGTTCAACATCAATATAGAAAAGCCCTCTATGACTCCTTGTTCAAAAGCTCACCTATTTTCAAAATGGCCGCCATTTTTGTCTTACGAAATTCACATTTGGACCATTTGCTTTAAAATCTCTGTCGATAGGATTCCTGTTTTAAGTTATTTTTGTTCAACATCATTACAGAAAACTCACCTATGACTCCTGGTTCAAAAGCTCACCTATTTTCAAAATTGTCGCCATTTTTGTCTAGCAAAAATCGCTTTTGGCCTATTTCCTAGCTTTACAAATAATTTCAGGTGTCCTGCATTGTAAAAAGCCATGTCATTGTGAAGAGTAGTTGCATAAAATAATTTTGTTACAAAAAATCAGCAAAAAATTATATCCATTTTTTTATTTTCAGCCTTTTTAGTTAAGATTGATTTGTCCATCTGTCTCGCGAAATCCACTTTTGGCTTAAAACCTCTGTCGATAGGATTCCCGTTTTAAGTTTTTTTTGTTTAACATCAATACAGAAAACTCCCCTATGACTCCTGGTTCAAAAGCTCGCCTATTTTCAAAATGTCTCTCAAAATTCACATTTGGCCCATTTCCTAGCTTTACAAATAATTTCAGGTTTCCTGCATTGTAAAGAGCTATTTCACTGTAAAGAGTAGTTGTATGAATTAATTTTGTTACAAAAAATTTATATCCGTTTTTTTAATTTTCTTTTCTAGCCATCATTCACTTTTGAGCAACACCATGTGAGCCCAGTACCCACGGTACTATCTTTTTATTTGTAAATCGTTTTATGCAAAAAAGATGCCCAGCACTGCACATATTGTATCGTTTTTTATCAGAGAATTTAAAATGGTCACGTGACGTTTGGATTTGGAAATCACTTCGAGGTATTGCTCTATTTTACTCAAATTGAAGGTATTAAAAGTAGATCAAAACTACTGTTTCGTTTTTCTGATTCATACTTCAGAGAATCAAAATTGGCCGCCTGATTTATGCCTGTCAAATGGTGGGAATTCTGAGATATCGCTGGTGTATGCCTTTGTATGTGAAAATCAAGGGTTTTAATACTTGATTTTGAATATCAGTTTGCTACTTCATGGGATTGACATTTTCTAGTTAATTTTGGGGAAAGTTGAAAAGCCCCACTATTACAATTAGAAAATTGAAATACAGATAATATTACACTTATTTCAGTTTAATGTTCAGTTTTAACAACGAGTGGATGAAGTGGGTCTTTTATGTAACGAGCCTTTCATCACATTACTTATTTTTGGCTAACACAATGAGTCTATGGGATCGACCAGGCGTCCGTCTGTCCGTTGGTCCGTCCATTGGTCCGCCCGTTCCTCCATCCATCCGTTAGTCCGTCAACATTGGCTGCACAAATTATAAATGCTATTCGGATTGAGTCATATCCATAATGCCTATTTGACCTATCATCGCCATTTCCCAAGTTCGCCCGCTTTCCGAGAAATTGCGGATTTTGACGTCAAAAAGTCAAATTTTCTGTAAATACTAGACACTAGACCTTTACTTGACCTTCAATGACCTTCGAAAGGTCAAAAAAGTTCATTTTTCAAAGTGATTTTTGGATGTAAATTTTGGTCAGCTTAATCAAAAAAGACCTTACTGAGCTCTGAATAAGTAACATTTTCAAGGTCAAAGGTCATCAAACTAGGTCACACAACTGTGCTATCTAAGTTTCTCAAAGTTCGAGACTACAAATCCAAATCAATATTTTTGTTTGAAAGTCAGGATATACGTTCCTCTGAAGGTTCCAAACTGTGTGAGCACAGGACCGTGGGTGCTTCATTGACTATAAGAATATTTATTTCATTTTGACTCAGCTAATTTATTTGACTGATAGTAAATGTAGCAGGTGCAGCTTGCATTCATTGATGCTTTTTTATGTTCACTTACTGAAATTGGTAAAATAACCTTTAATGTGAAGGGAACAAATCTCTGGAGTAACTAGTATAAACAAGTATATATTTTCTAAATGGACTTCTAAATGGATGTATCAATTTGGTGAAATGATTGGCGCTCCACCCTTACCCTTGAAATTATACTGAAACTGTGTAAACCTCTTGAGTCTTAGAGAATCTTGGCACTGCATGTGGATATTCAATTAATGATTATATACAATCATAGTTTTTCAGTTCTTCATTAATAAATAAAAAATTACTCTATTTCTGGTACACTAGATTATATTGCTACACCAGGGAACAGGTAACAACCGAATATCACGCCATATCACCCACCTATCATATAATGAATCGTAATAGAATGGTATCATCATAAATTACAAATGATACGATTAAAAGTTATAAACTGGTTTGCGTTTCATAAAATCGCAAACATTTTCTGCAATATCTGTTACCATGGCAGCATATAATGGCACTTTAAGTACTTGTTACGACGTGATAACTACCAGGTCGTTCAATAAGTTCACGGAAAAATGCTCTCATTTCAAAGATCTTTGATATTTTCTCATGAAATTTTCACACAATGTATAAAAAATACTTTCTGATTGATTCTTAAAATATCAGCATCTCTTAATTAATTGGTCAAAAATAAGGATTACTATTGGTAACTTGATTTTTGGGTAGGCGGGTCACTTTTTACGTCACATTATTCATTAGAAAAACAAAAGAATACTAGGCAATTTATGAGTATATCACATGAATTTCTTCTCCGCTTTCTACTTGCACATGATATAACTTAATGTAATCGTTACAACTATTGTTCCCTAAGGTTTCAGATGGTATTCCCCCTCATGTTTAATGCACAGTCGCTTGCATTCAACTCATTGACAATACAGTGCTCTGAAGCCATTTGCAAACTTGTTTGAATGGCAATCTCGACTGCAGTCGAAAGTCGTTTCATTGTTCCCCAAAGTGCACCTCTTAGCTGATCCTTCATCCTAGTGAAAAAGCAAAATCATCATCTGGAGATAGTATCACTTTGCCATCTATTTTTACAGTCATTTGTGATGGTTTCCTGCACAATATTAGCAACTATGATCGGCTGCATTATCCCGATGGAAAAAATTAGAGTTTGGTTTGAGTTTTAATCAACTTACCATAGCATTACTCTTTGTTGATTTTCTTGTCCACTGGTACAGCATTGACGATTTCAGAAATGTTCATGATACAATGATTATCAATTTTCCCTCAGAACATTTGTAATTTAAAAAAGAACAAATAGAAATAGGGATCCTTCATTTGCACATATTGATAGATTTCTGTAATGGTAAATTGTGTGACGTAAAAAGTGCCCAGCCTACCCAAAAGTCAAGTTACCGTAGTAACCCTTATTTTTGACCATTCAAATTAGGGATGCTGATATTTTAAGAATCAATCAGAAAGTATATTTTGCACATTGTGTGAAAATTTTATGGGAAAATATCAAGAATCTTTGAAATAAGGGCATTTTCCGTGAATTTATTGAACGACCCGGTATACAACAGTTTAAAATCCTACAAAGCGATTGAATAGGCATGTTTTCGGATCTTATGTCCTATTGGCTACCATGGTAAATAAGCCTTATACCTATGTATAATGATATACGTTTTCCTTCTCGAATACTTGTGGTGATAATTTTTCATGTAAATACATTGTTAGATTCTGGCACAACATGCTTTTCATGAGTTAAGGACTGAATCTCCGAACTGGTCCGGGTCCTTTACATTCCATCATTCTACAGAAGGATGTTGTAACTTATCATGATAAGCATTTACTGATTGATGAGATATAATCGGATTTTGTCTTTTCCATTATTCAAGTCACTACATAAAGCTATTAGTTTTAATTTCAGTTCCAACTGGTCAAGATTGCAGGTCGTTTGTCCTATTTGAGATAATTTACCAGCTGTTGAAAGAGTAGTGTTTACATAGTCTTTGATTTCTTCAACTCGAGGGAAATCACTTTTTTGAAATCTATCAGTGTTTCTAATTTCCTGACCTTATCACTTGACCATTATTGCTTTGCAATCCACTATGTCCCATAGGGCTATTCGTAATCCTCGGAAAAGATTATGTTCTGGATTCAGGAACCCATCCCCTTTGTCAACTTCAAAACACGTCCCTTGGTTGTGTATTAGGGAGTTCAAGCTTGCATTTAAAATCGAAACGCCGTACATATGACAAATCGCCCATACAAATGCACGGTATCCGATACTACCCAACGTAAATCGTTCCGGAGTTGTTTTTCATAACCATTTGGACTT